GATAGATCCTGCCGATGAGGACGCCTCGACCACTGATGGCCCCTGACTGGTGCGGTAGCATTTGATCAAGTCTAACATTGACGGCTGTCAATACATCTGGCAACAGACGGGTTTGGACCCTGTCAGCGGGACGTCGGGGCAGTGAAACGTATCGGGGGTTTGGTCAAAAGATGAGCGGTCAGTCGAGGATGAACGGGGCCATTAGGGATCTGGAGTTGCAGGCAGGTATTGCCGAATAGGCATCCAATAACAGCATCCTGTGGGTGTGCAGATTCACCTTGTGCAGTTCAGTGGCCGAAGCACACGTGCATCCTGTCAGTAAGTGCATCAGTCTCATTGTCAGGTCATTGGTTTTAATATATGCGTAAATTGAGATAGCATAATTGTTAAACGTATGTTTGAACATTAACAAAAATATTATTAGGTAGGCTACCAGGTTGGAATTCCCTATATAAAACATATAAAAAGGCCATTTTAGAGCCTAACAAGTTATAGGTGTGAGTGGCTCTGAGCCTACATTGACCACAATGTAATAGGCCTAAAATAAAGATGAGAGTCTTCAACCCCAACCAACGCGGACTGAAGTGGCATTATTTTTATTTAAAGTGGCGAATTGTAAACAGTATTTTATGTGTGAAATCAATGGAGATCCCCTTTCGTTTCACTGGTAACAATTCCCTTCATATGAACAAATCTGGGTACAATATACTTTTGTAAAAATAATGCAGACCCAGTAGATAAGGGTTAAGTGTGTAATCCATCCCTCCAGCATAACTATGAGAAAGATTTATATGTTATTTTTTAATGTGAAAACAAACCTACAATGTTGTATAGAACACATGAGCAGATATCAGATTGCCATCAAAGGGAATATTTCTCCAGTAAAAACAAAAACATTACTCACCGACATTTACCCATGCATATCAAACCTTATGCTCTGTAAATGCAGAGTGTGCTATTCATAATTCTGCTTATCTCACGTGTCACATTTTTTTTGTAAATAAACCAGCCCATTACCGCCTCTGTAAGTTATATGCAACAACACAATCTGTTGAACCTGCAGCCGGCCAGCTGCTCGTATTAATCAAACGGACCACTTCCCTTTACGACACAGAGCAAATTGTCATAAATGCTTTTATCTGCCTTTCTAATAGTGTGGACGTTACAATCAGATTTTCTGGTGGCATAAACTATTACATTCTCCTTTATCGCGTCGAACCATCACTTCTTCCTCACGAGCGTCGTTTATAACTGCCGGACAGCTTGTTGCGTAATGAAATTCAAAGCAGTCTATCGGCTCGAGGCATCTAAGGCTCTGTTTACCGATATTTACATATATTTATGTGGGTTTTGTTTTTCCACAAAAGGCCAACGGGCGTGATGAATGTCTGGCTGCGCTCCCTCTGGGACATGTGGCTCTCTGCAGAACTGATCTGTGGTCAGGCCACTTCCAGCTTTTACTGCTTTACCTCAGTCTGCTTTGTTACAGTGGAGCCTCTTAATCATGTCAACGTGTACTGACAAGTGAATTCTCAGTCTTTTCTTCCCCCGTAATGTGAGGACGACGTTATTGAACCAATTTGTTTGGAAAATCTAGTAATGAAATGCAAATACATTAGTTTGAATCACAGTTTACTAGAAGATACTTCTATGAATTATATCAAACAGCAAGCTTCTACAAAGCATTTCACAAAGATTTCAGTCAACAAGGAAAATTGAAACACCGGTCAGATGTCTTTAAACAGTTCATGAGGTATCTCTGCATGCTGTGAAAGACAGCTCAGCATTTTTCACAGTTAAATATGAGAGACATTTTTCAGACCTGTGCTTTGTATACTCCCCCTTAATTTGAAACACGTTGATTAATCAATTAATATTCCTTTCTCAAGGTCTTTTTTATAAACCTCATCATTAATAAAAGAAGACATTCAATTAGCAGCCAAATCTTGATTGCCAATTCTGTCATAACAGTCCCCCTTTCTCTGCTTTTTTTCTTCCTCCTGGTTTGTTATAGTTGGGAGTATCACGGCGTGGGTAAGAAGAATTAACTAATTCCATTAATCTAATTGTCATCGCTTTCAACCATCCCACTAATAAGTACAAATTAATATGATTAATCAATTTGACGACATAAACTCATTCAATTACAGTTTTTCAAAGGCAAGTGGGTGTGTTGGGGTGATAGGGAGGAGCGGCGGGTGAAGGGAGGTGGGCCGCCGAGCCGCTTGCTCTGTGAGAAACCCGGCCCACAAAATTGAAGTCAAGTCAGGCAATTAGTCTTTGTGAATGACAAATACAGGGTGATGAATTGCAGATAACTGCAGTCTAGGATTCTGTGGAAGTAGAAAAACCACGAGACAATATGGACCACAGATTATTGACTATTTTAGCTTTTAGGGGGAGACCGTGTGCATCTTCTCTCAGCCCAAAACTGACCTGCATTCAATACCAGGACCGTGGCGGTAGAAATGTTGCCCTTTTTAATATTTGATTTAAAGCAGACATTTTTAACTCTATCTAGAATACATGACTGGATGACGTTTTTTAACATTTTCTTCCCTTATTTGCTGAGTCACCATTAGAGTCAGACACTGACCCCTGGCTGAACAATGTACATTAAGACAAAATATAAATATTATAAGATTATCCAACATTTAATTGATAAATTAAGTGAGCCGGCCTGCAAGGAACCAGGACCCTTAGACTGAAATCGACCATCATCATCATTTTCTTATCTAAGCTATCTGCTACCTATTTCTGTTGGTGTGACTCATCTATAATAAATAGAAATGTTGGTTATGTTCCAAGCAACACTGTTTTTTTTATATATAAAAGCAAATACATATTTAAATACAAGATATGACGGCACAACATACATACAAGCAATGTCAAGGTCATTGATTTAGATGGTTTTCTCTTTGTGTTCCTCACTGTAGTTGTTCTAATTCACATTAGCCTCGTAACTAAGATTCAAATAGCACGAACCGCTTACCACATTTACTTGGAGCAGCTGCTTCGACTTGATTTGTATGTTTCAGATCCACTGTGCTGCGAGGGAAATGTGCTGGCGCGGCACTTTGGAGTGATGCCCTTTCATGCGCTCTATGTTATCGGCCCAGCATCACCCCTATTCAAACCCGGGTCTGATTGAGCAGTGTGATGATGTTTGGGTGTTACATTGGGAATAGTTTATAGCGGCACCGTCTCTAATTTGCGAAGTGGGGTATTATAGACGAGACAATTAGACCGAGGTTCGATTGGCGTATACAGGCTTGGATGCTGACAGTCAAGAGAAGGCTTTCAAATGTCATACCAATTAATCTATCCAGCCATCAAACAATATTCTGGAAACAAAGTCAGGGGGGGCGATCAATCCGCATCACTTTTCTCCTCACCGGGTTATGGGAAAATTGATTTGTCAAACAAAGCATTTTGGAAGCAGCGCATGGACTTGTTTGGGATCCATTAGCTTCCATTGAGCATTTTGTTTAACATAGGATTTTCATCACAGAGAAAATGCAGTGTCCTCAATACTGTGAGCTACAACTTTACGATTTCTGATTTCTTTGTTCCTGCTCAGAAAGCCTGAGAAAGTGCTGATGTAGATTGAAAAGGGCCAACTTCTAATGCATTCAGAAAATGCTTAAAGTGGTATTGTGATTAATACAATACACAAATGACCGCAATCAGTCCCTTCTGTTCCAAAAGCACGAGGCATTAGTCCCCGGTATCATGTCATTGTCGCCCACGCTGGGTTAGCCTGCCATCCTATGCAGCGTGGCTGTCCTAAACTGTATCATGAATTCCCTGTGCATTGTATTGTTCTAAGACAGGACTGTATCACATTGTGCCCGTCATGCTGTTTTAGAGTGGAGAGAGCTTCCTCTATGGGATTTCTCCCAGCCCCATCCTCTGATAATGTATCTCTCCCTAAAGGCTAGGCCTCCGTGACCTTGTCTTATTCATCGAGGGCGTCTTAAGCGAAAGAACTGAATCCTGAATGGGCCATTTCCCCTCTTTTAACACCCCTTTAATGTCATCAGTGAAATATGAAGTCATTAGGCGATATTAAAACACTGCTGACAAACTAATTAACGGGAGACATTAAACAGGACGGGCTTGATTAATCCGCTTTAACGATTCTTTTTAAGTGGTTCTGGTCAAAATTAATGCAGATTTACTGGTGATCTTAAGAAAAAAATACTCTTATGTGTATCAGACCTCAAGGGCAACCTAAAGTCACTGGTCTTTTACCCTCCTCTGGTCTCCCTCTCGGCCTATGTTTTATGTTGCTAAACACAGTCTGAACTCACACAGTTGGTCTGTAAAAACAAACAGATGGAGGCTGTACATACCTAAAAAAAATATAGACTACATTTAATTTATTATTTTATGAAGAATATATTGGAAGCAGAGTAGTTGCATGTAGTTTTGTTGTCAATTCATTCATATCATGTTATGTTATTTCAGGTGCCTGAGTAATAAGCACACATATGGGATAGAATAGAATATTTGTTGGAATGGATAAAATGAATTGTTATTTATATTATCAACTTTGTTGATATGTGACAAAGACATGTAGGACGTTTCATTTGTTCTTTTTTTTGTTTTGTTTTTCTAGACAAAGGTTACTCTCTGAGTAGAAATGTCTTTGTATATGTCTCCCTCTTGTGGTAAAAGCACAGGTCCCGGGTCAACTCATCGGAATGTCACGTATATTTTCAGCCTGAAAACTCAGCAGTGCATCAACAGAGGGCCACTTAGAATTAACCTATAAACCTGTTATGACATATAAATGATGTTGTTTGTGTATGTGTTCATTTAATAACAATAATGATATCAATAAAACAAATGAAAATAGTAACAATTGTTATGATTCTTATTATTTTCATAACTACGTTATTATATACATCCTGTTCTTTTAGAAAAACTGCATTTGTGAACAAAATATTTGTCCTTCAACCGGAAGTGGTGGCTGATTTCTTATGACGTGTTTCCGTCATCAGTGAGCGTGTTGCGCTTTAGCATCAGGCTCACTTCCAACGGGATCCCCGTCTCGAAACGTTTTTGTAGCATACTTTCACAACACTAGTTCTGTTTATATATCCGTGTACAATTATTTATCCAACGGATCATCATTTCCTGCAACGGAGTTTGTGTCTATACTCTTTTTTTTATTTCAATGCGGTCGGGAAATGAATATGCAACGTTAGCTGTTAGAGGTAGGTTAACGTTAGCTGTTAGAGGTAGGTTAACGTTAGCTGTTAGCCTTTAGCCACTCAGGCCCGCACAAAGGCCGTGGTCACCGCCTAGCTTTTTAAACAATGTATCCATCCTGGGGCAATTATGGGGCACCCCAGTCCCAAAACTTTGCAGGGACTCCTGGAGCTGGTCCCCACCGGCCGCCTGGAGGTGGCCACGCCGCCCCGGCACCGGGGTTCGGCGGCTTCGAAGCCTCGTCCGGCGGCTCGATGTTCTCCAGTCTCCAGGAGCAGCACAGACAGCAGATGCAGCAGCTGCAGATGCTGCATCAGAAACAGCTGCAGTCCGTGTTACACCACGGCAGTAATGCCAACGCGTACGGTGGCGGACAATCGGTCGGGTATCCTGGATCGACGTGGCATACAGAAGCACCAGGACATCCTGACAGTGGTGGCGGGGCTCTGTCGTACTATCAGAAAGACGAGACGCCCACCCAGCCGCCCAGAGGGCCACCTGCCTCTCATCCTGGTCACGCACAGCCTCCGCCCCTTCCAGCGCAGGTCCACCCCAACGACCCCCAACCGGGCCCTCCACCTCCAGAGCCCCAGTCATCCAAACCACCGGAGAACCCCGGTGCTCCCAAAGCCCAAGGGGCCACCAACACCTCTGCATCCACGACAGAGGATGAGAACTCTTTACTTCTGCAGGTACCATATCAGTTTGTGCTGTGGGCAGTCTGCTGTTCTATATCCATTTGGATTTGGGTATTGTGATCTTTCGGATAGTAAAGAGCAGATGATAATAAATAAATATGTATATACCTTAATGATGACTTTGGTTGGGTGGAAATAGTGTTGTAATAGACAGTAATGCAAGAATTTACGTGGCTTATAACAAAATCAAAAGGTAAAGTCTTAACTGTCAATGGTAGCTGCTGTCATCCTTGTGTGACTGAATGAATGATGTTGTGAAGCAATTTGAGTGGTCAGAAGACTAGAAAAGCACTATACAGTAGAGACCATTTACATTTATGGTCATTTACAAATTTGTAAAATATTATTTTTGCATTAAGTGAATATTTCCACATTTCCTTTACTATATATTTTTTTGTCTTCTCAGAAAAGGGAAATATGAACAAGTAAAATTGGATTGATTAAAATATTGAATCAATGGTGTTCAAGTCACACACTTTAACAAAAGCAATATTTCACACTTGCATTGTGAAAGTGAGAACACTTTTCCTATTGTGCTTTGTCTGACAGATGCCCTTGTTGTTGTTTCACACAGGAGCAACAGCAACAATGGTATAAACAACATCTTCAAAACCTACAAAAGTTGAAGCAAGAGAAAGCCAGACAGAATCAGAGAGAGGGGGATGGTCCTTTGCCGCCGCCACCCTGCGGCAAAGCAGCTCCTCCTCCTCCATCAGAACCACAAAAAGGTGCACCACCTCCACCCCCTCCTAAAGAGGAGCCCCCAGCACCACCTCCACCGCCTGATGAGGCAGGGGTAAGCCTCACCTTTATGTTACAGGTGTGGGAAAAACTGAATTCCAACCAAATGTATGCAGGTCTCAGGGAATACTGCTGCATACGCTAAATAAGTTGTATAAAGTCTTTTGAGGCTCCAGAAGAAGCTCTGCCAAATCTGCTCTGCAGCCTTGAGTGAGGTCATTTGATGGCGGTCGATCAAGTATTGCCCGGCAAATATGAACGCACTTACAGATGAGCTGCTAATGCTTTAAACAAAGTAAAAGGATGTCATTTCAAATTACGGCGGGTTTACTGACTTCAGAGTGGTTGAAACAAAAATAGTTGATATTGTTGGCATGAATATTAAGCGAAAATGTACAGAAATCCCTGGTAACACTAAGTTCCATGACACATATTTATGGATAGCTAACCCAAACTTCTGTGATAACTTCAAACAAGCACATTCATTATAGTTTTCATTATATTATAGTAAAATATAATTCACAGACGTGATAAAACATATGTTTACCAATCTTGTTTATGTTTACAGTCTGAGGTCCCACAAGATCCAGAGGAGGCTGCCCGCCTACAGCAGTTACAGGCTGCAGCAGCGCAGTGGCAAAAGGTGCAGCAACAGAGAGCAGGCCTACAATACCAGGCTCTCATGCAACAACATGAAAAGCTTCAGCACATCCTGGAAAAATACCAACAGTTGATCCAGCAACCAGTAAACCTCCAGGTGGGTAAATGGTAGGGCTGGGCGGTATGGCCAAAAATTCAGATTATGGTGATTTTGTATGCTTCTGGCGGTATCGTGGTATATCAAGGTATTTTTTATCAAGAGTACACACATTCATTCGTTGATGCCGAAAAGGACCTCTGGCCACCTGAACAGCTGACAACGGGTGTTATGGCTATGATGATATGTGAAAAATTCATACCGTAAGGGAATTTGAAACTATTCCAGGCCTGTTAAATGGTTTATTTTACACTTTTTTTATTTTCTTAAGATGATTGCTATATAAAATGAAAAGGTGAAGAAGCAAGAATAGTATACTTACTGGAACCAAAAGAGGGAAATGGAGTTTTAGCTGCAACTAATCTGTTCTGCAACCCCAGCACCAGCTTTAAGGCCGATATGTTTTGATTTTCGCACGCCATGTTTCAATGATTTCTTTGTTCTGCATTCACCTGTATTATAGTTAACGAAATAACTGAAACTGAATGTTCTTTTTTTGCAGTCAATGTCTGCTGAAGTGCAGTTGCGGCACTTTGAAACTCAACGGCAGCTGTTCACCCCTTTATTCCAAGACTGGGACCACTCTTTCGTCTTGTGGTATGAGCAGTTCAAGACCTATCCCCACAAAGACCAATTGCAGGACTATGAGCGCCAATGGAAACAGTGGCAGGAGCAAATGAATGCCACCAATGCCCACCTTCAAGAAAGGGTGGCTACTCTCACTGCCATGGTGCCATTCCCCTCCAGCCAGTTTAGTAGTGGTATAATGGGACAATTTGGCCCATACCCTGGACAAAACATGCAGATGCAGCAGCAGCAGCCAGCTATGCAGCATTCCCCACTCGGTGGTGGACCAAACGCTCAAGGTTCACGGCCAACTGGTTTTGGGACACATTCAGAATCCTCTGCTGGACCCCCTGTCAGAGGAGCGGCCCCTGCCAACATAGGAGTCAGACCCCCGGGTCCCGCCCCGAGTCAGCCTTCAAGCATCAACAGTGTCAGAGGTCCATGGTAAGTAGAGTTTTTTTGTACCACTGTGATTGGGTTTTATTTCAAGATATTACAAGGAACCTTTGCAATTGGTAATCAATATTCTCAAATGAATGCTGATGCCTCAACCTAACCCACATGAGTGAGCGAGAATATTGGCTATATCTACGTAGTTATACTCTGAACTAAATTTAAAAGAAATGCCAAAAGATTTTTATTTAGTATTTAGGTGGGTTATTACTGTATTTTATGGCTACAATGAATGTTTTCTTTTATGTTGATAATCTGTCACTGGGATGCTAATAGAAATCTTTATAATTAATTATTATTATTTTTTTACAATTTCTTTAGTCCAGTTCCCAGCGAAAACAGCCCAAGATTTGACCGGCCCAGGCAAGGTTTTGATGGTCCTCCGAGGTTTGACCAACCACAGCAGAGATTTGATGGTCCCCCAAGGTCCGACCAATTACATCAGCGCTGTGATGGTCCTCCAAGTTTTGACCAATCACAGCAGCTCTTTGATGGCTCCACAAGGTTTAATCAAACACACCAGCGCTTTGATGGTCCCCCCAGATTTGACCAAACCAGGCAGCGATTTGACGGTTCTCCAAGATTTGACCAACCAAGGCAGCGCTTTGATGGTCCCCCCAGATTTGACGGTCCCCCCAGATTTGACCAACCAAGGCAGCGCTTTGATGGTCCCCCCAGATTTGACCAACCTAGGCAGGGCTTTGATGGTCCCCCCAGGTTTGACCAATCTCGATTTGGACAGCAGCCTAGGTTTGAGCAGGTCCCACGGCTCCCCACTACTCCACCTGTTTTTCAACGTGCACCTGCACCTCAGCAAAAACCACAGCAAGTGACCCAGCCCAAAGACCAACAAGTTACTAAACAACCTGCCACTATGGATTCCAAGTTATCTGGCCTGCCTCAGTCTGAAAAAGAAAAAAGTGAACCAAAATCAGCTGGTAAGGCCAATGCTGACGATCTGACAGATGACAACTTGCTTGCATCAGAGGGCTTTTTTGTCCAAAGTGACCCCATTCCTCAGACATTGCAATCAATACCAAACTCTGAGGGAGTAGATGACAATAACGCTGCTAATGATGACAAGGATGTCCAACCCAGAAACAGTACTCCATCTGTAACTGGTCCTTCTAGTGGGACTTCAAAAGGTACTGCTACACAAAATCCCCTCAAACCAGATGAAAGAATGACAAACAACAAACCCCCACTGGTTCCAAAGCCCCCTGTAATCCAACAGAAGCCACAAGCTTCTGACCAAATGCTGTCAAGACCAGATCCACCAAGACTTCCCCCAGGGAGGGGACGTGGTCTGCCTCCAGTACCTGTCCAAGTGCGTGGACGAGGACGTGGGCAGAGGGGCCCTGGAAATTTTAGGGGACCAAACACTGTACCACTTGGAGAGGACGTGGAAGAAATGTCTTATGACTACATGCCACCAGAAGCGAATGTGGAGGTACCCGAAGAGCAGGAAGAATACCACTGGCAAGATCCTTCATACGAGCAGTGTGATGGTGAGGAATTGGAAGAGCCCTCCGAAGAAATGTGGATGCCAGGCGGACATCACTTCCCAGCAGAGGAAGAGTATTATGAAGAGCCAATAGGAGGACTCTCCATAGGCAGAGGAGGCCCACCAATGCTAAGAGGAGGCCCGCCAATGCTGAGAGGAGGCCCGCCAATGCTGAGAGGAGGCCTGCCAATGCTGAGAGGAGGCCCGCCAATGGGCAGAGGAGGCCCGCCAATGGGCAGAGGAGGCCCGCCAATGGGCAGGGGAGGCCCGCCAATGGGCAGGGGAGGCCCGCCAATGGGCAGGGGGGGCCCGCCAATGGGGAGGGGTGGACCGCCAGTGGGCAGGGGTGGACCGCCAATGGGCAGGGGTGGACCGCCAATGGGCAGGGGTGGGCCGCCAATGGGTAGAGGTGGGCCGCCAATGGGTAGAGGTGGGCCGCCAATGGGTAGAGGGGGACCGCCTATGGGTAGAGGAGGGCCAATGGACAGGTACTGGGAAGATCCTGAATCCACAGAGTACTCAGAGGAAGGGTATCCTTACTGGGGAGAAACTAGACCTCCAATGAGAGGCATGAGACCCCCGTTTCCACCTGGCCGGGGTCGTCCCCCACCTGGTCATCCTGGTTTTATGCACCAAGGACGAGGACGGCCCCCTCACCCAGCACATGGTCCAATGGATCATGAACTTTTAGACCATGGAATGGAAATTGACGATACCGAAAATGGATCCAATGCAGCATGGACAAGATCCCCACAGCCATCCAAATGCCTTCCGACGTAGGAAGAGGCAGACGTCGCGGGCCACCTCCTCACAAAATGATGGATTCCATGGAGGATTCGTTATACAATGAATGGCATTGAGTTGGGGTGGCAATCACCGCATAGCAGAGGTCCTCTTATGCCTCCACATGAGATGATCGATTCGGGAGGAATGAGGGGGAGAACTATGGGTCGAGGGATGGCAAGAGGCATGTGGCGGCCAGGTGCAACACAGAAGGAATCTGAAGAGGGACATAGTGAGGGTTTTGTTGAGGATTATCGTCATGGGGAACTTGGTTCTCACTGGCGGCCTCAACAGGACTATCATCCTGATGACTATGGGCATGACGGCAAGTACTATGAGTCTGAATATGACAGAGACCGCACTCCTGCGAGTGAATATTCTCCTCGCATGCCACCACCACAGCCTTACAGAGATGGCAATTGGCCAGAGGAAAGAGAAAAAGGAAAGCCGTATCCTTATGGTGAACATGATCGGGGTAGAGGAGAACTTAGAATTCGTGACTATGGGGCCGACCCACCGTACCGGACGGGAGAACCACCATACCCACTCAACTCAGCGCCTTCAGAATGGGATAGGCCGTCAAGACTTCCTCCACCCCCCGAGAGAAGGTATCCTTCTGAATTTGGGGATCGGAGTGGCCGCTATGATGAGCACAGGGAAGAGCCTCCTTTGGATGGACGTCCCGCTTTGTCTCCTGCTTCAGCTGTCACAAACTTGCAAGAGAGCTCCGTTGATCCGGCATCACAAGGCACAAGTGGGGCAAATGTACTTGCTCTCTCCCAACGTCAGCATGAGATCATCCTGAAAGCTGCTCAGGAGCTTAAACTCATCAGGTAATTTTTTGGCCGCCTTTAATGATTATTAGATAATTATGTAGGTTCACACATTATGTGCAGGGTGCAATTAATTGCCCAGGTGTGTAAATATCCACCCAAAGAAATAGAATAGGAGATGGACTGCCGTTCCCATTTTCCCAATTAATGTAGCAGGATGGTGAGACCTTCATCCTCTTTTATGTGTACCGTTGCTGTTGTAACTGTAGTCCACTATCTTCCTAAAATCTTATGTCGCGCTGATGTGTATTGTCAACAGAACAACAAAGAGTAGATATTTTCTTCTCTATTGGTAACATGCTTGCCTTTGCACGCAGTGATTGAAGCAGACGGCTGCCTTATTTTATTTCCAGCTATTTGTTTTGCTAGAATATTACCTACTTTACTTAATGGCCAAATTCATTTTGGGGAACTTTTAGGTGAACTTAACATGACATTATTTTGGGTCTAAAGGGAGTTGCAAGAGTGTAAGACACCTGGTACTGAACCGCAGCCTGCACCAAGCGACATCCTGTCTGAGCTTCCGGCTGGTCTTCTTGGTTTGGAGATCCCGCCAGACGTTAGGAATGTTCTGAAGGTAATTTTTACTACCACTATTTAGCCCAATTATTGAGGTGCATTGCTGTAATAACGGCAGGATTGCTCATGTTTTCATGAATTGATTTCATACATTATAAGAGTTACAATTTGAATGTAACGCTCATAATAAAGGAATAAATATGTAATCCTTAGGGTATGACTGCAGCAGCACAGACCGCTGTACCCAAACCTGTGTCCTGGGATACAAAGCCTGCTGCCACAGATTACCAGCCTTCTCTCTCCAAACCTTCAATGATTCCAAAGACTGTGGATTATGGGCATGGGCACGGTATGTGCAGCAAAAATGAACATATAACCGATGCAACGAGAGGACGTTGTTGGTGACGTTAACACTCAATGTTTCAGAGCCTGGAGCCACTGTTGAGCGAATCGCCTATGGTGAGAGGATTGTGTTGAGGCCTGACCCGACACCATCAGACCGGGGCTATGAAAAAGGTGAGTCTCCGAATTATCCACTCCAACAAAGCTGGCTTTTCAAATTTTCTAACTATTGTGTATTACACTGTTATTGTCTCAGAACCTCTGGGTCCCAGAGATCCTTACAGCAGAGACCCATATTACGACAGACGACTGGACCCTTACATGGACCGCCGGGAGTACAGCCGAGAGCGGGAATTATACAGAGAAAAGTTACAACCTGAATATGAACGAGACCGATATGAGAGGGAGCGATATGTCCCACGAGAGAAAGATGACAGGTATGGTGAACTCTGACCCCCCCTTTTTTCCTAACTGTGGGGAAGCATGCCGCTTCCGTACATATGTAATATTTTTTCCTATTTTTCTGTTTTTGATTCAAGCATACAGTCCATGGTTGAAGAAAGGTACCACATCACATTGTGGCAATACTTTGTGATTAGTCGCCAGTGTGTGCCACTTTGAATCAAGAAAACCTGTCGACAAAGCAAATCTTGACAATGCTCCTCCTCCTGCGTAGATCTCCACTGGCACCTCCCTCGCGCTCAGGATACAGGGAGAGAGAGCGGGATCTTCGCGCAAGGTCGAGAAGTGACAGTCGTGATCGAGAGGAACATTATGGAAGGCCCGGCTACGACAGGCCTCCATACGAGCGCACCGGACTCGATCGCAGTGCGCCTGAGCGCTACGGCCATAGCTCCTCCCCTTACGGTATGTTCACTCCCACGCCTGTTCACAGACGTGCGCTCTCACACTTCAGTCGTGTTTGGTAGATTTTTCAGTTCACACGTAAATCGCACGTTAGTTTGATCTTTTAATAAAAAGGCAAATCTACAACCAGGAAAGACTAGTGCCATTTATACAAATGTTTGAATTGCAATGAATGTTGTACAACAGACCGAAGAATTTACCCAGAAGACCGAGGGCCTCCCACTGCTCCATCCCTCCCACCTCCACCTCAGCCGGCCCCACGAGTCGAGAGGAAGCCGGAAATCAAGAATATTGACGATATCCTCAAACCGCCAGGCAGATCATCTCGTCCTGAAAGGGTACTTGTTACTGCTGCAATGTTTCTCAATTTAACAATATCACTTTTTTTTGTTGTATAATATTAAGTGCTCACAAATGTGAATCATTTTAACAGATTGTCATCATAATGAGAGGGCTTCCAGGAAGCGGAAAAGGTCACGTTGCAAAGCTCATACGGGTAAGTGGCTTTAATCCAGCGAATCAAAGGGCAATTATGATCTAACGGTATTGTCCTCTTTTTTTACTTAAACTTCAAATCTTTGCTCTCTATTTTTGTTGATGTTGTTAAGGATAAGGAAGTTGAATGTGGCGGTGCGCCTCCCAGAGTTCTTGTTTTGGATGATTATTTCATGACGGAGGTTGAGAAGGTAGAGAAAGATCCAGACACTGGGAGAAGGGTCAAGAACAAGGTGAGTCCGACATGCAACAATAACAGTAGTGCTGCTAAAGTAGTGCTGAAAAGTGCGTGGCATATCTATTACAAGTATTATTGTAAACAATTCAATAAAATATAAAAAATGTGTCTTGCAGGTTCTTGAGTATGAGTATGAACCGGAGATGGAAGATACCTACCGGAACAGCATGCTTAAAACATTTAAGAAGACTCTCGATGACGGCTTTTTCCCCTTCATCATTTTAGACACAATTAATGACAGGGTTAAACATTTTGATCAGTTCTGGAGCGCAGCCAAAACAAAAGGCTTTGAGGTGAGTTGCGTTCATGAATGTGTTTAGAATCTGGTCTTATCCTTCATCCAATCGGCCCTGTGCTAAAGAGGTTTATTCTTATTTCAAGGTGTATCTTGCTGAAATCACCACAGACGCTCAAACATGTGCAAAGAGAAATGTCCACGGGCGATCGCTTAAGGATATATTGAAGGTCTGTAATATCTTATTACAGCCTCCTATGCATTTGTAACGGGAGGAATGGCGACTAAAGCTCCCCGCATTTACTATACACTTCTGAATTGAGCATTCTTCACACAGATGTCCAACAACTGGGAGCCTTCGCCACGTCACATGGTGCGCTTGGATGTCCGGTCCCTGCTTCAGGATGCTGCTATAGAGGAGGTGAGGTCTTTAAGAACCGACGGTTCTTGTAACATTAAAATGCCTTTTTCAGTAACTCAGCCAAACCAACATGTACTTGTGTTGTTAGGTCGAAATGGAAGACTTCAATCCTGACGACGAGCCCAAGGAGCTGAAGAGAGAGGAGGAAGAAGAGGGTGATCTGGTAGGACACAAAAAGCTTAAATTTATTGCCACATAGCTTCTAGAATCATTGTCACTTCTATGTAATTCCATCTTCCATGTAAGGCGTATCTAGTCATTTGAAAAGGAACACCAGAGCAGAACAGAGAAATGATAAAAAAAATAGAAAATATAATGGAGCTAGAAAAATAATCTTGCCTAAAATGAAATGTCAGGTACAATAGTCCTTTAACAAAGGAAGCAGTTTCAAGGTTGCCTGGTTAGTTTCGTTTTTGTGAATTTTGTTCTTTGGAAGTTGGATTTTCATCTTCACTTTGAGGGTTTTTCAAAAAAGTTTGTTATATATTTCGTTTTGTTGTTGAAGTTCAACCATCAAGCAAAGTGTTCCAAAACGTATGTCCTTCATTAACTCTGGATCGTTCTGCAGTTAGATTTTCATTCTAGGAAAGACTTTTAAACGCATTCAAAGACAAAGCTTGAGTTGAAATATTCCTGAAATGTAATCATGGCTTACACATTTCTCATTCAATTTGATTATGAAAACACTGAAAAGTTTAAAATTCCCTCATTTTAAAAGAAACAAATAATTACATGTGATCATATGTTAAAAAGAGGACGTGAATATTGCCTTTAACATAAAGGAACATTTTGACAGATGCATTCATAAAAACACCCGAGAGTGTTGGGGCTCCGATTTGGACACATTTTTAAAACTGATATTATGATTATTTATCCAGGTTTATCCGAGTGATGGACATTCTCGTATCAGCCTTCAGTTAATGATTTTACTCAAATGTGTTGACAATTTGATGAGATCTTGAAAGCTGAAGTAACACATTTTATTAAGTTATACTAATGTTTGTTACTTAATGTTTCCTACGCTACCACCTTCAGGGACATTGTCCATAGGTGGAGTACACTAAGCTCGGCACCAAACTGCACAGCGGTGCAAATTTCAATGTATTTACGTGCCAAAAAAAACAATCTGCAAAAACGATATGCAACTGGCCTCGATAGCAAAGGTTCCTTATGATCAAACATAAAATCTGCTTAATCGCCTGTATAACAACAAAGTATCGAATGTCAATGGAGAGTAATGTGAGAAGGGTCCCTGGCATTGATCTGAAGCTCCTCTCCGCTTCAGTTCATGTTTAGGCCTTTACTGTTTCTCTTCACTCTCACTGTTCTCTTAAGCCACCGTGAAGCAGCTGCTCAGCAGCAACATCAGACACAACCGGGCACCAGCTGGTCATGGACATTGTGGAGAATTTAGCAGCAAAAGAGAGATCTCTCATTCAGGAGTTACTGGAAGTCGAATAAATATGAATAAGAATTGATTCAGCCCAAAGGGGTTCAAATGGCGTCGTGAGGCCGGTACTGTTAGTACCGCACGGTCAATGAACACAACTGAATTGAGAGTTTTAAGAAGACATGGTTTCTTAATTATTGGTCATTCCTTTTGAAATGATTCTGCAATGCTGCATCATCGTGGATTTCACGTTGAAACTGAAATTTAATTTTTGCACAAAATTCAAGATGATGACAAATTGGTGGAAGAAATATGCATTAAAGTTCAGAGGAGAAAAAAGGATTGTTTGTAGGGGCCGTAAATTAAAATGTAATGCTGCTGTAACACAAAAGTAAGATGTCTGGTGGTCTGTTATCAAAGGTCTAAAAAAAAAAAGTAAATCAACCAAAATGGTAAAGTAAATCGTCCGTGGTAATCGCTTTTTAAATTTTTATTTTTAGATTTATTCTATTGTTTTAAATCCAGAGAACGAACAAACAAACCAAAATGAAGTTTCCTTTCTGCACTGAAGTTTTTGTCAAGCTTTCCCAAACGCAGTCCGCAGTGGAAGTGACCACAATCATACAAAAGTGATCCTGCCTTATGTTCTGCGTTGATATTGATGCTTTAGATGAGCAAAATCAGGCTAAAAGATGGCTAACGACAGTCACAACAAGAAAGCATGCGTTCCACTTGCAAGCTTCACAGCTCCAGAACTACTGTGTCCAGCTGCATCGATCCCTTCTCCTAGTGGGGTTCCCAACGTGGTACCCCCCCCCCTCTTTATAGCCCTGTCCCACTTTGTTTTGGATCACTGCATCCCTCAAACACCGTCCCTACACTGCGACGCGTCCGCGCAGCACAATGTTCAGCGCTGAGCCCTGCGGCGCCTCAAGGTGCTGCTTGTGACTCAGACCTCGGAACATTGTGGTGTTTGCTGATAAATGTCACCTTTTTTGGCTGTTTTATAAACTGTGGCTGTTGACATTCAATTCAATTCTAAAAAATCATGTTTGTGTTGTTATTAACCTCTCCTGACATCACAGTTGGATGTGGTCAGCTCTTTTGTTGCCAGGCGACCACATCCAGCGGTGGTGCTCACAGGAGATATTCACACTGAAAGCAGATGCGCTTTTCTGAGCGACATCTTTTTCAGTGAAAGTCTGTCGAGAGACGATGTCTCGTCTTGGTGCATTTAGGTATTAATGAATAATCTGAACAGACCTGAGTCCATCTTGTCAAGCTCCATGTTGGCGTCTTTTATCCTCAAAGCTTCAGGTCGTACGTTAAAGCCCAGAGCGCCTGAACCAGAATTAAACACAGCGTGAGGTCAAACATTAATGTTATCACTTCCTGGGCCTGATGAGACTTCTGCCAGGACTGAGTGGGCGTGTACAGTCCGTGTTCCTTATGAATGTCCTAATGAAGCTCCGTCCATCTTCATCCTGAGCAGGAGTCTTATCAGAAATACGATGGAAAACATGTTTTCCTTGTCACCGAATTTAAAAGACCTACAAAAATACTCATTCACACCGATGTGAATTACAAAAATAAAATAAACACGGCACAAAGAGATAATGTCACAAATGTGACTTTTATATTACATTACAACACACCGAAGACTGTAGCCCGTCTTTAGGTCCTGTGTTCTTTTTTAAGAAAGGGGGAAAATGGATTGAAACATCTAAACGAAAGCAATAAGAGAACTTGACTGATGCAATTCTAATCATTTCACAACATGTTGCAGAGTCCTGTTTATCCGTCATATAAGTTATTGGCAGAGTTTCATTAAGCACAGTGAATTCACATCCCGCCAGGTGCATTGTGAAGGCGTCGTCTCTTTGAATTGATTACTTACGTGCAGCTTTCATGCCGGTCAGGATTCCGACTCTAGAGCCTCCTCCAACACTTAGTTGCACTCATATTTTAAGCTTAGAAAAAATACAGAATTTGCTGTGGTTGAAGTTTATTTCACGAATGTCACTTTCAGGCTTCAACTCGGTGGTTTTAAGGGAGTCAAAAGAACGCAGAGGTGTGTCTTTACTTAAGAACTGGCTAATGCTAGCCAGCCGAATGGCACCAATTCTGTTTGACCGCTACGGGTCGGTGAGGGAAAAGCGTGCTTCCTAGTGTGTTACACAGCCACATGTTGGGTTAAAACTAATATTCATGTACAGGTTTGTGCAGCAGCACTGCAAACTCGTCCACAGGCGGGTTCTTCCTTGTCCTGTACACCTTGTTAGCTCACACGGACACACTACAGGGTCGGAGGCTCAAGTGCTCGTTTTCTTTTTAATCTTCCCGAGAGCCGACTGAGCTTATCCGTTCCTTGTTTTTATTTTGCAACAAAGGCTTTAGTCTCAACACATTAGTTTCTCTTAACTTGCCACATCAAAATATCTGCATATCTAGTGTTACGTTATGTGTTAGTCAGAAGAGTCCTCACGCAGTCTCATCCTCCAGTAGTCTTTGTTGTCTTTCCACTTCTGTTAAACCAGTCTGCTTTCTTTTCAGCCCCCCGCTCCTCCCCCGCTTTCTCTCCCCCTCCTCCCCCCCTGTGTCACCCGGATGTTTAACCATTACAGTGTTTCTTTATAAAATATAGGGCTACATTCCAAAAAGCAAATGGGAGATGGACACGTCCGAGGCCAAACTTGGTAGGTATTCCGTATTCCTCTTTGTTGGTGTGAATGTCTCCGGTGATATTGGTTTGATTGGTCTCTCTGGTGTCTCCCATGTGAGTTTCAATGATCGGCAGGTATTTGAAATGGAACACAGGAGAACACGCGTGTTTTATATACTGGTAAATGTACAATGAGGTTCCGCGGATAAAGAAAAAACCTGCACAGCGGGCCTCCTTTGACGTAAGCTCCCGTCCAACTGGACAACTGGATGTAAATATCTATAACATGGTCGTCATTTCTGTAGCGGTGTCCATGTGATCGGCGTTAAATGATTGTGAAGGAGGACGTCGCTTAAGACGCATGGTGCTGATTTGCCGCCCGCCCGCCCGCCCTTTATTTGCGTGGACAATTTGACGTTTGACAGATGTTGGTTAAAGTTTCCCCCGGCGCAGAGGACTGACCGCTGCAGTGATCTTCCATCCCTGCAGACAAGTTGGACGGTCTGGGGAGCGGCGGCAAGAGGAAACGTGAAGACATGGAGCACCTGGAGGACTACCTTCAGCTGCCGGACGACTATGCCACGCGCATGTCGGAACCAGGAAAGAAACGGGTAATTAGAGCCTCAGCTTTGATCCTGTTCAGATACCCACCGATGAGGGAAGCCAGTGAATGCAAAGAGCTAAATTGTCACGTATTGTATTTTCATTTGCTCTGACGTTAAATGTTAAGACGACGTTACAGTTCTGCCATCCACTTCCCCGTCATAACACCTCGCCGTGGTTGCTTTGTCAAGGTCCGTTGGGCTGATCTCGAAGAGCAAAAGGAAGCGGATCGAAAGCGCGCGATCGGCTTTGTGGTGGGTCAAACGGACTGGGAGAGAATAACGGATGAGAGCGGGCAGCTGGCGCAAAAAGCTCTCAACCGTACCAAGTATTTCTAAGAAGATAATCTTGCCCTCCCCCCTTTCCCCTTCATCGAAAGGTATGTGTGTTTCTCTTTTGTCTAACGTTGGATGTCTGTAGGCGTTTAAAAGTAAAAAGGCGTCATTCAAACTGAGTATTTATTGACTTGCTGAGGACACGTTTGAGTCCGTTGCTTATTACATGTCCCGTATTGAGAATGCATTTCATGGATCAAAAGTTTCTTTAATGCAAGTAAATGGAATTGTCTCAGAGCTCCTTTTTTGTCTTCTGAAGCTCGTCTTCACATTTCTTAAGTTAACTGCAATAAATAGTGAACAAAAGGCCGAGTGAGTTTTGGATTGTGGGCATAAATGTTTTACAGCTGTCATGACTTTTTATATATCGATACAAATCGAGCCGTAAGTTTGTTCTGCATAACAAAACTTACTTTTATTAGTAAAATGTTTTCCTTTTTTATGTCATTAGTTAAACCCATAAAAGTTCAACTTCATCACAAACAAATGATCACTGATCTTTTTTTTTTCTTTCTGCAGGTTTCCATAATGTGAAAACACTGAAGCTTACACACAACAAGAGACTCGTCCGTGCCGCCAACGGTTATCAAATCCTTAGTTATTTCATTGACGCGTAATGCAGTATACTTCTTTTCCTTCTCGCTTTTAAACAGGCACTCCGGTTAGTCTCTGATCAATTTGTAGGTTACAACTGTGTGCTTCTTCCGGTTATGTATTTGGTATTCAGCCATGATTCCTGCTGTTTTTTTACTCTTCATGCTTTCTGTGCCGTTTACCTGTAGGAATGTTTTCTTGGATCCATGTATACTTGAAAAAACACAATAAAACATTCACAAAATCACTAACTCGGGGAGTGTTTCTTGCATGAGGGCTCGATTAACGACAGGTAGCAGAATGTGCTGGAAAAGAATCTGCAGGGCTTATGAATAACTTTCAATTGAAATCCGCCTGGCATCGCTTGGTCAGACCTCAGGGACGTTTTTTAAGACTGGTTGTTATCGGGTTTGTCTCTTTATGTATGTTCACATTCCTATGAGGTCATATTACACAAAAAGTTGCTAATGTACGTGTCTTTGGGGGGAGATGAAATGTAATGTGAGTGCATGATTGTAGGGCTGAAAAGCCCCTGACTGGGTTTTTAACCGTTTTAAGTCTCCTTTTTAAATCATATTCCAGAACCTTGAGGCTGTCAAACACAACAGCGTACAGACGGGAACATTGGGCGTCAACTGGTTAAAGCCAGGTTGGCCACATTGTCTTTTTTCATGAGTAGAATAGTATTTTATTTTAATATCTCATTTGATTAGAATATTTTGCCATTGTTTTAACATGTTCACATTCAAAGACATACATACGTTACCTGTAACACATCAAACTCAGCTGATCTCAGCTAATGCACATTATTAAAGCTCGCAATTCACCATAATATTTAAACCTGAAACAAGCTGAGAGGATGTCTGCGCCGACAGCTTCTCCTCATCATGTCTTCATACAGAGGCCACCTTTAATGTGTAGTCAAATGCCCATGTGCACTCTTCATATTCACAGAAAAAAAAAACAAATCCAGTTCAGATGTGTCCATTTTTTATGCCACATTTTACATTTGCGCTTTGCACTTTTGAAGCGAATCCTCCAGAATTTCACTCCCATGAGAATTTTCATAACGGATCACAAACCCGGTTGCGGAAGTTTCTGAAGACAGGGATCCTAAATTGTCAGCGAGCTCGCGGATCCACTGAAGAAGACCATGTTTGAACAGCCGAGCCCTTTAGAAAGCGGAGGGACGGATCTACGTGGTGAGTATGGAACTGAGGCCGTTTGCAAGCAGCGGATGAGAAATCATTTACATTTTATCCTGTACATACACATGTTAAATATTAAATCATTTTTCTTCTCCTGGTGTGTTGACTTTTTTTTCTTCTGCTTGATAAAGTAACTTGCTTCTCAAAAAAAAAACTGAAAATATGTTGCTGTGTTGAAGATAATCTCAAATTAAATAGTTTCACATTCGGTACGATACAAACTGCTACTGCTGTATAATATGGTTGATTTAAGCAAAATAAAAATGCTGTCAAGCGACTTCCTGCTGCAGCAGCTTGTACAATAAACTCAGACATCAGTCTGCCGTGTGTGTAGATTGGATCTTCCCAAATGTCCTGGGCTTCGTTAGAAACCAAAGCGTTTGCTCTTCAGAGCGCGAGTAAGTCGTCACTGCGACGGTAACCGCGATGGCGTCTTGGTTGGTGCTCATCCTGAGGGGTGACTTTTGAATTCGGCGGCTACGTCGCTGTCCAGTTTACAGATCACTTTGTAGATCGGTTTCTTCCAAGAAGGATCACGATCTTTTCCCATCGAAATGGCGACGTAAAATTCCCTCAATGTGATCTCTGCAACCTCCAAGAACCTGTCAGGGACCTGTGAATGCACAGGAGAAGATTGCAAATGTTAAAGGGCTTTTTCACACAAACTGTCATATTTAGAATCAGGCTTGGAAAAAATCAAGGTAAGTAACGGGTCAAAACCTGACAGAAGCGTTGCATTTAATTAACAGAAAGAAAGAAAAAAGTTGTGTGGATTTTGCTTTAATGTAAATCCCAGTTTGTGTTGTATATTACCAAATGCCTTCACAATTGTGCGTTGGAACTAACATTGTTGAATCATAACCAATCTCAATTCAGTCAATGAGTTAATATCTTGTTCTGGAAGAATGAATGTGATTGTTGACTACTTGAGAATTTTTAAATCGTGATTAAGAAAGGGTTAAATTAAAATGAGTGTCAAAGTAATTTCAGTTTCTCACATACTTGAGTGGATTGTTAAATTAAAATTCAATTATGAATTATTTGTGTTCACTACTGGCATCCTCTGACTAAGAAAATGGAAAGAAATCCAAACCGCTTTATGGATAAAAATATTCAATAACGTTATTTCAAATATTAAAATAATATGTACACTGACTTCAGCATTTTCAGATCATCTTGGAGACTATTGCAATTAACATGGAATAATTGATTTGAATTTTTCATAAGTTGTCAAACTGCTTTTCCATTTTCACGTTAATGTATGACAATGCCACTAATGATTCAAATTTCATTGTTGAATTTAAATAGAAATGTAAGCTGAATTTAAGCACATGTGCGTGGGGGAAAGAAGTTACTGTGATTGCACTCATTTCAATTGAGTTTGCCAAGTGCCTCGATATAAAAACACCCTGTGAGCGCTTGTCTCACCAGTATTTAGGCCACAATGTATAAAGATCTGATCACTAAATCCACCATGAAGTCTTGTTTACACTTGTGCTCCTCAGAGGATGAACTCTTTCCATTTGAAATATTCTATGTTTGAATATCTTAGTTTGTTGAGAGCTTTTTCTCTCAACAACTCAAGGTCAATTTTTAGTTCTTAGCGCCACAACTTCTCAAAGCTGCAGAATCTTTGACTGGTTCAGCCCTCGCACTCGATATCGGTGCCGGCAGTGTTCATGTGTGTAACCGGTTTCCACAGTAGGAAATTAATAAATAGAAAACTAACAGCCAAATCAATGACGGCTAACTTGTGGCTTTTGAATGTCTGAATTGTGTTCATTTGTTTAACCTGAAGTCTGAAATGCTTCAGATTGTGTAATCAATGTTTCTATTTCAAAAGGTTTTTTTGATGTGGTTATCTAATCCTTTTATATTTTTACAGTTCATCTGCAACCAATTCAAATAGGAGTAAATTGTAGCAAATCTAGTTCCATGCTGGTGGGGACTATTGAGCTATAAAAGTTGATACTAAATCATTCTCAGCCACATTGTCCTTTCCGTCACGCTTCATACACTCACCAGTATTATTATGAACCTGGTATTCCATTGTTTTCTGAGGGGTATTAAAACAAAAGGTCTTAAATTGAACACGGGGAACGCTGCAGAAACCCATCAACATTTTAAGATCTGTGTTACAGTGAATCGTTGCTAAACGTGTGCATTAAAGGGAAAGAAGCACACTCATTTGTTCGCACCAGAAAAGATGCAAAATAGGCTCTGAAGAAGCAAACCGAATGCTCCTTAAGCATGGCAGCCCTTAAGTCTCTTTACGTGTGTTATGTTCATCGTGGTGGAATTCACTCCTATAAATTAGGAAATTCCAAATTGGTGTTTCTGGCAGCGGTGTTTTATCGGATAGTAGTAAGAACATTTTAACTATGATTTAGTTCCAAGATTACAGACAAAACTGAGAATAGTGACACATAATCCTTTAATCACAGCATGTAGACTGCATATGAATAAATTGTGTCCATGTTCTGCCCGGTGTTCACAACGTGGGACTTAACCGCACGTTAGTGGCTCCATGAGGTCATAGCTGCTTGTTCCTCGTACTGATATTCACGTGTGTGTATATTAATCACCAGTTGAAAGTGAAATAATTGAATAACCACCACGATTCAAGTAAAGATATCCTCAGCAGGATATCTTTAGATGTCCTACACTTACGATCTGAAAGCCTGATTCCTCTTTTAGACGCCGTGATGAGAGCGGCACATCAGCGCCAGTAAGACTTAAAAAAAAAAAGTGTCCCACGCGTTTTACCTGGAAGTCGTTGGCTTTGTTGTAGTGCACGTTGAGAGCTCTGAACAGTTCTGATTCTCTCCCCACAGTCAGACTCCTCACGTCGGCCACAGCGTGCCGGGCGAACTTCTCCATCTGGATGTAGTAGAACTCGCGGAAGTTGCTGAACCACTTGATGAGCTGAGAGGTGATGCAGCGCGTGAACTGGGGACGGAGGGACGGAGGGACAGGTAAGTGGGATGATCAATGTGCAATTTGATGTGTTGGTGGCCCTTTTTTCTTTATGAGGGGGCGAAAGAGACTTTTTTTTTTACCATATTAAGAACATAAAGACATGAAGCAACTATTTTATCTTGTTTTTTTATGTTTTGGGTTTCACAGAAATGCGTAAAGTTCTTAATCCTGATCTGATTGCTCGATGATATTGACTAATAAAAAGACAAAAACATGAACTCGTCTGGAATTGTTTCTTCTGTGGTCACAGATGCATTTTGAAAGGATGAACTTAATTGGAACCATAAAACATGCAAACAAACAACAGCAGACTGATTTAGGTTGCAGATTTTCAAAGCAAAATACAGAGATTTTTCCAATATTAGAATTGCTATACAGCTGCATTTTTGACAGTTATTCAATTTTGTAAATATAATGTATTAGAATGGCAAAGATGTGGTGCAACATCTCACCTGCACATCGTAGAAACACATCTTCAGTACCAGTGAGCTCGGGTAGCGGGTGTAGAAGAACATGTGCTTTGCTTTCTTCAGATGGTTCGTGGTCAGACCTTCCTAAAAGGGATCAGTGTTAAGGCCGACACACACATACGAACACACACACATTGGAGACGGTCCGACTCCTGTCCTGGTAACAAGGACAGATACGTTGAGCTGTAGTGATTTCTACTACTACTTCTACTACTTGGACATACAGCCTCATAATGAGTTGTAATTTGGTCATTTGGGGTTCAAGCACAAGGGAGTTGTCATTTCTTGTCTTCATTTTAAAATGATTTTTCTTTGAGCCACAAGAAAAACACAAAAGATCTATTGGACCCCTTCCAGATGAAAACCCTTCAAAGGATACATTGAGCACGTACAGGTTGTTCCTCAGGCCATCGGGCTCACTTTTGACGTGAGCTTTCGGGCTTTCCAACAGCACGTCACCCGTCGACCCAGCGCGCCTCTCGGGGCTTCTGACGGATCTGGAGTTGACCTTCGACCTCACTTTGACCGACCTCCAACGCGCGTCGAACGTCTCGCACTTTGCCCGAGGCCCTTCGGTGCGTTCCTCCCACGCGCACCCGAGGGCGCGCCGGGTGCCAACTTTACGCAGAGCCGAGCCGCCGATGGGGACCGGCGGCTCGGGGCCACGCGGGAGCTTTTGCACGACCAGAGACAGGGCTTCGGTTTGCACATCCGGCATCTCATGTTCACCGACCGGTGGCCGAAGGGACGCGTCGGTCTCGACTCCCTCCTCGTCGTCCGGAGAGGTCCGCGGAACTGGCGCGCTTTTAAAAATCGAGTCCACGCTCCTGCTGACCGCTCGGCCCAGTTCGTACTTCAACAAGTCCGCCATCAGTTTTATCCTGTCGGGCTTCGACTGGAAGTAGTCCATCAGCTTCACCTTCTTCCGCCCTTGATGCGTTTGACCCGAGCTGCCCTGGAACTCGCCGGGCCAATCTGTGACCGTCGGAGAGGACTCGGGAGAGTGGTTCCTCCGGGTGGGGCGCGCACCCACGCGGCTCAGCCCGGTTCTGAGCTGTCTGAGGTGCTGATGCTGATGCTCCGGCTGCTCGCATGTCATCTCACCGCCAGGTCCAATCCTCTCGTTTTCCCGCACGCCGTCTGGCTCCCGGTGCCGACTCGTCGCGTCGCCTGCGCAGCGCGCACCCGGAGAGCCGCTCATGCCCTTGATGATGTTTTCCACTCGGGCGCGCTTTGCTCGACGGCCACCGTTGGAGTTCCACTCGTGGTGCGCGCGCTTTCTCGCGGGTAAATGTCCAGCGGTGTCGTCTGTAACAAGAGCACCCTGCGGTGGCATTCGTATGTCCTCGCTGTCTTTGTGTGAGGACTCCGAGAGACCGGAGACCTCGGAATTGAGGCGCACGGTGTCCAGTTGGAAAGAGGAGACGTGACGCGCGGGGAAGCCGTCCACGCAAAAGCTGCTGGAAGGATACGTGACTCTGCTCCAAACACTTGGGTTCATGCTTGTTGGGCGAGATAACATTAAAAAAAATAGTAAGGCAACTTTTGTAAAACAATGAAAATTAAAATTGGCTCCTGGAAAATGTCAGAATAACGAATAAAGACTCTTAATTGCTTTGCAAATAAATTATATACTAGTCAAAAGTTGAGTTGAGTTCAATTCAATTGGAACGTGTATTCAGAATTGGTATACTATTCATACACATTGTGCAAATAAAGATATTTTAAACATGTATACTGGCATTGCATTTTTTTGATCGGCTGAGTTAAAATGTTAGTAAGTCAAAGGTAAACATCTTATATTCTAGTCTAATATGAAAGTAAAATGTGTAGCTTAGGATGTAAGAATAAGACCCACCTGTTGCTTCTAAAAAAAATGTCTCGAGGAGGCTGCAGGTCTGGAGCTCGCAGGAGGAAGGATGGTTTGAGGGAGTATTTGTAGAGGTCGAGCTGAGAGCCCCCCATGAGAAAAAGGGGGTGTGGTCATATGTGCGAACCTATCCCATCCTACCTGCACACAACAACAGGTCATTTAAATCCACTGGAAACTCACTCTTAACGGACGATATGGAGATTGACTGTAAGCTTTATTAATGTTATGCCATGGATGCTGATTGTGGAATTGATTCTAAATTATATTAAAAGTGTAGACGTCTACTTAATACAGGGAATGGTACAGTCCTTCTACCTGCACGTGACAGCGTTAACTTTTAATTCCGCCCTATTCACGATGCTGTTCAGGTACTGGTTCGCGGTGTCCATATAGGTTTGACCCCAGTACCAGTTGCTACCATAGATATATATGGTCGCTACGAAAGCGTCCCCCCCCACACACCAAAAATACCCCCCCCCCCCTCCCGGTGAGCCGCAGTGGTTCGTCCCACCTCCCGTGACGCCCTCCCGCTGCCTAGCGAGCTTCCGTACCGCTCCTTCAACTGTCAGATCGATCCTCAGTCGGGGGCGCGCGCTGCTATGTTATCGCGATCCAGGTGTGCGTACCGGACGCTCGGTCGTTGTCTGTCAGCGGCGAGCCAGGTAGGTCGGAACCGACGGTGCTGACGTTAGCTAGCTGAGGTCAGGTAGCTAGCTAGGTAGCTCGCGCAGCCGCGGGCCTCCACCCGGGTGACCGAGGGCGGACACGGACAGGCGGCTTCGCTTTGAGAAGAGGACCACAGTGTCCCAATAACAGTAAATAAAAGGGGCGGGGGGGCTGTGTGCCCTCCCCGGAAGCCATGTCGTTGTCGTCTGTCCTCGTCAATGTGTTTGACTGAACGTTGCACCGTTAACTTTAGCCAGGCTAACGTTAGCATGTGTCGGTGTTTGCGGGGCTGTGACGCGCGTGGACAGAAATAGCGCGGGTCGTGTTTGACACGCGTGTGCTTCCAGCTGTCTCCTCCTCGGCGCCTTTAAGCTGAAGCCGAAACGTAAACCCGACAGCGGGAACTGACTCGTCCGTGTTGCCGGGGTCCATTTGAACTTCAAGCAGGCAGCTGATATTTTTATTTTTGGTTCTCTGGATTGTATGTTGACGTAAAACAAATGTACGTAAACTAATTCATATTTTGGAAATAAACGTTCCTTATTGACATCTTCATCGACGGGTCCACTAATTGTTTCACCCATCAAGATAAGGATTATTGAAGGGAGATTAACTTTCTTTTAAAGAACACCTTGGGAAACAGTTGTTTTTTTTGTTTTTTTGGCAAAGGATAGATTGAAAAACCTCAGAAAAGGCCGAATAAACTAAGTATTTTGGTGGTTCGGTGTTGTGTTGTTTCCATGAGCAGCTGGTCAGTGAGTCAGAACCCAGATGACTCCACCCAGGCGGTTTTAGTTTTGTGAAGTGGAGAAGGTATCTAATCAAAATCACACAGGAATCTAAACGCTGGCACCATAAAGGGATTTTAGAACCGTTATATATTCACAAACTGACACGCTTATTCAAGGAGATGGATATAAAAGTTTTTTTTCCCCCCTTTTTTTGTCTTTCCTTCAGGCAAATAATGTGCTGGTCCGACAAAGTGTTTCGGGTGAGTGTGCGTTTGGACTGTTTGGTTTGAAAACCTCATCCTTAATGCAACATCTGAAACTGATTTTAATAATTATGCATAAACAAGCTTCATCCAAAGCAGGATAAGTGCTGCTCGTTGGATGTCTGAGATGATTTAGGAGCCCTCTGATGTCGCGTCCTCGGGAGAAAAAAATTGTTGTTGTTGATTTTTCTTTTCTTTTTTTCCTCTTAAGGCCTCACTGTGGGCAGCCAGCTAGTTTACAGGAATTCTCCCCCGTAAGTTCTCCCTCCCACCAGATTTAAAACCTCTTCAGCACAATGATGCATTGTCTGTGTAACATCAGTCTATTTAATTCAGGTAAATCCATTCTATGTGTAGAATATTTACCAGTATGGATTGGTTTGTACAACTTATATTTGTCAAGTAAAATACTAATGTTTTGGTTTTTTTTGTCTTGCTATTTAGATGTGAATTTGGATCCTCAGCAAATGACCCCCACATAAGATACTTCAAGACATCTACTGTCCACAGTATGCACTGAATCAATTCTCTGCAGTAAGGAACGAAGACGAGGGTTCTGTGGATCAGTTAAAGCAACCGTTGCTTTTGTTTTTTTTGCAGGGGAGGATGTCGTCACAGTCAAAACGCCTGCGTTTGCAGAATCCGTTTCAGAGGGGGACGTGAGGTGGGAAAAAGGTCGGTCCAAGTCAACCGTATCTTTGCTAAAATGTTGTTGAATTACCAATTAGCTGAACGTAATGATGAGTAAACCAAGCTCTGTCATCGATTATGTTCCAGCCGTAGGCGACTCAGTGACTGAAGATGAAGTGGTGTGTGAAATCGAGACGGACAAGGTGTGAACAAAGGCCATCAGTCCCTAAAATCATCAAGTTTTGTTCAAACCGAAAAAACATTTGTGTGTTTTGCGTGTGCTCTTTCAGACGTCTGTACAAGTCCCTGCTCCAGCAGCTGGTGTAATTGAAGAACTGTTGGTGCCTGATGGAGGAAAGGTAGAAGGAGGGACGCCCCTTTTTAAACTCCGGAAAGGAGGTGAGCTCAGTCAGCACCACCTCCCCCTCCCCCCAGTGTGCTGTGAATTCTAAATGACCACTTTAGGTCTGCGTTGCAGATGCTGCTGACAATCTGCTGCTTCATAAAATGGATTGAGCAATCACAGCAATAACCCACATCTTGGCCAAACATGTATGTTGTGAATCACAGACTGCATCTGTCTTTCTTGGCTTGTGTTTCCTTAGCTGTTTCTGCCAAAGCTGCTCCAGCAGCAGAGGCACCGGCGGCCGCTCCGCAACCTCCACCTCCAGCTTCAGCACCCGCTGCGATGCCTCCAGTGCCACCGCAGGCCGCACCAGTCAAACAGGGTGTGTTTTCCTTACCGATCATGTAAATCTACATTCCGCTGAAAGCATTTATTTCATGGCGTTGTGCAGGATGCATCCGAGCAGGCCGCCGCCCCTTATTGTCACCTTTGTCTCTCCGTCGTCAAGTTTCCGCCGTCAAGCCCGTGGCTGCACCTCCAGCGGCGGCTCCTCTGACATCAGCGGGAAGAGGAGAAAACCGGGTAACACACACCTGCTGAGCATTCACTCGTTAGGCTTTATCCACATGTTTAGTTTGTTTTTATCACATCCGTGTTGGAAACACTGAGGTTGAGTCTCTTTCTGTCCAGGTGAAGATGAACCGGATGAGGCTGAGGATCGCCCAGAGGCTGAAGGAGGCTCAGACCACCTGCGCCATGTTGACCACCTTCAATGAGGTGGACATGAGGTGAGCGCCTCCTGGCCAGATGTTTTCCACTGGGCTTTACAGTGTTGACTCATCGGTGACTCACTAAACACATTCTTCTCAATTATGCTTCAGCAACATTCAGGACATGAGGAAAATCCATAAGGATGCTTTCTTAAAGAAGCACAACATCAAACTGGGTTTCATGTCAGCATTCGTGAGGGCTGCTGCTCACGCTCTGACCGAACAACCTGCCGTCAACGCCGGTGACACGTCCACGCTTTTCTCTCACTTGGCACAGCCAGTATTTTAGGTTTTTTTTTGTCTATGAATATTCTTTTTTTTTTTCTAACATTATTCCACATGTTTTTTCTGCAGTTATTGATGATACAACCAAAGAGATTGTCTACAGGGATTACGTAGACATCAGCGTCGCCGTGGCGACTCCCAAGGTACGACTTTTGCTCTCTATGAAAACCGTACATTCTGACATTAAATACTGATTCTTATTGTAACCTCGAATGGATCTGAAAAACATGTTTTTGTTATTTAGGGGCTTGTTGTCCCGGTGATCCGTAACGTTGAGACCATGAACTTTGCTGACATTGAGAAAACCATCAACGCATTGGGAGAAAAGGTAAAAAATAAATTAAAAAAAATCCTGATGCAATAGGTTTAATTTATTAATGAATAAACCGGTATCTTATTTAATTTACCAATTTGTGTCATGTGTCTCAGGCTCGTAACAACGAGCTCGCTGTTGAAGATATGGACGGAGGCACCTTCACCATCAGCAACGGGGGCGTGTTCGGCTCCATGTTCGGCACACCCATCATCAACCCCCCGCAGTCCGCCATTCTGGGCATGCACGGCATCTTCGACCGGCCTGTGGCCATCGACGGCAAGGTGAGCATCACCTGTGCACGGACGCAGAGGGAACCGCTGTTTTGTTGAGAAATAACCACATGACTGTTGAAACAGTGAGGAGTGAATCGGGTGCACCCTGGGTTAGCAAAGGTGATGCTGATTTATAAAAGTTCAGATAAACCGTGAATTTGTTTTTAAAAGATAAACCACCACATGAAATTAAAAACAAAAAGTTGTGCGGGACAAAGCAGCAGCAGGACGAGTAGTCTCACCGCCCAGACGCGCATCGATCACACAAACCTTCCACGGATTTGATTCCATTCCAAACTTTCTCTCTTTGCCTCGGCAGGTTGAGATCCGGCCCATGATGTACGTGGCGCTGACCTACGACCACCGACTCGTCGACGGCAGAGAAGCGGTCACTTTCCTTCGCAAGATCAAGGCGGTGGTGGAAGATCCCCGCGTGCTGCTCCTGGACATGTGATGTTTCCACCACCGCGTCACTCTCACTCAACGCTGCATACGATGAACTCCATGTCGCAAAACACGCACAAGTCGTACAAAATATATCGCTGTCGCTTTTAAAAAGTTCCCTCGTAGAGGAGGCACTTAAGGTGGGCCGTTGGCTACATGACAAAGGGAAAAAAAGATCCCCGGTCGTCCATCGGGCTTCGTTTTTGCTGCATTTGAATGTAGAAACGAGACAAGTCGCATTTATTTTACGCGTATTGAGACAAAAAAAAAAAACGGTACACGGGTTTAAAAAGTTGATAACACCTTCGTCTCTTCAGATGAAAGTGTGAGGCCGTAGACAAACACTCGTTGCATCCTTGTCCTTTTTGTGTCATCAGGAAAATAAACAGCTTTTCCCAAGCGGCATTTGACTCGCTGGTTAGCTCATTTCCCCACAGCCAGGATAACGGTTAACGCGGGATTGGAGCCATCTCCTGATTCTAGTTGTTACGAAGAGGTGTGTAAGAAGGACTCTGTAACTGGAGCAGCAGGTTTTTGTGTGTGTGTCACCAGTCATATTCATCCGTGTCATGTTGAGCAAATGTTGATCAAACCACTGCGAGATTTAAGTAAAACACAACCAGGACTTCACAAACTACGACTCACCGAACCGTGTTTTCTTTTCAATATGTCGGGAATTATGTTCAAAACAAACGAGTTGGCTGCAGGGTTTTATGTTGAGATTTTCCTTGCTATATATATTACTTGCATCTATTAAAGAAACCATTTTTAAGCATTAAACATCTCAAAGCTTTCTGTACTGACATTTGTCTTGCACATTTACTTCACGCAAACATTTCACCTCGAGTCGCCCCCCCCCCCCTCTCGGAACACGACGGCGATGCCACGATGAAAGCGCGGCGCTGAGGCGGCGAAGCTCTTCACCGTCGGTCTTTGGCTGAAGCATTTGATCTCGTGCCAAATCTGTTTAAACCCCCACGAATTCTCTGCTGCGGATGAATTCTGCGCCGAAGGCCGGTCTTCAAAGCCTCGTTACCCGGCCCACCGCTCGGGGCCCCTCCAGAAGCTCCCGGTAATGAGATCGTCTCTGACAAAGTCTTGAGGGTTGCTTGGCCCTTTTCTCCCACTTCACAAACACTGGCTGGAGTGCGTGCAGCTGTGTGCGACTCCCCCTTCAGTGTTTCTGTTTACTTTAATAATCACGGGGGGGAGAAACAAAGGGTCCTAATGTACGTCTTTGTTTCTCTGCCAGCACCTACACAAATGTCTGAGCAACACTGTTTGGAGGGAAAAAACACAGAATTCATTATGAGACCAGAAAAAAAAAAACCTCCCCTCCCCAAACATTAATTACCATGAGAATACTGGAGGTCCTAATGGGCCTGAATGCAGCAAACAATGATACAAGGGTTCCTTTTTTATTTAATTATTTACTTTATTACCGCTCAAGATTCCATTATCGCTTTTGAGTTCATGTTAATGGTCCGCCTGTGCCAGGGGGTGCATAGATATCTGAAGGGTCTGTTGGCAGGTTTATTGTTTGCTTCTTCAAAATTTGGCCAGATTTGCAATTGCACCGCTCAATAAGATGTTTTAAGTCTTTGTGTCCATTCACATGAAAGATGGCCCATTAGAAATTGGCAGCTCGCTGTTTGTTTTCATTAAGCCACATCACAGGGATAATTTACCTAAATTATTCTGTTATTCTTTTTCTTTCTTGTAAATAGCCAATTATATACATTTTATGGAAATAATTGTGTATATCAGTCCAGTGGTAAAATCTACTTTTAGTTTAAGGGGATTCTAATATTAATTAATATTATAAGCAAAATTGTCCATTTGCACTTGAGTAGCTCATGCCAAAGAGTAAAGGCTTCTATCTACTCTCCATTCAGTGGAACATCTTCACACGTCCTAACGAACAAGCCTTGTACGCATGTACGGCCTAATTAGAACATCCACTTGTGGTCGTACGCACACACTCAAATTCTGTGCTCGTCCCCCACGAATGCAGTCGTGGACAAATAAATCGGAACAGCATTCGAGCAACAAATGCTGCTGAGCGGTTTCACTCTTTAGTTTATGTGGCTCACGAGCAGATAACCGACCCTCCGTGTTTTAGTGCGGCAGATGTTATCTTGCAACTATTCGGCTGATTTAACAAAAGATATTTTCAGTGGGTGACCAAAGTGATGAAACAACGATGAGACGGAAGAAACTCTGCATGCGGAGATGAAGTTGAGACAAACACTGACTGAGCTGTGTGTTCGATCTAAAGGAGAAGACCAGGCCGGGCGCCACGTGGGGGAAGATGCACTTTAGATATAAATGATTGAATTTTGGGGGTGAAATAATATAAAACAAGAACGAAATCTGTGACTACAGGTGAAACATAAGTGATGTTTCTATCTTTAAGTTATTTCCACACAAACAAGCTGATAATTGTATATTATTCAAACGGGGTGTCACTTCAACACGGATGTCCCGTGTCCCAAACCCATTACACCCCGAGCCGATGCGCCGGAGAGACGCCGCGTCCTCTCGTCGGCTCCTCTCTGGTGAACCACCGGACGGAAACAAACTGCACTCTGGGATGTCACACCTTGAGACAACTCCCCCCCTCCCTTAATGAACCCCGCACAAGTGATGCATATTCATAACGCTGCCGTTCCATTGAGAGCGATCGGTGTGGCCGAACAACCAGCTCGCATCTGGCCCCATTCTTTTCCCGCTCTCGCTCCTTTTGATACGGGCGCCAGCTCGCTCTTTCTTCCTCCTCTTGTTCTGTTGTCATACCACAAGATTATTTTGGGGATGGAGAGAATGAGGCGGAGGACCCCGTGGCCCAGCCGCAGACACAGCGGGCGGCGCTCAGGTGGGTGCAGCTGGTTGGTGTCAGAGGTTCAAGTATTCATCCGGGACAGAATTGGGTTGACCCAAGGACTGCCCCCCCCCCCCCCCCCTCCCCTCTCCTTCCACCGGGGAGGGGGGGGGGGTCAGTACATTATTAGGAGACACCTGTCAACGGTGCACATTTCCATCGGGTTTGTGATGTCAGTTAAACCTCCTTTAGAGCGACTCTTATTCGGCAATGATTATTTGACAGGAATGTGAAATCGCCCCACGATGTGAGTTGTAAGGCACATGAGGAGCACTGCGAGCGCGTGAGAAAGAAAATCAAATAAGAGACGTCATTTTTTTATTTTTTATTTATTCAAATTAAAGACGTGTTGTGAGTCTCTGCACCTACGACGGCTCAGCGAACTGACTGCAACAAAGAACGGTGTTCACAAGATCTTAGCTGCGAAGAATCGAAGTAATTTCACTCATAATACATTTAATAAAGCATCTCTATGATAACTGAGCAGCTTATGCACTAAAGAGGGAGTTTCGTTTGAAAAAGAAACAAAAAAAAATGTCCCACTTCAACCAATGAAATCCAAAATGCATTCAAGTTTCAAAATTTCAGCAAATTAATATTTGATTGTTTTTTTTTCCCTTTAAAACTAATATCTTTAACTTAAATCTGTTTATTCTATTTTCCCTTAAAATATATATCTTTGTTATTACTGAGTTTAAAAAATAATATATATTATTAGTATTACTGAGACTGACCTGTAGACGATGCTGCATGTGCACTTCTCATCAAACTTCTTGATCAACCACTCAATCTGCCGCCGGTCCAGAGGTACGTTGGCTTCCTGCGTGCATGACAACGTGTCAGACTGCTTTAGGCCAACAAAGCGCTTCTGCGTGATGGATTCGTGGTACTAGTTGATGTGTGAATGTGCGACGTTGTTCCCGTGGGTGTGAGAGCTGCTTAGCCTGACCTTCACGGCCTTCCTGAAAACACTGGTGGGCACTTTTTTGGTTCCCTTTTCATCCAAACTCCGGAAGAAGTCCATGATGCTCTCATTTCGCTCTTTGAAGAATTTCTGGAGGAAGAAACCGGATCATGTTTCACGAGTACACATGTGTGTCTGGATATCCCTTTTTTAGGATGATTTACAGCTTTTTCGCGCCGTCGTAAACCCAGTTGTAAGCGTATCTGTTTCCACATGTTTCCCTTACGTGAAAGATCCGGAGGGCTGATATGTTCCTGGTGACGGAGCTCATGACGCTGTGCCGAACATCCAGACCGGGACGCCTCTGACGGGCTTCTTCCAAAAGCTCCACAAAGGTCTCGCAAACAAAAACTGTCTGCATGACACACACACACACACACACACACACACGATCAGAGTGTATAAACAGCAGTGCAGTCAGACGTAACAGTCACACGTCGACATACAGACAAGCTTCGTACTCATTCTTCATCACACACAGAGGTTGAAAAATAGTTTTTCTGCACTTAACAGAAACGTCCATCTCTTTCAGGGCTGAGTTGGGGTTTTCCGTCACGGCCCGGAGCAGCGACCGCGCTCCGATGGTCGTCAGCGGGTTACGGGACAGCTGGGCAGAACGCACAGACGCAGAACCGCGCGTTTTTGAAAGGCGCCCGGATCGCGGCGATGCCGACTCGATCCGGCCCCTTCGCGCGCGCGCTCACCCGGAGGACCCCGAGGGCGGCGTTGGTGGCGAGGCCCTGGCCGAGGAGCGCCGCCGCCCGGTCGTCGACGAGGTTCCTGCTGAGGTCCAGCAGCACCAGCGTGCTGTTTTGCTCCAGCGCTTCACCCAGCGACTGCGCCCCGGCAGGTCCAAGACCGTTCCACGCCAGCTGGAGCTGTTGCAGGGTCCAGTTCACCTGAGGAAAGGGGAGCGGTTGAGCGTCAAAAGGCCGGGGAGGGAAATGTTTAGAAAGGTGAGTGGCGCTTATCACCTTCAGTGCAGCCCCCAAAGCCGCGGCGGTACGCGTACCGAGGTGGTTCCAGGTCAAATCTAGCACTCGTATACCCGCATTGGAGGCTTTTTAGGGAGGACAAACAAACGACTCATACAGTACATACAGTATACATCCTTTGGCTGCTAGATATAACATTTGGGATTCCTTGGGACAGGCCGATGATAGAACTATGTGGTGTTATTTAGTGGCTCGGCTGCTAACGTGAATTTAAACAAAGTGAGGATTTTGCCATCGACACAAATGGACCCACGGACGTTAGAAACGATGGATGGAACCACGTCTTTGTGTAAATATGGGACGGACAACGACCCAGCAAGTGTTGAAATAACGAGAACCAAAAACGAGCCTTTGGTGGCAATGGGTGTTAACCCTTCTCCTCTTCTGAAAGATGGGATTTGATCTCCTAATACAATGTGAGCTGCTGTACCCAACATGTGACCCAGGTGTTCTCCTCCTGCATCAAATATGTTGTTGTGACTGAGATCCAGCTCTTTGACTATATAGTCAACCTAAGAATTAAAGAAGAAAAAAGGAAATTTAACGCGCATTTTCATCACGACTCAAATGTTATTTGATCATTCTTTGAAATAACCTTCAACGCGTCGGCCAAGTATTTAGCAGCAGAATCGTCAAAATGATTTCCTGCATGAAGAAAAGTACACGTTAAAAATAAAAACTCACTAATTGCAGAGGTGCACACACAAATATGTTCACCTGGGAAAAGACTTTGCCAATCACCTGAGAGCTTTAGGGTTGTTATGTTGCAGGTAATTGATAGCATTTTGGAGATGATCTGTGCTCCTTCAAGGTGCAGCTGGTTGTTGGAAAGATTCTGACATGGAGACATTGAGACAACATAAGCCCCGATATAAATCAAATTAAAAATCAAATCATTTGTCTTCCGCAGTTCTGTGCAGACAAGCACCGGGCTGATTTTTCAGAACAATTACTAGACTCTCGATGCTTTCGTTTATTTGAAGCATCTCCGTCAGATAGCGCGTCCCCTCGGCCTGAAGCGCGTTGTCCTCAAGCTCCAGGTTGGTGACGGCGTTGTCCCTCTAAAACATGGAAATAACACACGTGTTTTCTCTCCGTCGACATCTACAGTGGGAACAAAACACTCCACCCAAAGTAAATCGCATCAACCAACCCGCGCCCATCCCGAGTGTGCAAGGATTAAGGGACTTTCATACTCGCAGAGATACGGCCAGGGCTTTGGCTCCGAGGCGTCCTACGCCGTAGTGGTTCAGGTCGAGGTTGGCTTCACCCAGCTGACGGAGGTAGGAGGACACCGGGGCGCAGCCCGTCCACCGACAGGCCTCCAGGTACCACTCTGCGGGGGGCGAGCGGTGTTTCTGACCGGTGCCATCTGGAAGGAAGGAGGAATATACAGAAACGGGGGGAATGGGGTGGGAGGCGCTAGGCGTCCATTTGTCAACTTACTGTCCGTTTCATCCCCACTGTCGACCTCTTGACCTCGGGCCGGCCGCTCCTCCGCATCACGGGGATCCATCGTGCTTCACAAGACCCGGAGAATGATCACCTGTGTCCGCACCGCGACAGGTGAGCTTTTACCGAAAGGCTTTCCGAAGTAGAAGAAGGTCTAAACTGAAAAAGAGTTGATGACGCGCCATTTGTGCGAACACGACCGTTAGAAACTGCTGGGTTGTTGTTGTTGTTTTTGCTAGCGTTAGCAGTTAGCTAATTTGCTGTTACCCTCCCTGAGTGAGATTTAATTAAGGTTAGACCCACGTCTAAAGGAGTGTACTTTTACATTGGATCGATTTAAAAATAATTCGAATACTTATTCAAAATGCTTTCCTGTTAAACTTGTTTTATTGTTCAGAATAGAGAAACCAGCAGCTTACCTGAGCGAGTTGTGTCACTGCTGATGAGGGTTTAACCAACGGACAGCAACGGTTGTTTGTTTGGCGTTCACACGTTCGAAGGTTTTAACAAACAAACGATATACTGGTGTTAAATATTACGTTACTTTTGTTTTCATAGGGCCTCAACAGATAATCGGTTAAATTGATTTATGGGGCTGGAATCGTGCAGTTCTCAAAGGGGTCCACTAGATGGCGCCGCAGTGTGACGTTTACAGTAGAAATATAATATAGTAGAAAGTAACTTTGATGCGTGGGTTTGTTTGTGTCTCCATCCAAATAATAACTGAATGAGATCAATCCATAATTATTTTTGACTTTTGCTGCTGTCCAAAAATAAAATTCGTTCTATTTGTATATAATATAGACTAAAAAGTAAAAGATATTTTAAGTAACTAAGGAAATTATTATAAGCTGAAATACAACAACTAATTCAATGATAATTATTGGAGAGAGATCTTTCTTAAAGCTTTGAAAAAAGTAAGAACATCCTAGGAGACGTTATAAAAATGTAGCAATAATGCAGCGAGAAAAGAAGTGAACGCGGTGTGAGTTCTGCAAATGAAAGAAAGCCCCGTATTTGGCAATGTAGCTCAGCTGAAGAAACACGATTGCACAACTTCTGTCCCTTGATAGCTCCAGTGTTATGACTGGAAGGAGCCACTGAGATCACTGTGACGAATTTCACCAAACAAAAGACCCCCCGTCTGATTTTGTGATTTAAAAAAAAACAAGACTCGCAGTCTCTCGTAGTTAAAAAATAAAATTTAATCTATTCTTGGAAACAGGGTCGTACACAGCAGGTACAGGTGCCGAGCGGACGCTGCTCATCTCAAGGGATTTCTGCTTGTTTTCACAGCCGAACCGGAGAGACAGAAAAGACAAATCACGTCAAGTGATCAACGAACATTTCATATATGTTTATGTATACAAAGCAGTATAAAACAGTACAATAATGGACAGACAACAAGTCCAAAAAACCACGGGTGTAAACATTTTGTGTATATGTGCTTTTCATGACGCCAGCGTCACCACAAATCGGATCAACCGGTTACTGCCATCGTCGGGGCAGAGTATAGAAATCAACATTACAAGAACTCGGCCTGGTGTACTTTTATTGAGTGTTCGTATCCTAAAAACTCTACACCTGTATATGTTCGGCTAGCGTACGAATAGAGAGAAGAAAAATAAAGTTGCAGTTACAAAAAAAACAAAACGCCACGCAGTTCTCGTGGCTTTTGTAACAGAGCACCTCGTTGATATCAGTGCGTTTTTCCCCCTCGGCGTCGCTTCCGCTCGTCCTCCGCCGATCCCATTGGTCCCTTTCGTGTAGAGATGGTTGAAGTGACGACCAGGCACGGCGGGCGTCAGCGACGACACTCAATGTGTCCTTGTTTTCCCGGACGGGACAGAGCCAGCTCGTGCTAAGGACGACCCTCGACCTTTTCCGCCCGGAGCGTCCGATAAAGTCTTGAGCTCCAGCGCTTGTGTGTGTTTTTTTGTATTTATTTATTTCAAATGTGCCGCCAGTTACGGTTATTGTTCCAAAAGGCGGAGGCCTGTTGCCGCCGTTTCGGGGGCGGTCGGGGGCTACGTGTCCCCTTTTGGGTTCCTTTCTCTTTTTTTTCCTTCTTTTTCCTGGTTTCACTCGGCGTCGGCGGACAGCTGCTCCAGCAGCGGGTTGTCCTCGCTCTCCGGCGTTTTGACGCTGTCGGTCCGCACGATGCAGGTGGGCCGGTGGAGGTTGAGCATCACCATCAGCTGCTGCCTCTCCAGGCGGAGCTCCTCGATCTGGGCCTTCAGGTCGCAGTTCACCATCTCCAGGCGCTCCGATTCCTGCGCGCAGAGGTCGGATCGTTAGAAACTAGACGCACCCGTTATTCACAGCACCGTTTTCACTCGTCTCAATTGTTCGAACCAGACTCGCGTTGGCTGCGAATCGGGTCGGCCAAAATCAGCCAAAGTGTAGTTTGTTAGCTCCCACTCCTCGGTGCGATGGACTCACCCTTTGGAGGAAGTCGGTCCGTTCCTTCTTTTTGTTTCGGCATCGTGCCGCAGCGACCTTGTTTTTCTCTCGTCTGCGTTTCCTCCTGTCGTCATCCTCGTCCATCTGTGGACCGCGTTGCGTGGTTAATGCGAGAAACGGGCGTCACGTGAGGGCATTTTTGTTTTCTTAATGACACGTCAATGGTAATGGCAGAGATCGGTCTTTCCCACCGACTGTGCGGGAAGGTCGCGACCCCGCAGGAGTCAAAAAAGAATTTAATTTCTTCGCCCTAATCATGAATTCTAACAAAGGCCCTCAGAAAAAACTATTCTGTGCGACCTCAACAGTGAATCTCGTCGTGAGCACTAGAGGGGGCAAAATGACACAGATTGTAACGTACCAACATACTGTATACACTAATTCTTCTAACACACAATCCTCATCCGCCGCCGCTGCTGCTCACTTCCTCCTCACCTCGGTCTTGATGGCCAGCGGCCTCTTCCCGAGCCTCCCCAGGAAGTGCAGCGGGGACAGCATGGTCCCCAGCTGGCGGAAGTCGGCCAGCTTGAGCTGGTCGGTGAGCGTGGTGGCCGAGATGCCCGCCAGCGGGCCCAGGCAGGGCAGGGAGCCCGCCGCCAGCGAGGGGTCTGGGATCTGTCCCGGCATCATGTCCGACCCGGCCACCACCGCTGCTACGGGAGGGAGAGGAAAGGAAGAATTAGCGACATAGAGCAGTTTTAATCTCCAAAGGGATTTTGCCTTTTTATTTTTATTTTTTTCAAAGAGAGGTTGACCGGCGCGCTTTAGAAACGCCATCAGGGAGGAATGAGGTACGGCCGGGAGAAAGAGGAGAACGTGGCCTCAAGCAAGTGGCCCGGAGAAGTGTGAAATCGCCAGTAGAATGGGAGGTGCAGTTACGTACGACGCCAACATTCAGCGGCCGCCACACATGTTGAGCCGATGGGATGGTCCACCAACGCAGACTCTCCGCCGGTTCAAGTTTAAAAAGATTGGTATCAGTCTGACCCGCCCTTCCCCCCAACCGACGCCCCCGACCCCATCACCGCCTTGTACCCCGTTTGCCTCTTGAGCATCGGGCCGCAGGTTGTGCAGGAAACCGGACAAAGCCCCTCTCATGTGGGACCAACAAAGACGAGCATTGTGAGGTGGTTCGGAAACAGCTGACTCTGCTGGTGGGCGACGAGCTGACGGGTATTGTAAGTCAAACCGGGTCTCTCTTTTTTTCTCCTCCTCCTCTCGTTCGTTGCTACTTTCCTCGCGAGGCTGAGGAGACTCGCTCCGTTACAAAAGTCAGAGAGGAGCTAATGAAAAAAAATAAAAAGCAGGGTTATGTAACTCTATTCTGATGGACTCCACCCTGGTTATGGGCCGGTCCCAAAGTGTTTTTACAGTTGGAGTACAGCGGGAGTTTACTGTCGAGCGCGGTGGAAACCCAACCCCCCCACCCGACCCCCCCACCCCCTTCATCGGGAGGGAATCACTTCTGACGGGCAGCGGCCTTTCTTCTCTGCTGAATAACCCACACTATTTCTGTCTCACAATGCTTTCATTCATCCGTTTAGTATTTGTGAGTTTGACCCACTGCATGCAGACAGTGACGGGAGGGGGGGGGGGGGGGCTCTGTCGCATATGAATTACCACAAACATGAAGTTTTCGGGTCCGTCACACCTCCACGCTGCTTCTGACCCGTCCCTCACCGCCTGCATGATTTATTCTCTCCAAGGACAAGTTGGTGTGTGGAGCCACTGTCCAATGAGGCATTTTATTATTTAAATACGGACTCCCCCCTCCACCCTCCCATTTCTCCTTCCCTCTCTCCCACTGTATGTATACTCCCATTTACACTGCACTTGGCAGCGGCATGTTGTTTTTGCTGGAGAGGAAAAGAACAAGACAGCCCTGGTACAAAAAAAAAAAAAAAAATTGCTCTCAGACTAAATTCTCTCTTTTCTCTTTCTCTCAAAGTGGTGGAGGAATGGAGGGCGCCATGGCCTCCATTCCTCCACCAGTCTGTCTAAGAACAAGGCAAACCATATGGCAGCTAATCTTAAATACGCCCAAAAACCCCACCTCTCTGCGTTTATTACAAAGTCTTCAGACCACCCGATCACGCTTGTGTGCCGCTTGTTTTGTTTCTTCCTCACATTGCTGACCAATAACTGTGCAGGAATTGGGAACAACAAAAAACACGCAACGCAATCTCACCCTTGGACCCGAGAGAGAGCAGCCACAGGAAACTGAAGCGCCCATTAGGAATGACTAATCAGAGCCAAAACGGAGTCCGGTATCCAAGTCGTGCCGGACAACCCAGTTTACAGACTCCGTCCTGCACAAACACATTTCTTTCAATGGAAACCGACCCGGTAGTAATTATATTATGTCCCTTTCAGAGCAGGGCTGGTGTGCGGTGCTTTGCAACGGGAGCCTCCCCAGTCAGACAAGGAAAGCCCCCGTTGCATGAAACGGCTTGTCCAAGCACGCAGCACACACACACACACGCAGAAATAGTTCAGCACGTCAACGTTTTGGGTACTCGCGGCCTCCAAGGTGAAATGATGTCTGATCCGAGACGCCTTCAGTGGTGAGACAATGAGGTCGGTGAGACAGCGTTCGAGTTCCCCCTTTTTGTAAATTCGGCATCCCCTCAAGCCCTGAGACATGAAAGCCTGGAGAGGCGTCTTCTGTAAGAGATAAGGGAGGCTTGCTGAGGCGATGACGCTTTGTGTAATTATACCAAAAAGCATAAATCAGGTAGATTGTTACTTTTTCCAGAGGGTATTTTTCTCTTCTTTTTTTTTTTTGTTTTTCCGTCAGTCGCTGCAGCCGAGGATTAGCGGTCAGCGCTTGATGATGCAACGCGGTTACTGTGCTTTTGCAGTCGAGCAGAAACTGCAGAAAGCCTCGGACAAGGACACCTACACAGCCCGGCCCCCGCCGACCTCTCCGGCCCGAGCCCATGTCATCATGCAGCTATGAAATACGGGGGGGGCGTCCTCTACGCTGCCGGCGCCCGTCCGACTGATCTAACCGCATGCGAAGCGGTTGATGGCCGGAGGTGTGTGGAATGTGCAGGCAGCCAGCGCGTCCTTCATCTACAGGCGGACGCTTTCTTCGCACATGCTCCGTATGCGTGAGTCCATTTCCTCACTCATTCCTGAGACCAATTAACCGCGTTGCGGAATTCAGCCCCTTGACGATGGCTGGCAGCGCGACAGGAGGCCCTATTGTCCTCCTTCCCTTAGAGGGTGAAGGGGGGGTCGGGGGTCAGTACCTTCAGATACTGCTAACTAACCTCACCCATCGCAGTCACTTGAGTTACATCTGTTACATCTTCTGCGCTGCCAGACGACTCAATAAATCACCGGCATTGTGGGAAAGACGCGCGCACCTGGCAAGATTCTATTCCACTTATTTGTCCAAAATCTGACTTGAAATAACAACGCCTTGCACGGCGCGCGCACACACACACACACACACACACACACACACCGATGCGAGTCTTGCAAAACACTTTGAGACGGCGGCTCCAGCTCTGAGCGCCACACGAGCGCTGGAGTTGCACGCTGAGCGCGATGGGCCCGGGCCAAGGCATGCTCCCTCCGTCTCCCGCCAAGGTCTCGGCGATCATCATTACCACCCGCGCTCCGTCGGGCTGCGTGTGCGTGCGTGTGTGTGTGTGTCGAGTTACCGCGTTTTTCGCAATCCTCCCGGGGGAAACCGGGGGAATGTGACACCGCCTTTCATCGGAGGACGGTTCCGGACGGTCCAAATACACAGCACCAGCATTCCTCCGGGCCCTCATTATATTTTCATTGGAGGGACGGGGCCGTTGTTCTGATGGCGCGGCGGTCACCTCAGGCTGTTAAACTCCGGGGTGACGGCGCGTGGGAGTGGAAGTGATTATCACAACAGAAAGAAAAAAAAAACCAGGATCTCTTTTCATTTCCAGCTTTCGCTTCTCTTTTGGCAGTTCTCAAAGGCTCCGACAGCTGCCAAGAGATATAAGGAACCGTTCACAAGATTAAACTAAACCTTCCCGGAAGCGACTCGACGCAATTAAGAACATTTAACCTTGCAATGTTTTCAGCGTTGATAATAAGAGCCTCAGCTGCAGCGCTAATGAGCGAGCCCCCCCCCCCCCCCTCCACAATCACAGGTCGGATGTCTCAGCGAGCCAAAGTACAATGCAGGGAGAGGTAATCAAAGCTGCACAAGAGGGCAGGTAGTTTAGCTTTTGTGTTCTACTGAAGACTCCGGCCTAAGAAAAGAATTTAAAAAAAAAAAAAATGTCCTGGCAAATCGAAACACAAAGCACATGCAGATATGCAGGAGGACTGTGGCTGCCTTCATTCAGACGTTGCTGTGTGATCTTTGGCTGGATTCCTGCCTCGTGCCATTCAAACAGCCCCACATCTATATTCTGCATCTGGGTGGTCCGGGTAGAATTATGATATATATATATATATTAGACTCGTATTGCCCTGAGAGCCCCCCCCCCCCCCCGGCTCAGACATGAAATACATGAGTCAAAATACGAAATGCAGACAATAGACATTGCAAATGGCCTCAACGTTTATGACCAATCCAAGTCGAGATATGTGCAACCCCTGACTACTTCACATGGGCCAACCAAGTCTAGAAAATCTGATATAATGCCGCCTGCTGAAGCAATCGTTGTTATTATGTAACGCGCGGCTGTCGCCGTTTCATACTTTGTCCTCTGCCGTTTCCTCATCTCAGCACACGCCTGCTCTGATTAAACAAGCCGCCGTGTCTGCACCGTGCTATGTGTCCGGTCCTGTTGTCCACCCAACGGCTTCCGAGCTAAACCTCAATGCCCAGGTCGACACTTGGGGACAATTTTCTGCAATTTCGTGCAAATAGAGGAAAAACTGGCCTGGAGAAGAAACTAAATTCAGGAAATCTGGAATTCATAACCAACGGAGCGTTTACTGTGCTCCTTTCTTTTCAAAAGAAATCCAGCTGGCTTCAATGTCTCTTCGCGGTTACACCTTTTGGACGTGTGGGTGTTTGCTTCCACTGTGCACATCTAGTCTGTCCTGACGCACCGTTTTCAAAAGGCCATGTGGAAAAGCTTAAGGGGGCTACAACGTGATACACACGGCAATGAATAGCCGCTCTGCCGGCATTAGTATTAGTCTCATTGAGCCTGTAGCTGTTGCATAGCTGGCTCGCTCGCCTGCAATGCGTCTGCCGTCTATTCAGCGCGCTGGGGTGCAGCTCGGCAATTCCAGCTCTCCAGAGACGCACTGGAAGGCATTTCTACTCAAAATAAACCCCGCGCGCGCGCCCACGTCCAGCCTCTCAGCCCCGTCGGCCCCGTGCTTGTTGCCTGCTTGTCGGCTCGCCAGCCCTTCCCCATTAATCCGCTGCGGCGTTCCCTTTATGCAGAAAGCATCCTGCGGACGTGCCCGGGCAGGCGCTGGGGCATTTAAACCCTCGGCGGAACGCGCGCTTGTTCACCTCACGCAAACACAAAATAAAAGGGACAAAGGTAAGCGTGTGTGTGTGTGTGTGAGAGAAGAGGGCACACACAGCTTCTCCTGCGGCATGGCATGTACGGCGGGTGCTGCACCGGCTGAAGGAAAACACTGGACCTATGAACCGGCACAAACATGTGCCCCCCCCCCACGTTCATATTTCCCATTCCATGATTGGCCTTAGACCTTCAGACCAACGGGGGGGCGATAACTAACGCTGCCTCTGGTCTAGATAAGGTTCCTGTTACACAATAAAGTGTAAATCTTTTAAAAGATCCTGATGTGGACCAAAAGGATGCTTTTTAAAGGCTCATCACAACGACACGGGGAAAGGAGGAGTGTAACATTGGACTGTGTTTGTAGTATATGCAAATGAAAGGCTGCAGCGCGCACACACACAGAATGACAACGGCTGCAGTTGAACTTCCAGTGCATGTGCACAATAGTGTGGGCCGAAAGCAACGATCGCACGCCAGGTAAATCTGCGCGCGCGGCATTTGTTGTGCTCACATGCTGCCGAACAAACGTCTCATTTCATTTGCATCACTTTGTGTTTCAAGGTGAACGAGTTATACACAAAGAAAGAGAGCATGTGATTAATTCAGTGTAAAACTTTTAAATATGCAGTACTTACTCAGAGAAAACTTGTCAGTCTTCGTCTTTCAATGATGCAACGGTGTTCGGACGCTGTAGAGAGACAGAAGGATGTGTATTATTCTGTAAAGTCCAGGTGTTCGTCTTGTTATGAGAGACTTCATAAGTGATGAATCGTAAGTGAAGGTGAATCAAAGTCACTTTCTCAACTGTGACGTTATTGGGGTTTTTTTTTATTATTAGGCCAATTGTTTAGTTCATCGCCCGAATCAGCTAATTAATCAAGAATAGTGATACATTCATGAATGAGTTATATTTAAAAAAAAAGAATCATCCTTTCCCGCCATTGTTATGGTTTCTCCGCCGCTCCCAGCGACGAGAGACACTATTATTCACTCATTTTCCCGAACTACCAAACTCCCCCCGCAGAGTCCGCCGCGGTGCGCCACGCTGGCTTTGCGTCGCCGTCACGCGCAGTGGCCGCAGTCTGCGGCGTGCGTCGCCTGACGTAACCCCCCCATACCCCCCCCCCCCGGGTTAACCGACGACACTTTTCCCGTCCGGCGGGACCGACTGTGGGGGGAAACTTTGAAACTTATTTTCTTCTTCTTTTCTTAAAAACAACCTCCGGACTTCTCACGGTCATCCGGGGGGGTCGGAGGGGGGGGACACGTCCTCGTGTATCGAGGCTGTAACTGTGACGTTTAACGTCGCAACGTGGTGAGAAAAAACATGCATGCAAATGCGTTCACGAGCATTTAACGTGAGCTAACTATTAGCTAGCGGCAAAAAACAACAACACCAACAACCAAAACGGGATAAAAAAAAAAAACAACAACACGCGGCTCGGCGGCTTTAGCGCCAGTCTTACCTGACGTGCGTCCGAAAAATATCCGCAGTGAAATAGTGCGGCGGTGCGGGAGCGCAGTCGGATGCGGGCTTCGGGACTCACTGAAGCCGTTGCATCAGCTCCCGGTTTAAGTAGCGATCTGGTCTGTGAGGGCTCGGGAATGCGGAACTGCTGTCCCAGACGTAAGCATGGATGAAAATAATGTGAGAGGAGGGCCGCAGATGTTCGCTCCACCCCTAGCAACCAGAATAACACACACGGGCCGGAGGAGAGGCGGTAAATAATACGAGTTATGGCAGACGTAGCTGCAGGTGTTTTATCGTTTCACTGCTGGCCAATTGGGCTCCGGCCAAAAAGGAGGAAACGCTTCGTGAGTTTATTGGTCCATTTATTTGTTTGTGGCATGTAATCAGTGGTGGAAGTGCTACTAAACGCTCCCAAGTGCAAGTACAAAGTAAAAGTCCTGCATCCAGATTAAAAATAAACAGCATTCTAGTGTTATCAGCTAAATATAGGCTTCCTCCAAGCATGACATGTAGTTACTGTGCAGAGAGTTGAATTATATCATCAGTTGTCTTGTATGTTTTCAATGTGCCGCCTGTTTGACATACTTAGCTGAGAGCGAGCAGCTCTGCGTCACTGTTTATGAGCTAACAGAAATGAGCAAAACAATCCACGTCATTTTGTGGAAAGGGCTCATTTATTTGTGTCTCTCATATACCTTTGATCATGTTGTGACCCCTCGGATTAATCATGTGACCTCTTGCAAGGTCCGTCCCCCAGGTTGGGAACCTCTAGTGTGGAAAATTGACACTAGGACCCTTTATCGTTTTGCACAGGCTATTATTATTTTTATTTGATATAAATGGCATTTGAATCCCTTCAGAACACACTGCTTGTGATCACTTATGGGGAAGGATGTGGCCTGAAGCGTGGTTACATTCAGAAGATGTTTAGTTGTTAAATGACTGTGAAACCTAAGAATAAGGAAATTGGTAATTCAGGCTTACAGAGCATTGGGTTTATGGTTAATGGCTCAAGACGTCAAAGGACTCCTTTAAGGATCAGATCAAATTCACCAGACAAGGGATACAAACAAACACATTTAACACAACTAAATCAAACATGCAGTGTGTAAATGTTCATCTGACTACAAGTTATGTTTTTTCATTTTTTACAGCAAAAAGTGGAGCCCTCACTTCCTGTTTATTCAGAGTATTTCCCTTTCAAAACGGTCTGTTATTGTAACTTTTTTCATACATGCAAAGACAGAAAATTGAAAGTGCAGAACAGCATTATTTCGACTGTTAACTGTTATGAAAGACGGTTTTATTTCACTGTAGCCCAAAGTCCTCCGGCCTTCAGGCTCGCATACAGATGTTTGCACAGATCTAATCCAAATGTGCCTATTACTCATATTCCCGGGGAAAAATGCCCGTTTGCCTTTCTCAGACAGAACTCAGTTAATTATATTATTTCAGGTGGTAGAGGAAGTTTAAGTAACACAGTAAATCCTGCTGGGTATTCAGACACATGTAGCTTTATCGCTGTGAAGCCCGACATCATTTGCTCTCTTTAATACAACTGTGACTTGATTCATGACGCGTAAGAACTAAAACACACATGTGGTGTGTGGTTCCAGAAAGTTCCCAAAGAAACTGAATGTCTCCTCTTGTTGTTTCCCTCTAGTGTGAGCAGCTGTAACTACATCCCGCTGTCCTGCTCTTGTACAACTGAGTTGTGTCCCCTTTTAAAGGGGAAGTCCAATTTCAGAATTGTGTTTAAAGTTTGGAAAACATCTGGCTGGATAAACTGTAATGGAGTATTTTTCCCCCCCTTTTAATGCAGATTAGCTTCTATCTATACGGCTCTAACATTTTTATTTGAAAGCTCAAAGTTGTGCATGACCGTGATGTATTGTTGGATGCAATCCTAAATATTTTTAATGAAGAATAATCGATGCGTCCTGTGCATGTTTTATATGCCTCAGGTATCATTGTCTTTATCTGGTTGGTTTTGCACGATGAAATCTCAACTGTTCCACCTCCAACGAGCTCATGAGTTATTAGAGGCTCACTAAAATACCCCACTCGGTTCCTTTTTTTAGACTCTAATTTGGTTCTCCTGTGATTTATGTCTCGCATCTGAGGGGGAGGTCGGGGGGAAGAGGGGGGAGGGGGGCGCTCTGTGCGTCACAGTCGCTCCTAACATAGATGACACATTTTAGGGTCGGCATTTGGGGTTAGTAAAGCAGAACCGAGCCAACGGAGCAGACATATTTCACAAACGGGAGGGTCGTGGACGTCTGTGAGCTCGGAGGGGGGGTTTTCCCCCATTTGCAGGTGTAGACTTTCAGCTGAATTCCTCTTTGCCTGCAGGAAGTCAGCCAGAGATGTCACTCAGTGCCCGGACACACATGGTGCCCGGCCCCGTTGGGCACTTTAAGCCTTTTTAGAGGGAATTGTCCCTGCCAAGAACAATAAGCTCTGATTGATAATGACACTGTGAAAAAGCGTATACCCGTCTGGATACGCAGCCCAAATATGCAGAGCATGTTAATTTGTTCAGAAACAGTACCCAGTTGTTCAAAGTACGAGGATCTACTGGAATGACACAATGTTCTTTGGTCCCTTTTGTTCATTTTTAGATACACATTTAAGTATTTGTAATAATATTTGATGCAATAACACCGGCTTATGTCTCTCACTTTGCATTTGGCTTGACTGTGTAAAAAGGATGTAAATAACCCAGATTTTGTGGTTTATTCACTCTGATTGAGATCTGTACGTTTTGTTCAAGTGATACGTAGTATTATCCAAGACCACATCTTTGGGAAATACCCACAAAACCAGACACAACCTGACTCAGCGTCAGACACGTCGCAGACAGATATGAAAAAACGTTATTTTTACCACCACTCTATTAATTTTTTCTTCCTTTTTTCTTGTTGTAGAAGAAGAAGAAGTTGTAGAATATGTCAAATTATGTCCAGTAATGTATAAAGATGCAGGTTAGTGTGAAACAGATGTTTACAGTTTGCCATTCATTGCATTGGTAGGGATTGATATTTCACCTATTCTGAAAACAAATGCTACAACAAATTTATTCAGTAAACATAAAAATCTGGCAAGTAGTAACATGCATTGAAATACTTTACATGATGAATTCAATCAGGGTCTCAACTGATACTCCCCTGTACTTCAAACATCCTCCTTTCCTTGAACCTGATTATCAAATAAATCACTTGGTGCCTCAATTGCGTGCTGGTGTTAACTTTAAACCCCCCTCTCCATCTCCATCTTCACCCCCCCCCCCTCACACAGCACAAGGCTGCTGTTGTGAGCTCGTTTTCAGCTCCCAGTGTTGTAAGTGCTGTCAGATGTGGATTCACCCGTATCATGTAGCATCAAAGTCTGTAAAATAACACATTTTTAGTGCAAATGAATTAATTTTTTTGCAGTTTTAGTCATAGCAATTATTTAATGATACGGTTGTCATGAAAAAAACTTCTTTTTTTTTTTACACGCCATCTCCTATTTTAATATTACAGCGCCGTTGAGTTCACGTTGGCGTCACTCATCCAGCCTCGCTCTCTCACAGCGTGTCAGGTGACCCGGTCCTCCCAAACCCGCGTGGCATTGATTTATCACCGTAAATATAGCACTTTGTTGGGAATATAACAGCAAGCGGGACAGCGAGTGGTCAGGAGGTGTATGAGGATGAGATAACAGAGGTGGAAACAGTGAGCACACAACAAATAATAGAATGGTAGGAATCCGTCACCAGGCAGTGAGACACATTACGCAGCGCTGAAGTTGCTGCGAGCAGCCTCGTCCTGAAACATAACCGCAGTAAGCAAACAGCTCCGTGTTTTTCATCTCCCTAATTAGAGAAGGCGAGCGTTGGCTTTAAAACGCAGAGTTCCTATTTGTTCAACGTGAACAAATACAGTGCACCCATACGACAGCAGGCTGCCAGTGCATAAGACCAAGCAGAAACAATGGAGGCTCAGACTAATCTCTATCACATGGAGACGAATGACAAGCAGGTGTGTAAATACAAAAATGAAGGCGGGGATCGAGGATGGGTGTGCTTTGACCTAGTGCGTAGGAATCGGGGAGAGGCGGTGGAGAAGGGCCCCCGCTCACTTTTTATTACCCCATTTGGCCGGTGTGATCCCATCGTAACCAGGAGGTATAAGTAAATATATATATATACATTAGGCCGGTTCAGTGTCGTGCACGCTGCTCACTGTCACACCATCCTGGCACACTTGGGGGGGGGTGGGAGGAGTATAATTAATGTTATTCTTGTTTTAAATGAAACTACACAAATTAAAGTGATAATGATAAGTTTGTGGAATGCAAAATATTTCTTTCAACCAACAGCATATGAATAAACTAAAAGGGTTCACCTTAAAGCAGCTACAATATTTGATCAAAGCTTAGACAATATTACATTATCAGTGATTATCCACAACAATAACCGCACTCGCATGGCTGCAGACTAACTTTACTCTTTCTCCATGAAGTACATTTTGCTGTTAAGTCTCTGAACGGATGAGTTCTCAATCGTGTTATTTTTTCCAAATGTGAACAACGTGATCTGTGTGATGTTCTAGGTCTCTGAAACAGGCCGTGCAGCTCGTCACACTGATGGACACACGGAGCTGGATGGAACCAGTGGACAAAGAGTGAGTCAGTAGACATCAGATCTGTTGACAGGCCTGTCCATCATCACTAAAATAGCCAGGCGCAAATACATCATGCACACGCACACACACACGCGCGCTCACACGCACACACAACCACTCGAATTGGAATAAACATAGAGGACCTGAGATGTTCTTTGCTGCACACTGCGCACGCTGCAGCTCCACCTACTGGCGGAAAACACAACTGCTCTCAAACTCCTGTGCCGCTGTGTGGGAACACGGCAGATGTTGTGTGAACATTGCAGATGTTGCAAAGAAAAGAATGCCTATCTGACAAACCTCATCTGCGTGAATATAATGTCCCTTTTTGCGCTGAATGAGGTTACATTTAGCGCATCGCTGCGGAGTTATTATCGCTGCCTCGGGGCCCGGGCAGCGATCACGAAATGCCCCGCTGTTTGTTCCGGTTAAGACGCCTAATGAGACGCGATACCCGCTGCGTAATTTCTGAGAAAAGTGGCCTCCTGTTTGCGGGCACCGACTCGCGGCTGCTCGCTCGCGCTTCGGCCTTTTCCGGTAAAAAAAAAAGAAAGAAAAATCCTCCCGGCTTTCGAAATATGACACCTGTTGCTATGGAGACAAAACAACTGCAATCACCCAAACATGGTCATCGGAAGTGACGCTAATTGGGCGGTTGCGCGCTGACGTGGTACGCAGGCAGCGCGCTGCCGTGGAACCTGATTCCCTTGACCGTGACAATAGCGGAGCTGTGAATAACTAATTAACCTGCTTTTTCTGCAGCTCCCACTCGTTTTGAACACGTTTCAGTCCCCGGTGGCTGCATTTTATGTAATCCTCCATCCAAAAATAGCAACGCTGACGTCCATCTATGGACTCAAATATTAAGATTCCCGAGTTCACTCCAGGGGCCTCTTCTTGTTGCAAATTAGTTTTTATAAAGATACCATATGATATTATTATGTTCTTTATTAGCAGATTGGGATCGCAGGTTATTTGTAGATGTTCTGGTTTCTATTTTTTAAGCCTGCCTACTGCCATTTTGATTTTGGTTCCATAGACATTCAAAGCTCATGGTTGACCTTGGAAAGTTGAAGAAGCTTTCTGTCATATATAATTCACTTTTTTTGACCGATAAATTTTGCTCGATTGTCTTCTTGTCCCTTAAGCTCAGGACCAAAATTTATCCTCAACAAACAGAGTGCAGACGACATCGCACCACATGGTCCATTTAGCTCATTGGACCTTTCAGTCTTATTATATGATCTTCCTCAGTAAATAAAGAGACCAGTTGAGACATTTAAAAAAAAAAACAAGAAGCAACTAAAAATGGTCCGACGATGAGGAAATTTGAAAACCTTTTCTCTATAAAACTCGACGGGCTGATGAAGGTAACATGGAACACTCCAGAACACTTCATTTAAAAAGCAGTGGTGAGCTTGTTTGTTAAAATGAATACTCCTGCGTACTGAATAATAACAACACCGAGTCACGCTTATGGTTTGGCTTATTTTATTTCCAGTGTTATACAATTTTTGCATCTGATCCTTTTTGATAAGTAAAAAAATAAACTATGTCATAAAATACATCTTGATAAAATACATGACATGATATTTTTTTCTTGGTATGGAAAAACTTGAAAGGAACTGTTAGGGGACACCTTACAGCAAGATGTAACACCTATACACTACACTTTAGTAACCCTGCTATTTTCACTTGTTACAACACAACTTTGTCAACAGTAGTACGCATACTTTAGGCTATTGAGCATGATCTAACTTCACATCACATTTAAAAACACAGATACCACCTCGTCTTGGGAGTATGGATGAAATGTATTTTGCATGCATTTTTGTTGCCGGGACAAAGTCTCACTTCAGAGAATCGTACCAACAGATATGGAAGAAGTCGAACCCTGTTACAGTCACACAAAACATTGTGTTCACAACCGTTGATGTTAAGATTTATGCAACATCCAAACTCACAATAAACTTGGTTTTTAAGAGAGAGAGAGAGAGATCATAGCTTGCTGACTGGTTAGAATACAATAACAGTACCGTTTGCATAACTGCATTCACAAGGCCAGGAGTGTTGGAGAGTTAAGATTATCTTTCATTAACTCCGACGCACCGAGGCTGCCTTTGAGGCTCTCAAGGCCCTCGGCCAAGGAATCAATCTCAGAGTAATTAAAGGAAAACGCCGTGCGGTAATTGCTACAATTGGGGCTGGAAGACATGACCGGTGTGCTCAAAGACTCCAGGTCGTTTGCCACGGATTTGTAAAGGGTTTCCCAGTCGGAGAGGCAGAAGGGGCCGCTCAGGTCTATGTCGGGGACCGATGCAGCCATCTCTGGGGTCACGGCCATCTGTAAGCTGGGCACCAAGTCATCCAGGTCATCTCCTTTTAGGTCCTCCAGATCCTCCTCTTCTGCACTCGAACACAGGAGGATGTCGGAGTTCCCCAAAATGGCTGCAGCAGGGATACAAGGGACACTGTCCATGTCTTGGCCAATGGAGGCTTCGCCGACGGCGGCGTTGCTCTCTGTGGGTTTTCCATCCTCTAAGATGGACAGCAGCTGCGGGGAGGCCGGCGGGTCCTGCAGCATGGTGTTAACATCATCTTCTTTATCATCATCATCCTCCTCTTCCTCTTCCCTCTGCTCATCACCGTCATTTGCAGGGAGTTTGCAGGATGGTTTGTGGGAGACCAAGACTTCCTCCAGCCTCTCCTTCTCCTTCAGCAGGTCCGCTATTTCACCCTCGAGGGCAGACTTCTCGTCTTCCAGCTTGTCCGTTTCCTGAGGTGAGGATAAAAGACTTGGCATAAAAGACTCAAGACAGGTCCTGCAGTGCATGCTGCGTGGATTGTTACGTGTGAGTAAATATAACAGCATACTTACAGCTTGCAGAGTGTCTATCAGCTCCCTCCGTCTGTTGCGACACTTCGCTGCAGCAATTTTGTTCCTCTCCCTCCTGATCCGCCTCCTTTCCTCCTCCTCTTTGGAAGGCTGAAATCAATCAGGAAAAAAGACCCTTTTTAAACGCGCTTCCTGCTTGGGTTTTGCCATATCAGCAGTTGGCTCTTCTCATAATGTCACTTGCCAAAAGGAGAAGAATAAAAAAACATCCACGCAGTGTATGCTGGGAATACTGATCTGGTTCGGTGCAGACTCTCTCTTCCAGTGCAGGCGTCGAAACGCTGCACCACTGGCACGGTCTAGTCGCCCACGTGAACGCGCACTTCCATGCGATTTGCCATTCATAAACAGCGCTCGTTACCCCAAAAGTAATTACTCGCTGCACCAATTACACGCAATCTAATCACCTGGTGCGCGGCTCCCCGCAGTCATTTATTTTAGATTCCGTTGATTTCCCTTTAACCGTCAAAAAAAACAAATGCGTCGTCTTTCACGTCCCGGCAGAAAATATCGCGATAACGGCATTTTTCTTATTAACCTCTATTAGTGGAAAGGCGTCTTGGTGAGGAATGCGATAATGATTTTGAAAGACCAATGGTGCTGTGATGGATGGATTGATTGGCTACCTGTAACGCTATATCCTGATTGCTCCCTCCCCACCCCCGTTTTCTAATATACCTTCTCTTTCAGCCCTTTCCGGTCGGAGGGCTTTGCCTTGTTTGCGCCTGTCTGCAACTGCTGGGTCGAGCTGCGAGTTTTGGGCTTTGCGCGTCCAGATGACGGAGAGACAGATGTGATGACCGTCGGCTGCACCATCCACCTTAGATCCGGCGAGGTTGAGATAGCAGTCACCGTCGGAACAAAGGAGTCTGCTGCACAAATCTCAGCATCCTGGGGAGAAGATAAAAACACATTACCGATCATCACCACATGCATGTGGATTTGGGCAAACGCCAATTTATCTTATCGGAGACACCACGTTCGTGGCTGACCTTTTAAATGTGTGTAAATGTTCCATCAATCATTCAAAAAAAACACACAAATCAATACAGTTTGCGAATCTATCGAAATCAGATGCGTGCCTCATCACCACGTCCTTATCAGTCATTTCCTTTTTTCTCCATCACCGTCATCACTCCAAAATGAAAGGTCACGACCAAAACAGGTCTGTGTTCAAATATAAAAAAAAAAATGTTTAAATCTCTGAACGTTATGGCGCTGTTTTTGCGGATTAGATGCATGGCGCCCACCGAAATTGTGTGTATGTGTTAGATTCCTGGTAAAGGAAGTGCTGTCAGTCAGATGTTCCCGGGTACGTGTCAACATGTTTCTACCATTCAGTCGCCGTTTCTGACCCATAAACCTCATGCGCAAATAAATGATCCTGCAATATGCGCGAGGATTCATTTCGGGATGATCCGATCCGCTTCTACCTTGGTGCTGTCCACTGAGGATGAAAGCGAGTCAGGAGGATGCTGGCTGCACCCAGGGGTGTCCCCGCCAGGCGATGCTGTGCTACAGCTGGACGATGAGTCGAACTCAGTGCTGGAGTCTGGATGCATGTTCTCGGCTTAAATCACCGCATAAAACGACAGAGCAGTCTATCGAACCTAAGTAGGAAAACCTCACACCTGAACCACTACTTATATTCCATTTGCCGGGCTCATAAATGGTAACTGTGCAGATAGTGGAGAGGCCCGCCTTTTATAGTGAGCTGGAGTTTTATGAATGAAATCTGTTTGGTGAGACCGAACCATCGTGTGCAGAGGGAGAGGCAAAAGGGGGAAAACAGGGGGGCGGATGTTTTCACATTCACCTTAAAGATCCGTGGAATTTTTGAACCACAATATTAGCACCCATTTTATCTTTGCTTGATTTATAGGCTGACGTAGAAAAATATATATCAAGCGCAGCTTAAATTAAGTGACACCCCCGCCTGCTTGAGGTGCCCATCGTCATGAATGAACTAAGCTACGTCACTTGATGTATGCAGCATCTGCATCATGTTATGTTCCCTGTACGTCCACATATGATCAAGAGACATGTTTAGCTATTTTTGGCGCTGAAACACACTGTTCTTGCAGGAGAAAAGTGATGAGGGCAAAATATCAGAATACAATACATTGTATTTTTAATCTGACTCTTGTCCTCGCCAATTAGCCCGGATTGGAATACTGCTGGTGTCTAAAAGCTGCGATGCAACCCAACAGCACATCTGTTCATCGCATCATTTGGACCAACATTGTAAAACATCTGATTGAATTAATGCACCCTGCTTCCAGCACACCGACTGATTATTTATGAGCTGCTGAAGGTGTCATCCACATATCACCCCCTTCTTATTCTATATTCTTATTGTATTTACTGTTGCCCGTCCCTGCACGTGAAAAGAGCTCCAGCAACAGAATTGTCGCGGTAGTAAAGCAGCCAATCGCCGAATGGACCTACCGAGCCGTATATGGTGCTTCCGGTGAGACAGGGGCGCTCACAGACGGACATGTGAGGGGGCGTGGGGGTGTGTGTGTGTGTGTGTGTGTGTGTGTGTGTGTGTGTGTGTGTGTGTGTGTGTGTGTGTGTGTGTGTGTGTGTGTGAGTGTGGGGGGGGTGCACTCACTCACAGTCACAAAAGAAAGTGAAACGTGCGCTGATCGTCACGCATTGTACTTGCTAACAGCGTCATTGTGATACAAGACACAAGACTGCAATAAATCACTGCCCCCTCACACATCTATGAATGCATAGTAACACGTATTGGTTTGTTGGGGGCGGTTAAACATGTCAGGCCTCTAACGTTATCATAGTATTCATTCATTTCATCTTATTTGTATTTCTGTGCAATAATACTTTTTATCAGTTGCAAGGATGCACTTTTATTGGCTCCCGTAATGATGGTTATTCCCGCTATTCAGATCCCAAAGGGATTGAATATTTAGGTGTCAGATTCACTGCAGGGAAAGGGGATAGTTGATGACAGGGGGGGCTCTCCCCGCTCCGAGGGGCTGCGCGCTCGTCTGCTTCCCGGCAGGCGCTGCCCCCCTTTGTTCGTTTACCGGCACATCACTAGGTGGTCGGCTTGAGCCCATTCAGTCGGCGGCGGCTGAAGACCAGGGCGGGGGGGGGCTCAGACGTCGGGCATAACTACAGAACCCCCTCAGTAAAGCTCAAAGGCCTCTTTTCATCAAAGCAGCTTGAGCATGAACGCGTTCAGACCGGAGTTTATTTTTAGACTCAGTGACATCGGTTCACGTAAATTAAGCAAATAGATAATTGGTCCTGTGAATTATCCCCCCCGCTTGTGCTATTCAAGAACTCAAATTGTATATCACGGAGATTACATTTTCATTTTTATCCGTGCGTTTTAAAATATGATAAACAATAAATAGCCCTCCAGTGTGTAAATCAACAATTGATCTCACCCATTAACCATTATTTGTGTTTATGATCTAATTTATTTTATATGTTTATTTGATTGTTTATATTATTATTTCTACGGTCAATACAACTTAAGTATTATGTGAACCAGGTAACGCTAGTTGTTAACACATGCTTTATTTATTGGCTATACTTTCCTCTCCTTACCTCAAAATAACTAAAAACACTGTTTGGAACTTGGAAGCTGCTGCCATTGAGCTCTGAGAGCCGCTACGCAGACAGAGCTCTCACTCCGACGCCGTTTCCTAGAACCAGAAACGGCATCACGTGTTGTAAAATGCATCGCAGAGGAACCCGGAAGAACCAGTTTTTGATTTTCTTCTTGGAGTGATCCGTCGCTACAACACAAACAATCGTTGTTGCTATGCGAAATGAGGACGTTGCTGACGTAAGGGGCGGAGTGTTGCTAGACAACCAGGAATGTTCAGCAAAACACGGGTGCGGGATATAATACCCGATTGCTTTTAACCTAAATCCAAGCCCTTTGACGAATTAACACTTATGAGCACTTAAAGGCCTTTTCATGATACTGCTATTCTTAATTTGTTTCTCTTTATTTTATTTGTAATATTAATTCATGCAGTATTATGCTTGTTGCATATTCTGTTTGACAACGAGGGTCATTTCCTCAAATGCAAAATAAAAGATGAAAACTTGTGGTGAATTGTTGACGGAGTTAATGTTAGATTCCCATTCGTGACGTGCTGTGCTTAGTCGACAAAAATACTGTCAGCAAGTTTCTACCACTAAAACTCTGGTCTGTGGGGCTCTACTTTATTCTAGGGCTTGATAACATAACTCGATGAATCAAAATATATTTTAAAGCAGTCGTTAAGTTAACAATGCATTCAGAGTTGTATTTTACAGATTACCTGCCCCATTATACAAATCACAAGGATTCCCTCCGACCTTTGTGATCACCATGAAACACCTAAAGGAAAAAAACAGAAGTCTTGCAAAAGTACACAGAACAAACTGGTTATCAGCGCGTTATGCAACCAAACACACCCAATTATGAAGTGTGCACAAAATGTACAAGCACTGCCTGTGGGAAGAACACACATGCAATCAACCTGCTGCGGCATGTTTTATTGATGTTCTTGGCATGTGTTAGTTGCTTTGGATTTCATCCAATTTTGCTGTTACAAACATAAGTAACAAAGTAACAAATTGAAATGTAAATTTGTTCTGAAGGTTTGAAAGTAAGTTCTGTAAGTGTAAATTATGGTTTCAGACACCAGAAATCAAATATCTGAAGTGGTTCGCAGCGTAATGTTTTGGATGTTACAAAGTTGCTGAAACAACTTGAAACAGCTGAAACAGCTCAAACAACTGAAAGCTTTTTTTCAACATTTAAAAAATTGCAGACATATCTAGTAGAACCATGTCATGGGGCATTTTGACCTGTAAACACAGCCTGTCAGCGGGAGACTGTGAGGTTGTGCCGTTATATTCAATGAGGACATTCGTCGGTTATTTGTATGACGAAATCTAAACTCTGGGGAGTTGAGTTGTAGACAACTTGTTATGAAAGTGTAAATGTGTATTGGTTTTCCATGTCAGCGATCTATAAAATACATGAACATGAATAAATGATACTGTTATTTACATGTCCTTGATATGGATACGTGTATTAATGATTTACGTTGATTTACGTGTCTGTTTTGTTGCATTTGTTTGGTGCTTTCAGTTCACAACAGACATAATCTGCATGTGCTCATTAATGTTTGATGTACTTTGCTGTGTAGGATGTTCTCTAGTGACCATTATTCAGTTTTCACAACAGCCGTTGTGTTTATTGTCTTACATAACGTCATGTCGCTGTACGCCAATCTGAGACGGTGTGTTTCCCAGCAGGGCCCGCCCCTTTTACAGGATGCACCATATAAGGACAATGACGTGTCGGGGATCCCGTGCCTGGAATATTCCCCTTCTCGAGGGTGAGTTTAAAACATAGATATGTTACTTTTAACTTTTATCAGCGTAGATATGCATTGTATAATCCATTTTACGTGTGCTTAAGCAACCTATGGGACATATTCGGGGTTGGTGCAGTGTTGTTAAGAGAGTTTCTGAATGTTTTCTTTCCTCCCCGCCTCCGGGTAAAGAGCCCGCCCCCTCCGCGTCATAGGCCGCTCCTTCTCAGGCTATAAAGGCGCTCCTGCCTCCCAGAGTCGACATTCAAACTTTCAGTAGCACAACGACTACAGGAGCAAACACATTCGGAACGAAATTCGAGAGTTTCACCTAAACTTCCGAAAGGATTTTCTCAGCTTTTCATTTGTCTGGATCTTCCTACGTTTTTTGTGAGGGAAAGATGTTTACCAGTTTCAACACGGAGTGCGGCGACTCGTCTCGCTGCAGCACCGCTTCTCCGTCCGGGGACAACCTGGGATACTACCCGTCCCCGGCGGGATCCTACTCCAGCATGGGATCTCCCCAGTCTCAGGTATGTGTGATCAAACATTATTTATCATAATGGGCAGAAATATGACATTCAAAAATTGCGTGTAGCTGGAAAAGATACCGCTCACTTTAGACCTTGCGAAATCACTCAAAGCTTATAACTAATCATTTTAAGCCGACTGAAAAAAGAAGCTGTACTCTCTCCAAGTTATTCATAATGCGCTGCACACACGCGTTTCATTCATCCACCTGGGCACCCCATAGAGAGACTGTAACGTCATAGTTGACATCATGGATGGATATTTTTAAACCACCCGGCTTTTTATAGACCATCCCGCAGTGCTGTCTCCCGAAAGTATAAAGACCGAATGTGCTCACGATCCTCTCGCTTCCTCACTTACAGGATTTCACCGACCTGACAGCATCAAGTGCCTCCTTCATCCCAACCGTCACAGCCATCTCGACCATCCCGGATCTGCAGTGGATGGTCAATCCTTTGATTTCCTCAGTGGCCCCTTCTCACCGAGCTCCCCCCTATAGCCCCAGCCCTGCTTACTCCAGACCAGGCATGAGGTCTGCTTCCAGGGGGCATAACTCCACCAAGAGGTCCAGAATGGAACAGGTAATTATCATCTGCCCCTCTCTTTTACATAACCCTCGGTGACTTCCACCATGTCATCACAGATCATCAATCATCACAGAGCCGGAGGTCTAACTTTTTCTTGTCTCGCCTGCAGGTGACACCTGAGGAGGAAGAGAAGAAAAAAATTCGCAGGGAGAGAAACAAGCAGGCAGCGGCGAAATGCCGCAACAGGAGGAGAGAGCTTACAGACACTCTGCAAGCTGTAAGTATGCCACAGATGTGCCACCATTTGCGAGAATGCATTTCACAGCTAACAGAAGTGTTATCCGAGAGCCGAGCTTAATGCCACTTCCTCTGTTCCTCTCCCCCTCTTGCAGGAAACCGACGAGCTAGAAGACGAGAAGTCCCTCCTGCAGAACGATATTGCTAATCTCCTGAAGGAGAAGGAAAGGCTTGAGTTCATTCTTGCTGCCCATCAACCCATCTGCAAAATCCCCTCAGAGCTAGAGACCGACTTCTCGGTGGTGTCCATTTCTGCTGCCCACCCCATCCTCTCCACCACTGTGTCCTCCAGGCCACAGAACACCATCCCCAAGGCAACGACGATCACTTCCAGCCAGCCAACCTTCATCTCCACCTCCAACTCAATCTTTTCTGGCAACGGCGGCAGCAGCAGCAGCAGCAGCTCCGTCCTCTCCACCGCCGCCTTCTCCAGCAGCTCGGTCAAGATGATGGACCTGGACTCCTCCGTCCTGGAGGAGTCTCTGGATCTGCTGGCCAAGACGGAGATGGAGACGGCGCGGTCAGTGCCAGAGGTGGACCTGTCCAACTCCATCTACACGACGACTCCAGACTGGGAGCCCCTTCACGCCGCAGCCAGTAGCAGTGACTTTGACTCCCTGTGCACGCCCGTGGTGACCTGCACACCAGCCGGCACCACCTACACATCTTCATTTATGTTTACCTTCCCGGAGGCAGAGACTTGTGGCATCGCCTACAGGACAGGAAGCAGCAGCAACGACCAGTCCTCCGACTCCCTCAGCTCTCCAACCCTGCTGGCCCTTTAAAGTCTCTTCCAACAACAATACTACTTCCTATCAGGCGCATTTTCTTTGTTGTTGAGATAAATGTGCAGATCACCCGCAGGGCTTTAGAATGGACTTTTACCAGGAAGCAAATTATTTATTATTTTATTTGCCTTTATTGATACTTATTACTACATTATTACACACAATGTAGCAAGTTTAAAAGCATGTTTCCACTGATACCACTTAGTCGTTTATTGAGGTCATATATGATTTAATGGTGCTAGATAACAAAACTTGTTGTAGTGTTGATGTGTTCCGAGCAATAGCTTTTATTGATCCAGTTTTGTTTTCTGGCTAATGGATTGTGAAAAAAAACCCTTAAAACTGACTTGTTTTGTCTTAACCATGATGGTCTTTGACGTTTTCTGTGAAAACATTAGTGATTTTAATTTATAAAATTTCAATTTATTTTTTTACAGAGTCTGTTAGTACAAAATGTAAATTAAAAATTAAACTGTTATTTAAATGAATTATCGTGATTGGTTGAATTGGTGGCGCTATTCTTATAAAATTAACTCACGTGCACGTGTTCTCTCTGTTGAGAGCAGTGCTATTCAACAGACAATTAAAATAATGGATAAAAATAGCCCCCATAAGGGATCGCAGACTTTTCCCTGCATCTCCACTGGCTCTATTTATTGTTCCGTCTGTTGCCAAGGCTCGCTGCGCGTCAGGGCTCCTACGTCACTGCGTTCTTTCCATTTTTTCAAATCTGCAAACGTAGCGCGGTGACGTCGTATTTCCGTGACCAAATATAGAGGGCTGCTAAGATTCTCTGCTGCTTTCTGCCGGCAGAAACGCAGATTGGCTTTTCCGCTTACACGCGCACATCGAAGAATCTGTCTCTGGGTTTTGTCTTCAGAGAAATGTATTTCCTTATTGGAATATTTTTTTTAAAGGGGGGGGGGGGGGGGGACACACCACGCATTACTTCCCTAAACGAAAAAGAAATGTCTTATTCGTGCACTGCTCGTTGCACACGCGAATGGTTACATAAGACGAGTCGCCATAGGATCCGAAAGAGACGTTTTAACCACAGACTACAGCTTGATTCTTCATTCGAGAAGACCACTTCCCACAGTCAGAGACACACAAGCGACTTCCGACACACTGCACGAGCTTAGCTGAGTTTTGCAGTCTCTTGCAATGGACTTTAGCATCCAGACAGCCCAAGTGTAGCTTGGTGGGTTTTTTCGGCCTGTTTGAATTCTTCATTCCTTTAGAAACAGACAAGCAGCTCTTCGAAAAGCGCAGCGGGGACAAACCTAATACACTCATGTGCCATGAAGGACGAGCGTGTCACGCGTAAATACCTCATTTGGAGGATGCTGATTGGGAAAATGAATTTGCAACGCTGGTATCCTATTATCTTTTTTCCCCCACATTGGTTGTTAGTGAAGTAACTGTCAGCCTGCAGGCAAACACAGCGTCGTTCGCCATCCACCTTTTCTGTCCACTGTTATTCAGAAGGCCAAAGATGGAAGCAGTAAGGCCATCGTTAACGCAGCGGTGACTTCTATCTGAGATTTTTTTTAAACAAGGTGGGTGATGCTCCACTGTATTCTGCTGACCAACTAGTTCAAATTCTGTAAATTGTCACGTAGTTTGTCTTCAAATCTTTGCCGGCGTTCCCTTTCGACGTGTCCTCCTCCCACCTCTCGTGCTCGTTTTCACCTCTCACCAATATTTCCCCACACAGGAATCACTGGAAGGCGGATTGCCAAACGTCTGTGCGTAGGAAACGCGCGGCGAGCACAGACAGCCATCAGCACAATAACCGACTTACTCTGACGTCCGCTCCCTTCCGGCGCAGACGCACCCTTTTTTTGTGCAATAAAGCCAAGATATCAAAAGTGTGTGTTACTCCGCTGGCCGTGTGGCCACCGGCCTGCGCTTCCCCAAGTACAACACCAACACGAAGTATTTGTTGTATTTCAGCGACTTAAAGTTGCAGAAGTGCATTGATCCGCTGTTTTCACAAAGCTTCCTGTTTTGTTCGCGCGTCGCTGTTGTGTAACAGGCTGAGTTCTGAGTGCCTCTGTCTGTTTTCCTCTGCACCTCAATAAAGCCTCAGGGTGCGACCATGCATCGCCTAATAACTCGGTCTATTAATACCCCCCCGGCCCCACGGAGAAGAGGTAGAAGCAGAAATAGCAGGTGCCCATCGCTTCTTTTAACATCGGCATCAACAGCAGTAAAATTAGACCCGTATGACGCCAACCTGCGTCGGTGCTGCGAACCCAAGGGAGGAACCAGGCAACGTGCGCCTGGTAGGAAGAGAGGAGGGGAGGATAGGGGGGGTGATGAGTATGCGAGGATAGCAGGGGAGGGAGGCAGACAGAGGTTCCTCCGCCTGCGCGTAATCGTGAGCACAGCGACCACGAAGCGGCCGAGTGTGTGAGAAAATCACAGAAATCCTTCCCCTCATTGCTTTCTGTTGGTCGAGAGAAAACATGCAGAGTTCAGTGTTTTCACTCCTGTGCCTGGAAGTGACGTGCTGTCACTGAGCAGGGTGTTTTATAGTGACACCAATTCAAAGTTTCACTGCAGCAAACGACATCTGTTGTTGAAATGTTCCTGTCAACGTTCTTCCGTCTGACACAATGCAGCGTTTCCTCTGAAGGCAGTGAACGACAAATCAAATGTATACTTGAGCTCATTCTGGAATCTGAGCTCTTATCAGCTCATGGTTGGATTTTGTCTAGAGGTGACGCAATCAACGGAAGGGTGTGTTGTTAGCTCATGTATTCCAAGGTGTACTTTTCCTAATGCCATGCAATGCTGAATCAGGAGGTGATAAAAAAAGGCTTGTCAATAGTACAATTATTCACACACCTTACACACTGCACTTCACCCCTTTTCAAAGTGTACTTTGGTGTTGAAGATCCCCAAAAGAAGTTACAAGCAAAATAAGGTTTGACGTGTGAAATGAGTATAGATGAGTAAAAGATGGTAAAAATGTAGATTACATTTTGGTTTTGCGGATTCTCTATAGCCTGGAGGAGTGTGTGAGCTGCTATTCTTAGCGGCTATTTGACACACTAAGCTACGATACTGAAGGGATTTCTCTATCCAATAATTACTGTTCACGTTGTGCCAGACTCCCCACACAGCAGCCTCTCCTCGTCTCGTTGTGAGCTATCACTAGCAAGGATGTTTCCCTGGAAACTGGACAGCTCTATCATATGTAATTGGGTAATCCCTGAACTGCTGACGGAAAAGTAATCGCTCTGGGGATTTTCAAAATACCGCAGCCAATACTGAGCGTGGTCTTTCTGTTCTGAACTTTTACCACGCCTGCGAAAGGTGCGTTGTTATGCATCTATTGTAATGTTGATGACATTTGTTCAAACCTCCAAGTAACAATAAGCTAATTCTAAATAGTCATGGCACCAAAGGAAAGATATGAGTTTGAATCTTTTAGTCTGACGGAAGTTTTAATATGGAGTGTATCAGTCATCGCTCATTCAGCAAAAGCCCGTGTTTTCTGTCACGCTCTACCTCATGTTGAGTACCGTACGACAACAAATTGTAGCCTGACTCGAAGATCCTGTGAAATAGGTGAAAGCACCGGATCAGGGATCAGTCTACTGTGGTTTTCACTACCTGGACATGACCAACATAACACTGTCATAAGTGTTCTCAGGAATATAGCCGTTTTTACCCACTGGGGGGCCTTGGGTCATAAATGTTCTGTAGTCTATGTATAACCCCCCTCAAAAGTGCTTTGTGTCAGTAGTTAAGTTATTGTAAAATAAATATGAGTATTGTATTAAACACACTACATTATGCCCTCTTTGCATCGCTGGGACATTTGCACTGTGTGCTGTTGTGATGCATTTGGTGATGAGACATCTTTTTTATACATATTAAGTAAAGGTGTGCAATCTATTTTTTTTGTACCCTCTTGTAAAATATGAGATCAGGTTATCCCTGAAGCATGGAATTAGAAATACACCTGATGTAAACACTGCTTGTGTCCTTGTATCCTATAGCTACAAAGCCCAACACTACGAAACATGTCACTGTGACGACAACAAAGAAATCAATCAAAATAAGGCCTATAATTGGGTCTCTTAACTGAATCACAATGTAACCTTCAGCTTTTCAAGCGTGCTTTTGGTGTAAGATTCTGACTCTGCTTCAGTTTTCCTTTTATGATCCCGTGTTTAATTAGATGATATTTTAAGTTACTCAATAGTTGGCAAATGACTTGTGACCTTAAAACCGTGGCGGGGCCTCGGCGGTCCTATTGGGATGCCTCTGGTAGTCCCTAATGAGTTATCTTTACCTGTGCCGCTCTTACTTTGGGTCATGGTTTGTGCCACCTGAACCTGTCAAAAAAAAATCCACAGACAACTTGCTTCTACATCAAGAGACGACACTTGAGGAGTTGAACTCTCACCTCACAGGGGAGGAGGAGTCGGCGGCTGCACTTGTTCCTCCAGGTCAGGAGCGGCGCTAGAGGGCTCGGCGAGGCCGGTTTTGCGAGCTCTGCGTTAAACTGACTGACTGGCACGGGCTGCTCGGTCGGTTGGGTTGAGGGTAGCCATGGCTCGACTCGCTGCGCTACTGTTGCTGCCGGTTCTTATTGAGTCGGTGTTTTCCATTTCTTTCTTTTTACCGGTCAACTCGAGAAAGTGCCTGCGGGAGGAGATCCACAAAGACGTCCTCGTCACGGGGGAGTATGAAATAAGTGAACAGGCGAACACCAAAACTAATCTGAAGGTAAGCACAGACCTGCGGCTAGCTAACTAGCTAGCTTCACAGTTAACGTAACCGGTCCGTGTAAAGGCCGACGTGGCTCCAGTACGTTTAATCACACTGGCGCTACACATTTAATCCGTGTCTTATTTTTAATTGGTCGAAACTGTTGTTGGAGTGCGGTTGAAATTGGTGACAACAGCTGTTGGCTTCCTCGCTAATCTAGGCCCCGAAAAAACACGTCTTCCTGCTTTTACCTGCTAAATTAGCTAGCTAACGTCAATGCGTGCTAACATCATTGTTAAAAGTATTTTTTTTTGGCGTGCAATCGAATTACACAAACTCGGGTGAGCGCTGCATTTTATCGCCAATTATGGTTTATGTTGTGTCAGTGGTATTCATGGGTGGCTTCCTGTGGAAGAATACTGCCTCTGTCACCGGCTAGCCTGTGCCGCTGTTACACGTCAGTCTTCCAGGAGCAGCTTGAAGTCGGAAGCTAACCGACGTTAGCAACCCTCGGCTAGCCGACATGTCAACGACAGACCGCCTGCGACGAAACGTCTGTAACGCCGCTGTTAGTTTTAATAAATGCGGTATTCGCCTCATGCGTCACACGCTGGTGGTGTATCCTAAATGTATTTTATCTTCCTATTGACATTACTGATTCTGGACGTCTCCGCAATTCTAACAGCTGCCAAAAAAGACCAACCCGACTGGTGTTCTGGTATTAATGAGGTCATCAGCCCTGATGAATGTTCTACACTGTTTTTCTAATGAGGTCAATGCAACTACAACTCTTATTCTTTTGTTTTTATCTCTTTTAAATGATTCATTTTGGAGATGCAGCAGCCAATGGCACGTGACCGACAGTCATTTGATACAGCAATACTCATTAATTTAACCTTTATTTAAATCTCCAGGAATTATTGAGGGAAAGTGAGTGGAAAGTACAATCAACCTAATATTAATGCTAAATAAAAGGTTTTCTCTGACTTTACAGATCACAGATTCTTCCAGCCATACGCTTTACTCCAAGGAAGATGCAGTTAAAGGGAAGTTTGCATTCACCACAGAGGACTATGACATGTTCGAGGTGTGCTTTGAGAGTAAATCCCCCATGGGTAAGTGTCTTTATTACCAAGCCGCTCATCGGCACTACATTTCATTTCTCAAGCACCAAAAATATTTGTCAAATCATTTCTTGAGTGGATTAGTCTTTTTTTCAATACTGTTTCATAATTAATGTCTTATTCACTATGAATTTACGAGCACACCGCAGTAAACCGGAGATTTAAAGCGCTGGTTAATGCAATTGTTTTTGGAGAAACTTAGTTTTGCAGCTCCATTGATTTACATCAACTAATTGTTGAGCTGACAATTGAATCCATGTTAGTCTGCTGCTGCTGTTTGTTTGAGGACAATCTTAATTATACTTTCACATACAAATATACATAAGAGTATGCTAAAACTATACACACACTTATGACTTTTTGACCAATGTTTGGAAACAAGGTGCTTTCTTGATATTTGGTATTATGGTTATATACATTAAATAAATAGTTATGACACTAGAGTAGTGAATTGCGATAATTGACGATATATTCTCTGCTCTTTTCTCAACCAGGGACTGGAAGAGTGCCTGACCAGCTGGTCAATCTGGACATGAAGCATGGCGTGGAGGCTAAAAACTATGAAGAGGTAAGTGTTGGAGTCCCTGCAGCTTGATTACTTTAGTGATACAGATAATGACTCTCAGGTTGGACACAAGGTCGGTAGAGACAGCAGGGGTTACGCTAGATGTATTCCTTATTGCCATTAAAAATACTAAGCAGTTCCTCTTCAATACATTTGGCAGCCGTATGAAAGTCTTCATGAGGGCACCTAGTTGTCATAAATAAGATATTACAGATTGACCCAGTTGGTTGATTATGAAATGGGGACACACTGTTGTGCATCATCGCTTGCATCACTTTGTGTTTCTTCTGGGAATGGATAGCACTTGGCTTTGTGACTTCCTCTGGCAATACATAATAAGTACAGAAGTGATTAAGTCCTGTCAGCTGAAAACTGCGCCCCCCCCCTCTCGTGTTGCACAAACGTGACGCTCTGTCCTACTGAGTGAGTGTAGGCGGATGCCCCTCGAGTGGGTTTGCCAGAGTAAAGGACAGGAGGAGGGTGAAGCTGAAATTGTATCACTTAAGTAGATGGGTGTGTTACTTATAGAAAAATCTGTACAGTGTTCTGCACAAGATGTTTTTTTTTTTTTTTTAAAGGGTTCCTGTGTCTTACACAATGTTTGGGAATGTGTCCCTGGCACACGCATGCTGTATATCTGCCAGATTTGACTATGCAACATGCAAGTTTAGGCATGTTGTTTATTCACTGTCCATCACAGGTTAACACAGTGTCAAACGTTGGAAACATAAGTTACATGAATTGACTATTGTCCTTTTCACCGGGAAAGTTTGGTGACCTTTCCTGCGTCATCGACGGCCCAAAGAGGGCATGTTCATTCTAGTCTGACGGCAAATTGTACCAAAAGACCAGTAGTTGTTAGGGTTATTGTTTGAGACGGCAAAAGGACTTTATTAACGCCGCCATCATTCATTAAAGTACCAACAAACTTCTGCATGAAGTCAAGAAAAGTGTCTCATCACAAAATGAAAAGAAAAAAAAAAATCTAAGTTGTAAGATGTGTCACTTTTAGCTGTGAAATTTGTAGACCTCACATGTTTGTAACAGACAACGCTGCTGTTCCTCCATTTTGCGCTGCGCCTCCTTAGGCGGTGCATCAGTTCACTTCACACCACAGTTCAAAAGGCAGCTTTCTCACCAGCCTAAACTAGCAGGTGTTAAACTAGCCCGGTGTGTGTGGCTTCTTGAGGCAGATGTGTGATGTTGGGCCGTGCGAATACAACAGACATGACCAGACTCCGTAGCTGCACAAGAGGGACACCTGCTGGACAGACTGCATAATGGCAGCGAACGAGTAGTTCTTCTTTCTTTCCGCCGTTTTCTCAGCCGCAGCGCTTCTGTTTTGTCTCTCCAGATTGCCAAGGTGGAGAAGCTGAAGCCCCTTGAGGTCGAGCTGAGGCGCCTGGAGGACCTCTCCGAATCCATCGTCAATGATTTTGCTTACATGAAGAAGAGGGAAGAGGAGATGCGAGACACCAATGGTAAGAAAAACGATACAATTGCGCTGCTTTTTCAAGCTGTCCGAGCGACATTCCCATGGAGCCCACGGCATCACTATAAGAAAATAGTCTTTTATTTGTTGTTTTAGGTCATTTTTCTTGACCAGTAACTCTACTGTCGCTCTTCTTTTCCCCGCTCACCAGAGTCCACCAACACGCGCGTGCTGTACTTCAGCATATTCTCCATGTGCTGTCTCATCGGGCTGGCTACATGGCAGGTCTTCTACCTGCGGCGCTTCTTCAAGGCGAAGAAGCTGATCGAGTAGAACGGGCCCGTTGCGCGGGCGACGCGGCCTGCCGGTCGGCCAACACGTCCCAACATCCACCCTCATTGGACTAGCTTCAGCAAACAACAGCAAGTGGGGCTCAGGGGCTCAAATTCTAGTTTTCACAATTTTAAGTTTGTCCTCTGGGGGGAAAAAAAAAACAAAGATTCACCTGCTTATTTAGTGGTCTGAAACAATAAAAGCGCTGTAGGCAGAAATGCTCTGTGAAACATGAGAGGTGTATGTCACTGCTGGGTGGGATATCTCCTTTTTCATGCTACTTCACTTTTCTGTCTGCACTGCTTGGATGTTACTCAGCTTACTGAAGAAGAAGCGATGTTTGATTTTTTTTTTTTGAGCTTGATTTGAATGGATGTCCCAGGAGCGAATGTCTTTTGCCCTTCTGTTAATGTACACATTATTCGCCATGCCAAGCAAAACTATATCCGTGGAGCCCTTTTTATCGAGTGGAGGCTATTTGATGAAGTAGTTTGTCGTTACTTGGAGAAATTTAGCAACCACTGGACTTCTGTGTTATGTCACCTAATATGCATACATGTTTGGTAGCTAAATTTAACCGTGTCTTTAGTTTGTTTTCATATTGTAAATGCTACTTAGTTGCTTCTACAAGTATATGTATTTTTTGGGGAGGGAAGGGGGGGGGTCAAAAGAGTAATTCTCTATGTAGTTATAAATAAGGTCATTTCCATGAGCTCTTGCACGTTCTAGTTTTGGAAACACCGAAACATTCATTTGTCACAAATCTGAATCGGCCTGACGCCAAAAACATCGGCTGAAGGAAGGAGTTTGCAGCATTTTATTGTTTGTAGATAATTGCACCAACCTGTCCGCTATTATACAATCTACATTTACCTGCAAGTTTTTTTTGTCATGAGGTTTTGAACTGAAATCTTACCAACCACTTGCTGTAATGTTCTTCTTTCTCCATCTGGTGAATTTTATTCCCCTTTTGCGATTTTCAAAATGTAAATTTTCCCAACTACAGTTGTGATCCATCCATCGCGCTTCCCTTTGTCTTTAGATAAACTTATGAGGCCTGGGTTACATGAGGAATGGGGTGGTTGCAAATATTCAGATTGTTTTTGACTGGGATTAATTGAGGCATCTGTCATGGGTACATTTTTAACAATGAGCATGCGCGTTGTGCGCAATCAATGATTTTTATGTTGACTGATAAATTTTGTAAATTTGTGTTGGGCTTTTATTCAATAAAATATTGGATGGATTTACATTAGTTATGGCCTAGCATGTTCGTTCCCACATAAATGGGGCCTGAAAGGGGGTTCTCAACATTTAGAAGCATTTTAGCATTCCACATATTAGGCTTCAATATCAGTGTTTAAAAATGTGTAAAATAACACATATTCACCATATTTCCAAATCTTTAATACTATTAAATGACACAGATCATGTGTCGCTTTTCTGGTCACAATAACGAGCCTTACGTGTTATTTTTCTGACTGTAAATGTACTTTATACATATATAAAAGGTACAATGTTCATGTGTAATTTGTGATCAATTAATCCGATTTGATTTATTTGGAACCCACTTTGGTAGAAACCATTTTCAAAAATGAATTCATTCAAAACATTTCACAGTACTACAGCACAGATGTTTTTATATTTGGAATTACTAAAACACTGAAAGACATTAATAATCTCAGAAGACAAATTGAAGCATACAACGATATTACCAAAATGAAAACGATGAACGGAGGGGATTCATTCTCTGAGTGTCTCGTTCTGATTGTCCAGTTGCATTAGACGTACATCACAAAAAACACTAATAGAAACTTTTATGTGAGCCATCCTTCATGGTGATTTAACATCTCCAGCGTCTCGGTCACACAGCTGCCATGTTTCACCGTGTTTGCTAACGATGCTACAGCTAACGCGCCGCAGACGTCATGCAATAACTACTGCAGCGGTCCACCAATGAGACGACGTCACAATCACCCGGATGTAGTCCCGAACCACTTCCACCGTCAACACACACACACACAAACACCGAGCTGTCCGGTCTCTCCGTTGATATCAAGTCGTTTTTACACGACAACCATGCCGGCTCCCGACAAAGAAATCGATCTGACGGAGAGAATCGAGGCGTTTCTGTCCGACCTGAAGCGCGGGGGCAGCGGGACGGGGCCGCTGCGCGGCTCGGCGGAAATGGCCCGCGAGACGACCGCCCTGCTGCGCAGGATCGCCGCCCAGGCGCGGTGGAGCAACGCAGGTACGCAACGCCGCGGAGTCGGTTTGTTTACGCGTTTTTAAAAAGGTGAACACCTTCCCAGGTAGCCAGGTTTGGTAAACCACAGTTAATGTCTCACAGAGAGCGTCGGTCACGGGAACGGTTTCATAATAAAGTTGACTGACAGTTACCGGGCGCTCACGTGGACCTGTTGCCCTTACCTTCTCCATTAACCTTCCCTTTTATTTAGCATATACAGTTTTATCTCAGTTAATTGCCATGTTATAGACAGTGAACTAACCAGAACAGAGTTCATCCGATAGGTAATTGTATCTATATGGTTTATATAAAAGATATTGACAAAATAACATTTGTATGGAAGGGACTGCAATGCAGGTGAGTGTCAGTACATGGTACCATAACATTTTAGTTTCGTAAATTACAAGTAAAAGCAATAAGTGAAGTGCACATGTGTTTTTACTCCATGCAACTAAAGTCTGCGTGGAAACAAAGTCCTTTCGGATGTGCTTTACAGGTTGAAAATGTTTTATTAAACAGTAGCAACAAGCAGTTAGTGGATTAAGTCACAGCTTTAAAGATGTACCATTTACACTCAAATGTTCTTCTCTGGTTCAGGCGATCTGATGGAAATAATCCGTACGGAGGGGAGGAGAATGACTGCCGCACAGCCCTCAGAGACCACCGTGGGTAACATGATCAGACGGGTGCTGAAGATCATCAGAGAGGAGTATGCCAGGTGAAGACTGCGACACCATTGCAGCAGGTTGAACCGGTCACTGAACTGGAAAAGCTTTAGATTATACTTTAGACATAAACAACCTGTAAACAAATGCTATTGAATTAACAAAACATTTTACATTACAGCTTTTTACTCAATCTAATTGCTCAATTTAAAGTTTTCTTTGTTAATTTAATAGCAGCTATCTGGTTTTCTCTCGGTTGTTTTTTTGAAGATCTCGAGGCAGCAGTGAAGAGACGGACCAGCAGGAATCCCTCCACAAGCTGCTGACCTCAGGAGGACTCAGCGAGGAGAACTTCAGACAGCATTTCGCGGCACTCAAAGCGAACGTCATCGAGGCCATCAATGAGTTGCTGACTGAGCTCGGTGTGTATTTCCTTTTTTGGATTTAAGAGGTGAATGTTTGTGCGTGACAACCGTTGAATGACAACTCTCCCTCCACCGCTTCTCAGAGGGGACGACCGACAACATCAAGATGCAGGCCCTGGAGCACATCCACTCCAACGAGGTCATCATGACTATCGGCCGCTCTCGCACCGTGGAGGCCTTCCTCAAAGACGCCGCGCGCAAGCGCAAGTTCCACGTCATCGTGGCGGAGTGCGCCCCCTTCTGCCAGGTGGGAATAACACATCGAAGATGCACGTTGGGGGCAAAAGCAAGAAGGTTTTGCTGCCTTAGTTGAGAAAAAAAAAAAAAAAAAAGATTTGTTGTGGTATTTAACTCATTCGTTCGCCTCTCACCAGGGACACAAGATGGCCACCAGTCTCTCAGAAGCCGGCATCGAGACAACCGTGATCACGGACGCCGCCATTTTTGCGGTCATGTCCCGCGTCAATAAGGTATTTAACGCCACTGGAGACTTGGGAAACATTCAGGTGGAAGCATGCGAGTTAACCTGCGTGGGGGATCTGTCGGGGCGGTTGCGATCTGGTTTTCAGGTCATCATCGGTACGCAGACGGTTCTGGCAAACGGGGGTCTGAGGGCCGTCAACGGGACGCACACCCTGGCGCTTGCAGCGAAGCACCACTCGACGCCGCTGATCGTTTGTGCTCCCATGTTCAAGCTCTCGCCTCAGGTGAGAAGCCGCGCGGCCCCCGCCGGGTAACCCAGAACCTTCTGCTGGTGACGAGATGACAAGGAGACTGTTTTGTTGTCCTCAGTTCCCCAACGAAGAAGATACCTTCCACAAGTTTGTCTCCCCGCACGAGGTTCTTCCTTTCACGGAAGGTAACTCCGACATTCCGCACAAATGAATGTCGCCCTTTTGTGGAATAATGTCTCTGAAATGTTTTTTTCACTGTTTAAAATTGAAATTTCAGGTGAGATACTCTCCAAGGTGAACGTGCACTGTCCGGTGTTTGACTACGTCCCACCTGAGCTCATCACGCTGTTCATCTCCAACATCGGAGGACATGCACCGTCGTACATCTACCGACTGATGAGCGAGCTTTACCACCCAGAAGACCATGAGCTTTGACCTTCATCAAATATAGTAAATAAAGTTTGAAGCGGTCACGTGTGTCGACTGAGTTTCTGTATGGGTTAGGAGGTCTACTGGAAGCGTTCCTGGAACTTGTTAACACCGCTCGCTTTCAGCATCAGTATAATTTCCAAACGGCACTTCTTCCGCAGACATGTTTCTTTATCACAGAAATATGATCAAAGTATGATCAAAAATGCTTTGAAGGCAGTGCAATGAGTTGACAGTGGTTTACGTTAAACTTACAAATATGTTTTCCTCCTCTACAAATACTACAGTAATATGTTAAATGTTCCAGTTAATTAAAGGTTGTTTGTGATGGTGTATTTTATGAAGTAGGATAATTCATCCCAGAATAGAACAACATCCTTCAGTTCATCAGAAAAAAATGCAAAGCACCAAATTTGTAGTTTTCACTGGAACCTGAACGTATACTAGAAAATAATAATGAAACTAGAAAGAAATGTGGAGATGTACAAATTCAAGTACCTCAAATGTATCCCAAGTACCAAGGTATTTCATATTCCAAGTACATACCATGTCTCGAATTTAATTAAGTTCAGGGTTATCGTTAGGAGCCAACACGGTGGATTTAAAACGAGGTCATGCAGTTGCGTGTGTCCTCCAGGTGGAGGCAGTGCAGCGCCCTCCCAACAGCCGCTTGTCTTATTCCTGTGAGTAAGAAAAGAAAAAGGAAAACGACGATATCGCTGCTGTTTGAAGCGTATAAACACACCGCAGCGTGTGCGACTACGACGAGCAGCCGCCAAAAGGGACGCAAAAGACTGGGTCCCGCTGTATTACTCAGGCTGCACCACAGCGTCTATTCACAGGCGCGATCCCACTACTGAGCGGCACGGGGGCTTTGACCTGCTCCGTCTCCGACCTGGGCCGTTTCACCCCTCCTTAGACGACCTGGTGGTCCCGGGCTCCCCCAGGAGCACCATATCGATACCGAACTTAGCGAGGACACCCGATCGGCATAGAGCACTGCGGCTCAGAACTCCTGAGTTCAAACGGTCCGCCAGACTAAACCTCCCAGTGACTTGGATTACAGACGCGCGCCACCGCGTCCGGCGAGAAACCTACACGTCCACGGGGCTTTTGACTTAGACTAAGGTGACGTCATCACGCAGCGGGCTGCGAGCGGCCTCTAGCGGCGGTGAATTACACTACAGCCGCCGAGGTAAAGGCTGATGAAGTCATTATATTTCATGTAGAATCTGACGGGAATGTTGTTTGAGTCCCATTTCATTTACATATTAAGTCTCCTAATATTGATTTTTATATTTGGGATATGGGCTGATCTGCAATTTATCTATATAACTCTCCTGCACACAGAACACATCTATACATTAGTCAAAATATACAGATGTGTCAATTTTGACTACCTGGCTTTTTTGTCAAGGATGTGTTTTTCTTCTTTAAACTTTCTAAAAAATCATTTTCAAGCAAAATGATTAATGCACCACCCTCGTGTCCTACTAACCTAAAAGCACCACGCCCACACCAACGTTACGCACAACAGGTGCATTGTGGGTCCAAATTAGCCAACATGCTAATCGCTAAATGCTCTCATAAAAGACGTGTCGCTGTTTGTTTGTAGACTTTAGGCCCAGACAGGTGAGTAGAGTTTACGTCATCAACTGAATTTAGTTCACACATGTACACGTTGCCACGTGATGCGTGAGTCTGCTTTTAATTGACGTGACTTGTTTATTGTTTTTAATTGTCTGAGTTACCAAAGGAAGGTGGTTGTGTGTTTATTCATCAGTTTACACACACGCTGCAAAGTCATTCCTTTTTGAGCTGTATCTATTTATGTTGTTTAACTTAATCAGACTATTTTATAAAACCTCTGTATACAATTCTGTCTCTCTTGAGGCTCCATTTTAGATGAATAAAGGCCTTGTTTCCAAGCTGCATTGTTAAAATAATTTTCAAATCCTATGTCTATTAAAACTTATTTTATTCTAAGATATTGGTAGACATCCGACCAACTAACCAGAAGACTGAATGACTTATCTCTATTTATTCAATTAACTGTGAAAACACTTTCTTTACCAACAGGAAGGATATAAAAACTCCCTTATTTAGACTTCAAGGATACAAGTCTAATGAGAAAATACAAATGCTTATTCTATCATACTATTGACCCAATAATGGAACATTTAACTACTTGAACCAAATTACCACAAAACAAAAAAAAAGGACATGACCTCAGAGTTCATACCTACTTGGACAGAAAGAAGTGTAATGTTACATCCAACCACACGGTGACTCCCCACCCCGCGTCGTTCAAAGGCATAAAGCGCCTCTCCTGGCCGAAATCCACAGGGGGTGTTTCCGTGCGTCTGCCAAGTGTAACGCGTTGAGTGGTTGGATGTGAAGGCTTGGCGTAAGAGGTCAGAGGGGAGCATGAGAGGGGCTCTGGCACCCCGCCACGGTCTACCAGAGAGAGTGCATTGTTCTCTGACCTAAATTTCTTGACCTGGAACTGCAGAAAAGAAGAGGGTCTGAATGAATGGGACGCAGCAACGTGTCTTCACTCTCCACTGCCCCGAACTCGCTGGTCAGACCATGACATCATCCAACTGTCAAATAATATTTTCTGACAATTGGCCCCTCTTAAGACCCAGCATTGCAAGCAGCCGTGTGACACATCGGGTCCCCTGTTTGAAACGGTTCATCCAACCTGCGTGGAATCGATTGTGGCTGTGACTTCCCAGTTCTTGTTAAAATATCCAGAGAGAGAGACTCTATATGCTAAAATACATTTACATTTATACGTTTGTTAACTGCTGTGCTTAAGGGTTCCAGAACAGCAACTATTTGTACTCAAACAGTCCACGGGCACTTTGAAGTAAGGAGTTGGATAAGAAGTCATGGTTGAGGGGTCTTTTCTTTAAATGGCCAGTGTTTTATAGCTATGATTCCATCAGTGTATAATAACCTAAAACCAACTCCTCTTTGTCTGTGTCAGCTTCAATGGAGCTTGTCAGCTACACAGAGTCCACTGTGTTGCACAGCCATGTTTCTACGGCAGCCCGGGATGGACAAACCAGACTATGGCTCTATGGAGAACCTTCAGCGGGTTCAGGTACCGTACAGTACCTTTTGTTTCTCCTAATAATAGTGTTTTAGTGTTGTCCTGCAGGGCTCACACTAAAGGAAAGGGACGGTTGAGCAGAGGAGTATTCAGGCGCCTGCTTCACAAAAATACACTTGATATTTAAAGCAATCGTCCTGCCATAAAGGTGCTTTTAGTCCCACAGCTCTTGCTTTGAAATCACACATCATCCCATGTTGTTTTTCTTTTTCATTATCTGTGCTTTCCAGTCGTAACATGTCACTGCAGCCACTGCTGTTCAGTAATGGGATTTTAAATATTGTACCTGGGGACAATTTTGAGTTTGTGGTATTTGTATTTAAAATGTAACTTTGGTTACTGCTACTTGTATAATTAGCATTTTTACACTGTAGTATCACTACCGTAAGTGAGAGATCTGAAATATTTCCCCCTTTGTGGCCGTTCCCTGCAGACCCAGCAGTAGCCCTCGCTCCGTCACATGATTCTCACCTGCCGACGCACGCCGACCCCACAATCCCCTGAATCAGTGTTGTGCACGCAAAAGAGCAGTGGCTAGTCTGGCTGTCTGCGCTACATGCTCCTATTCTACCCGCCTGTCTGTTGCTTCCTTCTACAACCCCCCACCCCTCCCACCTCGCTCTAGCCACATTTGGATGTGACAGAAAGACGCACTGAGTTCACTGTCTTCGCGCGGCAGGCTCATCATCAGCATCTCAAACACATCCAGTGGCATCATCACATTTACGGGCGTGTCTCGGCGACGTTGTCATTTTTTTCCCCCTGCGCTCACGGGCTCGTTGAAGAAGATGATGAGGAGGAGGAGGAGGATGAGGGAGGCAGATAAATCTCATTCTCTTTTTCATCACGCTGACTTCATTCTTCACGGCCCCTTTGATGAGACAGGGGAGCAAACCTGGGTGGAGTCTGGAGATTTACGGGCGGGCAGAAGCGTGTAGGCCATTAAAGCCCAGCGTCCTGCTAATGAACAGTCCGGGCAATCGCACCGAGAGGAGTCCAGTATGTACAGAGACCATCGACCCGGCGCCGTCCTCTGCGACGTGTAGGCTCTGGTTTGACCCTGTCGCATGGAAGGACAACAAGATTCATCCTCATCTTGCAGCCAGAACTTGTGTCGGGTTGCACGACGTTGGATGTCAGACCCTATGAACACATGCTTTTGTGTGCCTGTTTTAAGTTTCAGAGAGGGAGCAGAAATCCCCCATTCTGCAAAATAGCTCTAAAATCATCCCTGCGTGGTGTGAATGAAAGGAACGTGCTTCCCCCGACGCACACACACGCATTAATATCCCCCCCCTCCGCCCCCCCGTATGGGTATCGACGTGCAGCCGGCGGCCCCAGCTGTTGCCCGATGATGCAGAGCTCCAAACTGTGCGGCGTCTCGTCATCGGGGTCGTGGCGTCTCATGGGAGAGTGGAGATGAGTGCTGTAATTAGCGGGGGCAACGAGGCCAGCGGCAAGCCGAGTTGTCCCAGTGCCCCCCCCCGCCCCCCTCCCCCCGCCGGAGGCCTCTGGGGACTTTGAGGCGCGTGGCTAACCTGTGGGCTACCTGTGGCTTTGCAATCCACAGTCAAGAGCTGATTTGTTGCATAAATAAATAATAATAAAATAAAAATGTCCCCCCATAAATAGGAGGGAAGTGAATATAGATTTACTTTTGAATCCTACAATCACGATCAGAGCATGTGGAAAGAACTTAAATAATATATATTTTTTATGACAGGGGAGACGCTTTTGGCACTTTCATGTCATTTAAAATATTTTAATTTAGCATAGGGCTGCAAGTTAGTTTGCTCTACAAAATGTCAGAATATTCTCTAAAAGCCTAAAATGACGTCCTCTTGTTTTGTCAATGTCTCAAATATATTCACAGGAGCAAGGACACAAGGAAATATTCACACTTACGTGGCTTGAATCAGAGAATTGTTACAGACTCGCCAATTATCAAATCAATTGGAGATTAATTTAATAGTCAACTACCTCAATGGATTAATCCTTCCAGCTCAACTTTTTCGGCCACATGTACAGTACAGTACATGTACAGTAAAGATGTCAATGTGAGCTCTTGGACACCTTTTCATTTGTTAATGTCTAAATTAAGTCATTGAAACAATAATCATTATTGAATAATACTACTAAGATCAAGCTCTAAAATGTATTATCTTTTCTTCATTAAATAGTCACTTGTTCGGGGGATATTTTATTTACAATTTGCAATTTTTGTGTGTGTGCGTCTGCGTGCGCTGGTGTGTGCAGGTGTACGCTGCTCCATCTGCGTCTGCCGCTGATGAATAAAGCCATGAAATAGATCCAGCTGGAGATGTGCTGAGGAGACCGAGGCCTCCTGGGAAATCATCCATACCTCCACCGGCCCTGTGTCCACTTCCCCAGCACCCCAGAGAGCTATCAATAAGTGGGTAATTGAATTTTAAGCACAAACACTGCCGTCAAATGAGCGTCGGCGGGTGTGTGCGATGGCGGGGGGATGTTTAGCTGTGTGAACACGGAGAGGCTGTCATCCGGCCCGCTGGGGCTCCTCGCAGGAAGGATGAATGTTTAATCCATTAAATAACAATTACAGCCTGTAATGGTCCAGAGTCGCCGTTGAAGGGAGGGAGGCAACATGGCTGCACTGCTCGCGTAAGCCTGCCAATGACTTTGCTTCTTCGTGACACAAATCGTCCTTGCATCTCTCACTCGCACACACACACACACACAGCTGGAAATAATTTACATGTGTTTTACTGTTAAAAAAAAACAAACAGGTGATTTTTAGACCTATATATATATATATTTTTTTTTTTGAACACTTAGATGTGGGATTTAGTATTTATTTGAAGTTGCTGGCTTTATTATTGTTGAAGGACAAACCGATATGAGACACACACACACCAATGGATACTCCAAGGGGATGTTGGCTTAGAATTCTGCCAAACGTATGCATCTAAAAACCGAAATATCTCAATATGATGTTAAAAAAAACTACCACATGACACACTTTTTACTCATTTTACAAAAGACCTTTGACCTTTTTATTTTTGGTTCTAACTCCTGGTTCTATTTTCAAATTATTTTTTCCAGACCTTGTGATTAATTAGGAGCCAAATCAATCCAGCAGACTGTAGACCTTCATGCATCTTTGACATAACCTTTTATTTGTACAGGTATTTAACTGCATAATCATCTCTTTGGATTAAAGGAGAATACATGATAATTGACTTGTTGATTTTACAAGTTGAGAAATTCCTGTCCTATTTTAACAAAACGGGCATAATAAAATGAAAATACTATTTAATGACTAACTAAGAAATCTTTTTCTTTAGTGTTTTGGTTCAACTTTGACATATAGACATTAATGTATCTTTATTTAAAATATTTAGCTAATTGATTTATCATCACACCAACTGTATCAGGAGCATTAGCTGTGTACGTCACCTGAACAAAGATCGAGGTGCAGATTATTTAATTAAAGCCCATGTGACGTTTGCACCTTTTTTCATTTAATTTTATTCAGTCAACTGTAAAAAAAAAAAAAAATATATATATATATATATATATATATATATATATATATATATATATATATATATATATATATCACCGCTAAGAATAGAAAACAGACTCTCGTCTTGAGTCAGAAGTGAACAGCTGTTTGCAGAGATTACATTTCCACTCTGACTGTCAATGAAGTACCAGGACTGCATGACAACATATTTTTCTGCAGTCTGAGGCCGTTAAGAGGCAGAAAAACACAGGCGAAATTATACAGAATAGGAAATTGCGCTCAAAACACTGTTCAGTGTCATGAAAAATCTTGTTCATGCGGATCAGACAAGACGGAGGTCACAGATAAAAAAAAGTTGCCACGGGGGGGGGTCGTTACCTTGAAGTCCAATCGACGAGTTCACATTCGCTTACCTTTTTTCGTTTAAATGCACCAGACAAGTCATCGACTGTTTAGACCAGATCATCTGGCGATGTTCAGTGAAAGTAAGTCTCCTCATAAAGAATAAACTGGTGTTCAATCCGCAGCAGCAATCGGATTCAGACGGGAAACTAAGCAGTTTGTGGGATTTAGAGATTAGAAACATTTGAAGACCTAAATGGAGAGAAAAGTGCTTTTGGTTCTGTGCCTCTTTTGTTAATGCGACCGCGGGTTGAAAATAGGACTAAAGCTTCCGAGCTGCTCGAGATGCATAAAGTAATAGAATAGGATTTAGTAAAAATACTTTAGCATTGCCTGGTCACTGTAGTGTGTAACTTTACCGTCCCCCTCCACACACGCGCACACACACACACACACACACAAACAGCTCCATGAACACAGTGTGTCGGTGTGATCGTTAACTTGCACTCGTGATCCAGAGCGAGTTTGCTAGCTGTGGTTTTCTCATGCTGCTCACACAATGGCCGGTGGATGGGAGCTGCCTGGTGGCATTGCTTAATTGGGCGAAGAGTTGATTCATTTGCGCTAATTGACAGCTAATTAAAGGAGTGAGGGCACATCGAATTGACGTTCCTCTGAGGGGAGAGGCCTTGACTGCGGGGGATCTTGGGCAGAGGGAGTTATGAAGTATTGAGTTTTCTGCGTACCACCTGCCATAAGGTAGGGGTGTGTGTGTGTGTGTGTGTGTGTGTAAACAAGCGCCGTGTTGAAATGCAGCCTGTTGAGTCCAGCTGCTTGTGGTTCAAAGTTTTCTCGAGCTTCTAGAAAAGAGTTAATTTGATGACGGTAATATCAAGTTCTGAACTGGTTGAGAAGAGTTAATAATTTATTCAAAAAAAATAAGTTAAAGGTTGATTTATTCCCCATGCAGCTTACACCTTCAAACAGAAGGTTTCTGTGTCTTTCTCCATGTTTTTCAGAAGAAAAGGATAAATGAGTATCGTGTGTGTGTGTGTATTATTTAATGGCATTCTGTTAACGTCTGTTAAAGCTGAACTCATCAGTATTTATTCATATTGGCTCTTTAACTGTTCTCTCACTGATCAGTGAGTTTTCTTCTTTTTTTTTTTAAACACAGAAAACAACAAGCGATAAACCGACTGCGCGCTACCAGCTTCAAACGGCAGACCAGCCTCCAGCTGTGGAACATTCAGTTTTCTTGGTGGAGACCAAAACGCAGGTAGAAAATGAATATCAGGACTGTAAATAAATTCCGTATTCAATATATATGATATCCAGCCTTCAGCAAATGAAGGCAAATCCCAAATTGTGAGATAATCAGCCCCTTGGCTGCCCGTAAAGACACTAAATCTGCTCCCTGCTTTCAACATGTCTGCAGCGCTGCAGGATCGCGACGCTGTCACAACACGTTAGCGCCGGCCGTCGGGACTTTGAGGGTGAAGGTCCCGAGCGAGTCCACTCGGATCTCTGGAGGAACAGAGGGAAAGCCTCTCCGCGGGAGACCACGACCAGTCCGTCTTTATGTCTGCCCATGAGAATAAAAAAAAAAAAAAAAAAAGACAATTAGGGGCTTATTAGGGTTTCGGGGGATGAGACGTGGCTCACGGGGGCGTCCGCTCGCCATCTCGGGCCCCGGCTCCGAGCCGCTGCCACGGCTCAAAACAGTCAGGGGCATTGTCTCACCTAATTACGCTGAAACCAGAGGCCCCCTTTTTTTTGTGTTGGTACCGCCATGCCTGTCCGGTTCCCTTCTCCTGGCTAACTGCTTGTCCCTGTCCACCGGGGAAGTGTGCTAATTAGACCAGAAATGGGCCCGAGTAATTATGTCGATTCTCGTTACGAGTGGCCGCGATGAGGAATATTATTTTGTCAGGAAAGGTTTCAGGGTTTTGGGAGTCTCATTACGGCAATGACACATCTGCACACGGAACGGGGGGGGGGGGCGGCACACTCGGCAAGTCGGAGACCCCGGCAAACTTCAGAGCACAAATAGATGCACTCATACAGAAATGGAGACTATAGAACGGCAATGGCACGAAGTTATTGCCCTAATTAATGGTTTGTGCCCAGCGAGCAAACTGTTGAATCACCGGCGGCACATTGTTAGGCTTGTGAGAGGCTTTTGTTTCTTCACCCTAATAGGATGTTTTGATAAACCGGCTCTTTGGTGACACAGCTCCTCCTCTTAAACGTCGAGCGCTGGGAAACGGCAATTAGCTAGATTAGAAGAGCCGTTTGTGGCGCCTCCAACAAACACAAAGATGGATGAGTCAGAGCTGCAGAAGCTCCCGAACTTCTAAATGTGTCTTTGTGCTGCGTTGAAAGGATTTCAGCTTCCGATCGTTACGTTCGACACTAATCTGTGCGTTCGATAAATTCACTTTATTTTAATGTCAGTGACAGTTTTGGTGGGAAGTTGTTTGATTGAAATGAGGTCGGAAAAAACCCCTTCAGATGCAATAAAAATGATTTGAAGTGAGATGAAAAAGGAGTGAAAACGTTATCTAATCGGGTCAAATGGATGTTGACAAACTGCATTAGTCAAAGACGTATTGCAGCCTAAAGAGACTGCAAAGTGGTTTCATGTACATTTAAGAAAATCTGAATTCAAAGTAATCCAACTGTTTGCACAGTTACAAGTTAGAAGGTCAAATGTGTACATTGTACATTGAAAATGTTTTCCAACCAAACTCTCAAATGATCTACTTTTCCTGAATCCGATGATCATCACATCCCCGCTTCTCTTTGTGTTCAGTGCTGATTTCCCTTTTTTTTATGATTAAATATGTTTGTAAAGGAAGAAAATGGAAATCAATCTTGAATGAGTTTTTTGAGAAGCTTCAAATGTGTCCACGAGCAGTGAGATGCTCAGGATGCAGAACGATGCTGCATCTGAGATGATGTGTGTGTGTGTGTGTGTGAGAAACCTCATTAGCATAGCCGCTGGTATGGCATTGATCTCTTCATTCACCTCTAATGAAATGTCTCCCTAATAGCTTCTAGAGGCTGAAGGTAATTTAGGCCGCTTTGCTCCCCTCTCTCCCTCTCGAGTTCTTTGTAACATCAAGGGCACATTATTTGTATTTATTTATTTTTGTAACACATTAAATACGTCTTATTTTTTTTCTACTCAATTATTACACCGCCTGAGGCAAATACCAGCAAAATAAATATTAAAGCAACGTCAAACCAAATAGCCCAACAGATGATCTGTATTCATAATACAGCATTTTGTATTTTATGCCCCCTCCCCTCCCCTCCCACCTCTTGCACGGAGATGCAGCGCCGTGATACACGAAGCAACATAAAGCCCCATAATTGACTTGACCGGGTGAAGCCGCATCTCTTGATCACATCTCGGATTACAAACAGGCACTAAATCTGTTGTGGGTTCGGCCCTCGCGACAGCCTGACGCAAACAGTCCCGCCGGAACCACCTCTTTTTTTCATTTATGCATTCATCGCCACATGTCCCCCCCCCATTGGTGAGGACAGTATCTGCGCTTCCATCGCGCGCGCGTCCTCTCATCTCCATAAACTCTCCCCGGTCGTCATTATCCGTCCAGATGTCCAAAGTGTGCCGCACATTATCTCCGAACCACTGCAACTCCACAGTAATTGAATAACAGCTGATTAGGGCGGATTAGGTGTCGCGGAAAGGGAGAGAAAATGAGAGTATTTTCACTTGATTTCCCATTTCAGCGGGTTTGAATCGGAGCATGAGGTTCTAAATAGTGTGATAAATGAGTGTGAAGGGGACGGGTGATTTCCCCTGACATCCGACGTGTCTTTGCTCCTAAAACGCTCAAAATGTTGGTTGACTTTTCTGTTTTTTTTTGTTGCAGTTCTTTTTGTCGTTGCTCGATGACAGAGAAATGGGAGGTAAATAAGTCTGTTGCGTGGTGCTCCGGCGTTGTTTGTCTCGTTTTTAATTGCCACCCCGGTGTGTCCTAAATACCCCGAGCTGGGAGACTGTTTTCTTTTTCATGTGACCCGTCAGAGAATGAAAACGCTTAATAATTTATCAACAGATGCGCAGACTGCCACTAAAGACAAAACGTTCGCTGCGTAAACCTAATTAGAATATGCAAATCCCAGGGTGGGTTATATGGGACGTTTGGGGGGCCAGGGGGGGGGGGGGGGGTCGAGTAACGGATCGATCGTTGCAGTTTAATTTATTCATTGGCTGATAGTGAAATTGGCTAATGTGAGATTGGGAGTGTTGTTGTTTTTTTTAACATAACATAAAATCTACATAATTTATATCATAGGCTGATTTAAAATTCAGTAGGATTAAATTAGTATTATTAATTTGTTTAGCAAAGCAGCAGACGTAGTCAAAATAAGCCGTTTTTTTGCTGCTGTTCCCTCGCTGCTCCGTTTGAAGGAGGACAAACGGGCAGAAGCTGATTTCCCTCCATTTGAGGAAGAGTAGCATCATTTAGCTATACTTTCGTTTAGGGTTTTTACTTAACGAATTATGTCAAGATAAAGAATTTTCTCTCTCAAATAAAATAAATAAATAAATAAGCTTCTGCTGAAAACAAACATAATTCTCCTTTGCGAATGTGTCCTGCTGTTTTTTTTAAATATTTGACAGTCAACACATGGCATTTCATTCGGTCTCATGTCTGAAACTGTATTATTTACTCGGATGAAGCTCGATGGGGCTCGTGAAAACTTGGAGCGTGGAGTCTCTTCTCTCTCCCCCTCGTCCTCCTCCTCCTCCTCCCCTTGTGATTGGCTGCCGCCTGTTGCCCGTTGGTTAAAACGCGCAGCAGAGAGGAGGGCCGAGAGATAAAGGAGCATCACGGCGCTGATTGCATCAGGGACTTTGGCGCTTTTTGTGTGCGAGAGAAAGAGAGAGAGTGGAAAACAATAAGTGGAATCTCACCGACATGACGGGCAAAGAGGGATTTGTACTCTCAGACACCGAGAATAAACAGAAATCTGCCTCACAAAACTGCGTGAACCACGGGGGGCCCCACCAGCCGCCCCCAGTCTGGAAGATGGCCCCCGCGGTGCACCGGCGCACCGGCTTTGGGATCCAGGAGCTGCTCGGCCTCAACAAGGAGCCGCCCGCGGTCACGCAGAGGCGGCCGCTGGAGGTTCTGCCGCACAGCGCGCACGTCCTGGCCGCGAGGTCCCTCGGACACGGGGGTCTCGGGGGTCTCGGGGTCGGCATGGGTTTGCTGGGACCAGAGGGAATACACTCGTTTTACAGCCAACCTGCTTTCCTGGAGGTGCTCGCGGAGGCGCAAAATGTGCACCTGCAGCCGCTGCACAGAGCGGCGCACATGGACTCTCAGATGGATGCGCAGCACTCCGCCAGCTCCGGTGGGTGTTTTACATTGATTCAGATTATAGGCCGATTCCGCAGGCTGTGAACGAGCGAGAGGAAGGGACTAGCAGAAAAATAGTGCAAGCGTGACTGATTTCACACGCAAACTGATTTATTTATTAAATGCATGTATACAGTTTTTTATTTTTTTAATATAGAATAAATACAACTATAGGTCTTACGGATTTTTTTTCCAAATAACTAGTCCCATTTATTCTTATATTAGTTTGAGAGGAAATCACGCTTTTACATGGAGACATTTGACAATTCTTTTTTAAGATTCTGATTAATTTACTATATTTACAGTCAGCCACAATGTAAAAAAGATTACTGTTATTGTAATGTATCCTAGTATTTTGAAGTGCCCCCTGCTTTGTTTCCTCACAGATTCTGATGACATGAGTCTTTCCTCCGGTGATCAGAAGTTCTCCAAATCCTCAGTGAGTCAGAGCAAGAAACGAAAGAAAAGACGACACAGGTAAAGAAAATCAAAATAGGATTTTTTTTGTTACACCGCTGACTGTTTTACTTACGTCAGCTTCAGCTCGTAGATTCAGCTTTTATTTTTTGCTTTCGCTTGATGTCTCCTCAGCAGGGAAAAACATCACACATTTTAATTCATTGTTCTAAATTTGCAACGTTAATTATATTTTATGATATTAGCCTTAATATGGAATTCCTCTGGTGTCTTTATAAAAAAAATGCCTTATTTATTGTTAAAAATGATAACGGATCGTGTGATGGGGATAAAAAAAATATCACTCTGTATTGAAGATTTCTTATTTTTTTTATGTATTTGTGTTTGCTAAACAAAGATGAAATAAGGCCCAATCATCCTTCATCATTTCTGTTTCCGACTGCTTTACTTCTGAAAATGTAAAAACCTGTATACTTTGTTTGACACTGTTCGATTTTATTTAAAATTCAGTACAAAATATATTTTGATTTCGTTTTCGTTTTCATTTGTAGTTATTTTAAATTATATGAAATTGAAAAAATGTCTAAATCCTACAAAATCGAAATTATAGAAGGGTGCTCACATGTTCTTGTTTTATCTGCAGAACCATTTTCACTTCCTATCAGCTGGAGGAACTGGAGAAAGCTTTTAATGAAGCGCACTACCCAGACGTGTACGCCCGAGAAATGCTCTCCATGAAGACTGAGCTGCCGGAGGACAGAATACAGGTGTGTGTGTGTGTATTATGGTCTGCGCAGACGTCTACTCCGTTTTAAATTCCCAATCCAAATCACCCCACTTTTTAAATACAAAGTGTAAATTTAGTCAGAATAGACATAAATTCCAGTCACGAAGCAATATTCCAAAGGAAATGTTCAGCCAATCAGCTGCCGCTTCATCATCATCATCGCCATCATCCTCTCAACGCCTTCTGCATACACATCAGCGGCCAATTCAGCAGCTCAGTGTAATAATTAGTTAATTGAGGGGACCTTGCCACCTCTTTCCTCTGCGAGAGAGCGCGGGCCGCCGCCCTGAGATGAAATGATAACCACGTGGAAATGAATTGGCAGGTCGGTGGCTGAGCAGAGGGCCCCGACTGGCTGCTACGAGCGTTTTAATTTCCCGTGATATTTGAGCGCCTGTCTCCCATCGATCGGCCCTGGAAATTAACTTATTTTTCAATCAGCCTCTTCGCCCCCCGGGGTCACCTCTCCTCAGAAAGCTCTACGCACGCACACGCACACACGCACTGCTGCTGTCAGAGAGCATGATTGCTCATCTGAGGCCCATCTTTTTATGAGATGGAGGATATCATCAGATCTACCTGAATAGCTTTCCAGGCGCGGCTCTGATCGTTTTTAATTCCAGGGCTGCGTAACACACACACACACACACACACACCATTCCTTATAATATCATCCTGCCATTTTATGACGCTCATTTCATTCCTGTTATCCTCATTCATATTCACCAGGTTGCTGAGGCTATTGCGAGGTCTAAATCAATTTAGGCGTTTGAGGGGCCAGAAGGGGAGAACGCACGCATACAGAAATTGTTAACACTGAATTACAGGAGTGACATTTTTTCCAATATATTTGCATTTTGAGTATATGGAAGACTGCGTTAAATTTGAGTTGAGAAATTCAAATTAGCTCCTGAAATATAAAATGTATATAGTATATTTTTTGTTTAAGCCTCCAGCAGATTTTTTCCACTGATATTCTCCTCGTGCAGAAAAAAAAAATCCTGCTTTGATGCAACTGGGATCGTGACGTGTCAAAGTGCATTCATTAGCCATGGAAGAGTTGGTTAAACTTCACGGAACCCTCTTTTCTCTCCAGGTGTGGTTTCAGAACCGCAGGGCCAAGTGGAGGAAGCGGGAGAAGTGCTGGGGCCGCAGCAGCGTGATGGCCGAGTACGGCCTGTACGGAGCGATGGTCCGTCACTCCATCCCGCTGCCGGAGTCCATCCTCAAGTCCGCCAAGGAGGGCGTCACTGACTCCTACGCTCCGTGGTTATTAGGTGAGTAGTTCGTCGACGTGATGACTTTAGGTGACAGTTGATAACCATTGATAATGTTATTAGGAATACGCGCGCTTCCCCTTGTGACTGCGGTGAAAAATGTCTTTCAATTGAAACATTCCAGGCTCATTTGGTGGAAATCTTTGCCGAGGGCACTTTAGGAACATCTTCTGTCAGATGGATGAGATGAATGATGTTGTTTCCCATTCATTATTTTGTACAGATCCCGTATTTGTGGTAATATTAGAGCTTGAAATATGGATCCAAAGAGAACCAGCTAAATTGGTTTGTCAGGGTCAAGAAGGAGGATCAAGATTTGTTCTATCACAAAGTGGGAGCTAAACCCAGCTCATGTTAGGAGCCAATAAAAGTGTCAGCATGTCAATAAAAGATCGATACAGTGATAATCCTACTTAATCAGGACAGATTAGACCACACGTCCTCTCTCTCCTCATGTCAATTGATTAGGTTAAATCAATTAGGGGCCTCTAATTGAATAAGAGGTGCAATCCTCATCCTCTTTTGCACTTTATTTCAATGTCAAACTCCTGCAGTAATTTCAGAGAACCTAAAGCTACGTACCTCAAACTATCCCAGGAAACACTTTGTGGTGTGAGAATACTTGCATTAACTGACCCTCTTCTGTATTTCTGTCTGTCAACCACAGGGATGCACAAGAAGTCCGTTGAAACCACACACTCCTCCCCCGGAAACCCCTGCGGCCGGACGGCGCCAACGCCGCCGCCGCCACTAACGCAAGAGAAACCAGAGGACAACGTGACGGAGAAGGAGATGGAGAGACGCACGAAAGACGCCGCCAGCGCGCCCATCTCCAAGGAGGAGTTGAGGGAGAACAGTATTGCCGCGCTGCGAGCGAAAGCACAGGAGCACAGCGCCAAGGTGCTCGGGACGGTGTGCGACAGAGCGCACGGCCACGTGACTCACAAAGAGGAGGCCGAGGAGCGAGAAACGCCAGAGGTGTTGAAGTGTGACTGAATGGGGGGGGGAAGAAGCTGCAGGACACAGAGTGATGGGGGGGGGGGGGGGGAATAACCCGCAGAGATGTTGTTTGTTTCAAAGGTGGAACCATGTGGAGACGTTAGACTGAACTTCAAACCCATGCAGATTAAGTATTGCAAGCAGTGGTCAATACGTCTGAAAATGATTAGAGATTAGTTGGTGGGTCACTAATTTGCAAAGGCTCCGATCATTTTGGAAGGTTGATAGTTTCCTCGACAGAAATCTCCAACCGAACTACGCAACCTTCCCGTGTCAGTTTCCCGAAGGCCGGAGCGCAAACGTTTCACTGCAGACGTCCCAAGAAAGCGCCGCGTTAAATAAATGTATATTTATTTTTCTTTTTAAAATAGATCGTTAACCTTGCAGTTCTGTGACCATGGCAGCTATACTTTTATGCAACCGGGAGGGATAACGATGAGTCGCTTTTCAGGAATCCTCTCAAACAAGAAATTGAGACTCGCCCCGGAGGGGTTTTGTGATGAATGTGACCTTTAACCTCCCTGTGATTTCAGTCGGGTGACTGAAAAGCACACAGCTGGTATAAAGTCCTGTGAAAAGATTAGATACAAGATGAATACCTTGGATCTGTTGCGTTTGTGGTGTACATATTGAAAATAGTCAACGCTGCACACTTAATCCTTAAGTTAACATTTATCGTCTGTTTGTCTCTGTATACTTGTAATTGTAGTCTAATTAAAAGTTGCTGATATTTAAAGTCACCGTTTCAATGTGTGAGTTTGACACCAGAAAACCGTTTTCTCACGGCTTATGTGCGTATTATGACGTCGTAGCAGGGTTACACACCCCGCGGCCAGTAGTCACAACCGCTGAAATGAAAGATATCATTTGAGATGTTGTAAGCCGGTTTTTTCCCAGCTGTCTGAAACCGAAACTGTAAGGAAGCCAAGTTGTTGCACACTGCAGGCTTTCTCTCCGAGGGGAAAAAAAAGAACTGTCGTCACGAGTTTTGTACCGCCCTTTGAATGCGTCCCTCCTCCAGATCTTCTCCTCGGTTTCTCCGTGCAGAATAACTGTAAAAGTCCGTAAAAAGTCTCGTCCCGGCGCAGACTGTCGCCATGTGGCTGCCGTGCCGACGCACTTCTCACTTCGTCGTCTCCTCGCTTCGCCGTCGCGTCTCAAAGTCACACGTCCACGCGTCGGGCCGACGGCGATGCGACGTAGCGGCGTTCATGCCGGAGGCTGCGGCGTTCGACGGGGTGTCGGACCGCGCGGCCCTGCAGGAGTTCTCCGTCTCCAACGGCGAGAGCTTCTGGGCCGCCGTGGCGCGTCGGCGGCTCAGCTGGACGCGTCCCTTCCACGCCGCGGCGGACTGCGACCTGCGCCGCGGGGACATCAAGTGGTTCGCGGGAGGACAGCTGAACGTCTCCGGTGAGATTGTGTTTCATTTGCTTCCCGAGAGACGCTTAAAGTAGCAGAACAGCCCGGAGACCGCGAAGGCGTCGCTGCGTCTCTCGGGTTATGATGCACATTCGAAGTGACTTGAACGCAACACGTTACGGCGGTATAATGTGACGTTTTCTGCATCATTCGGTGGCTTTGCTTTCTTGGGCGCCGTGCAGTGAACTGCCTGGACCGCCACGTGCACGCCTGTCCAGACAGGACAGCCCTTATCTGGGAGAAGGACGAACCGGGGTCAGAGGTCAAGATCACCTACAGGTCAGCAGGTTGGAGTTGATGATGACGACGTGTGTCTGTTTGTGTTCCTCCTCCTCACGCCGTGTACTTCACCGACTCTTCTTCACAGGCAGTTGCTGGAGATGACGTGTCGCCTGGGTAACCTTTTGAGACGGCGCGGCGTGAAGCGAGGGGACTGCGTCACCATCTACATGCCTCCGTGCCCACTGGCCGTGGCGTCCATGATGGCCTGCGCCCGCATCGGCGCGGCGCACAACGTGGTGTTCGCGGGGTTCAGTGCCGAAGCCCTCGCCGAGCGAATCAGAGACGGTGAGACGGTGTGACGCGTGCTTATAACGTGGCCACGTGACCATTGAAGGACACGCGTTGCATCTGGACGCACGTTGGAGGTTATTGATGAGGGGCGGTGAGCAACCTTCGGAGGATGAGGACACGATTCGGGCCGCTCACTTCGGCTCATTGTTTCGGTTTTTAAGGGCTGCAACTGTCTCGATAAAGTCTTTCTGTTAATCTTGCTTCTAGCAGCAGATATTTTTGAGTGAAAACGCCCTGATAAACAGTACTTGCCCAGCACAGACCAGCAAAGCCAATAAGTTTCTGAACATGATGTGTAAGACCATTGTTTGTGGTGCTTTTAGTTTATTAACCCAATAACAATAGTACAATATTATTGAATTTTCATTTGTCAAAAACACAAAGTGTTGTAAGTCCGTCTGAGTCACACCCGCGTCACATTTCCAGCCCAGTCCAGCACCGTCATCACGGCGAACCAGGGTGTCCGAGGAGGCAAAGTGACCGAGCTGAAGAAGACCGTAGACGCGGCGGTCCAGAGCTGCCCGGCGGTGCGGCAGGTGTTTGTTGCCATGAGAACAGAGAATCCGGTCGCCATGACAGCCAGGGACGTGGCCATGGAGGAGGTGAGAGGTCAGACCCATCAGGTCTTGATTGAGATGTTAATGCCGACAGCGGAGGACCACAACTGCCCTGTGTCACTTTCCTCTGCATGAGTAAAGGTTTAGGAAGTTGGCTTGAAAAACGATTCAAAATTGTTGTGAAATGTGCGGTTGGGTTGCACCATTTCGCAGGAGATGCGGATGGAGGATTCTGTGTGTGAGCCGGCTGCCATGGACAGCGAGGACGTCTTGTTCCTGCTTTATACTTCAGGCAGCACAGGGACGCCCAAAGGACTGGTCCACACGCAGGCTGGATACCTGCTTTATGCTGCTCTCACTCACAGGGTAAACACCCCCACCCCCCCCACTCCCTGACCTGCAGCTGCAATACCACACGAGTAGAGATGGCGCCACAACCGCTCGCTGATAGCCGCCCCGGACCGCCAGAATGTCAAACACAATCCAGCAGTAGGACCACTTTTTCATGTATTTTACACAATTGTCCCGTTAATCGTGACCTCTCGTCGGCAGTATGTCTTCAGCTACCATGACGGGGACGTGTTCGGCTGTGTGGCCGACGTCGGCTGGATAACAGGACACAGCTACAGTGTCTACGGGCCTCTGGCCAACGGGGGAACCACGGTGCTGTTTGAGAGCACGCCCGTTTACCCCGACCCAGGTATCAACGTCTGTACGAACGCGCCGGACTGCTTCCCCAACACATAGCAAGAAAACTCCTGTTACATCAAAACACGTTAATAATTGTTCTATAACATCCATTTATGCAGTAAAACCCTGTAAACGGAACCATTATTAAGGATTGTGTTGGTATAACATGTCACGTGTGTGTTGCCCAGAGCTCTGCCTTCAGATGAACTGTATACAGTGGCCATACCTTCCACACTAAAATTAGGACCCCCTATGTACACAGGAGTCACAGTTCTCAGGCTTTACCCCAATCTCTCGTTTGTGATTCAGATATTCGCTTTACTGTGGAAGGATTGTTTTGACCTCACTCGTTTTTGTCACGGCCTTTCGTTCGCAGGAAGGTACTGGGAGATGGTGCAGAGACTCAAGATAAACCAGTTCTATGGGGCTCCAACAGCCATCCGCCTGCTGCTCAAGTACGGAGACCAGTGGGTCCACAAATACGACCGCTCGTCCCTCAAGACTCTGGGCTCTGGTATGCTAAAAAAACAAAACAACGCTCAGAAATACTATTATGGGCCCCACAGATTCACTTTTGCACTTCCATGCTTAGAACTGTGCATGGTCACAGCGTATATAGAGCGGTGTGGACACGTTGAGGCGGTACAGTATTTCATAGAAGCATCACTCACAGCACGATGTATTTTCAAGGCCTGATGATTTAAGGCTGTGAATTCCTCCGGTATCACAACCGCAATCGCACTTTGCAATTATTCTGTTTGTTTATGTCCCTTTTTACTTTGTTGAGTTGATTTTGTCCAAGTCAACCTGTCATGTGGACAAGCTGGCCCTTGTCCACAGTAAACGTTGCGTGAACACACAAGCGCGCACAATGTGGAGTTGCACGAACGACTTCGCCCTCCGGGCTCACCGGTTTTGTTGTGGTTTCTTTTTTCCCTCCTTTGCTGCCAAGCGCGCGCGCGCACACACACACACACACACACACACACACGTGTGTTGCATACTGAACGTATATTGAAAGCTAAGCCGGGCTGCTATGTCAACATTCCATAGCAAAGAACAGCATGACAGGAGATTACATGGACGCACACACACGTGGCAACTGTTCCCTTTCAGTGGTTGAAAACGGAGCTGAGCATAAAGAATAAAAGTCCTCCCTTGTGTGCAAAGTATTGAAAGAAAACTCATTTAAACAAGGGCACAAATGAATGTTTGACGCGATAATGTGGTGGTGTCCCTTCTGTGTGTGCAGTGGGTGAGCCCATCAACACCGAAGCGTGGGAGTGGTACCACAGAGTTGTCGGGGAGGGACGCTGCCCTGTGGTGGACACCTGGTGGCAAACGGGTAAGAGGGAAGACACACGTACACAAATGCACGTTCAGTAAAACAAGGTGTATGGATACACACCTTTTTGTCTTGTTGATTTAATAGTCACCGTGGCTTTGGAAGAATCTGTCAATTTATTATTCAAAAGATTAATCACAAATGTATTCATGATGTTTTGTATAATCGTCTGTGTAGTTTGTCAAAAGCAGAAAACCCTTTAACCAGAAAACGGCGAGGGATTTATTCCACTAACTGAGAAGTTGGTTAATGAGTCGTTGAGTCTTTTGGGGGCAGTTGGGTTAATCAACTCCTTCGTGAACACGTCACTAAAGCGTCTCCTCGGTCGGCCTTGAAGGGAAAGAACAGTTGGCTCCATCTCTCTGGCGATAACGGTGTTGCGTAACATGCACACAGGCGTGTGAGTCTATACGTACGCAAACTACCCACTTTCTATCGCACGCGCACACATGGATACAATTAGGGACGTTTTCCGTTCGTTCACCGCTCCTGCACGAAACCAGATGTTTTCTTCTTCACAGAGTAGAACATCTGGTTTCGGTGGCAAAGGCATAAACATTTTTTTCTTCTTAATATTCAATAATAATAACCACAATTATGATGTCACTGAAAAATAACAACTATTCCCTTTTTTTAAAGTAGCCTATGATGGTATATCGTGGCATGTTAGAAATCAGCTGGTTTTGCCTATAGAATACATTTTAGTGATGAACACAAGACCTGACTGACACTGCGCATTATCCAAATTAGATTAAGTGATGACCAACTGGAGCAAAGCTGCATTGATTGCCATGAGAATGGCAAATTCTATGATTAATGGGCGATAATTAAACATCAGAGCATCATGAGTTTGAGAATTACAGACACAGATATGACCCAAATACCCTACTTCAGTAAAACCGATTATATTATGTTATTTCCCTGGGCCAGTGTTTTCAATTAGGACTAAGTGGCATTATTCATAAATGCCATTTGGTTGATCTGGAAGCAAGTAGCCTGTTTAGAGACTAAATTAGATTTTGAGCTGCTGTTGGCATAAGGCCTCTGTGTTCGATCATAAAGGACTACAGAGGTGAGAGAATGCAAGAGGTCACAAGGGGGGGGGGGGGCGTTGTGGCATTTAACACGAGAAAGTAGAAATAAATATGCATATATTGTATCTATATCAGCGGTGTAATTCTAGGTAACCAGCATATGCGTGAAGCCTGCATGGAAAGGTGAATAGGTAATACAAAAAACAATGTTTTATCTCATTCCACATAAAACTGCCGAGTTGTGCACAAAAATCTCTCACTTAGATCCCGCTAAGCGACACATGTTGTTTGTGAAATATACAATATATACAAGCATACAAAGTCAAAAAGAACGGAAATGTATAGTATTTAGAGATAAGCAACAAAATGAATTCAAGTTATACCCATGTCAGAAATTGTATAAAATTCGGAAAAAATGAATAACCCTAACCCCCATTAAACAGTCATAGTATATCATGTCGTATAAGGTGACAAAATCAGTAAGGTAAGTCGAATAAATATTACAAACACATTATGTTCAAAAAAGTCATTCTACAGAATGCAAAACAGTCCTAGGAAAACAATTGTAGCATTGAATGTCAAAAATGTGTAGATTGAAGGAAACAAAAACATCAACCTACAGCGGGCTGCCAGTTATTTTAGCTTTAACTTTAGCATCAGGACTGAAAAGGTAAATATATTGAAGCTACAAGCTAAGGTGCAAGCTAGGCTAGCTGCTTCCCCGTTTTCAGTCTCCTATCATCATTCTTTGGGTTGATCGCACTCTCAAATGGTAAACTATTACAACTCTTTACCATTTTTAAAAACCTTTTAGGTCAGCCTTCTGTAAAGTGGCTCAATTGAAAAGTGTTGATTCTATTCGGGGGGGCGGGAGGGGGGGAGGGGGGGGGTTTAGTCTCTCAGTTCCGGTCGTTTTGAACAGGAGGTCAGTTGCTAATGCTGTTGTGGGATCATCTGTTGTGTCCTACTTAATAACGGGTCCCCTCTGCTGCTCCCAGCTCTGTTGTCACCAACACCACCGGGCGGATTAGCGCGGCCCGGAGGTCCAGGCCAACCTCATTTCATTTACTTCTATGGCTTTAATTTCACCGTCTACATCTTTCAATGTATCCGGGGAGTAGAGGGCATATACACTGTTAGTTTACTCCGTGCTTGTTAAATAAAAAAAATGGTATTTGTGCAGAGCAAAACATAAATAAATAAAACCTGTATAGAAGAAAGTAGCTTTACCTTTTGCCTTTGTTTTGCTCTGTGTTCGTAGAGACAGGTGGCATCTGCATCGCCCCAAAGCCATCAGACCCGGACGCAGAGATTGTCCCAGGAATGGCCATGAGACCTTTCTTCGGCATTAAGCCCGTGCTCATGGACGCTGAGGTGTGTGTGTGTGTGTCTTGTCCCTGAACGTTGTAGCTGGCTGGGAACGGCCCGCGTGGAGGGTCAGATTAGGATTATAAAACATTCACCAGCTGTGTCACTTTTGATACCCACTCTGCTCCTACCCATCAGGCCCAGTCCGTGCGTGCCAAACCCCTCCCGCCCCCTATTAATAATCCGTCGTACCACTTGGCTATGAGCAGATGATTTCGAAATGCACAGATTGTGCAGACAGTTGGAGCGCTGGCTCATCTCTCTTCCTGTTGCTCAATGAAAACACGGCGTTTTAACAGTCAGTTTCTATGGGGTTTAATGTCAGGGGAATATTCAGTTGTTTTTTTCTGTCTGGTCTAGTTGTACATCAATCACTGTTCTTATTGATCTGTCTGGTACTTTGAAGCACAATTATCTTTCAATATAATTTGCTTCCCCCCCATGCGTTCACATTCTCACTGTTGTTAAAGGGGAAAGTGGTGACTTCTAACAACGCTTCCGGAGCCCTGTGCATAGCTCAGCCGTGGCCTGGCATGGCCCGAACGATCCACAACGACCACCAGAGGTTCATTGAGACCTACTGTCAGCCTTATCCTGGTACAGTACGACGGCTTCAATTCCTTTTTGGGGTTTTTTTCCTTTAGTGAAGACAAAATCTCGTCATCTTTGTGCCCATAGGTTACTTCTTCACTGGGGATGGCGCCTATCGCTCTGAGGAGGGTTATTACCAAATCACTGGCCGTCTTGATGATGTCATCAACGTGAGCGGTCACAGGATCGGCACAGCGGAGATCGAGGATGTGGTGGTAAGGCCTTGCAGTAATTAACAGATTCACTTTTCTCGCAGGCTATGAAAGCAGTGATCTCTTACCTTTGCTCAAACTTGATCGTGTAGTTCTGGTTGGACCAAAAATGTTGGACGAGTGGAAATTTGACTGTTTAATGGCTCAATGAGAAAATTTGAAACAAGCCTGTGAATCATTTACAATTTACATTAAACGTTGCAATTCATACATTATTTATCAAGCTGTTAATTTTTTTAACCAGCATCACCATATTGAAAAATGTAAAACCTGATTTATATATAAAACATTTCAGAATCCTTGAGCAGTCAATTAAAGGTGATTTAAAATTCTCCAGGGAGACATCTATGTTAAGCAGTTCATATTTCTTTCCCTACTTTCTGTAACAGAATCAATCCTCCGCAGTGGCCGAGTCTGCAGTCATAGGATACTCTCATAACATCAAAGGACAAGGTGACCATTGCATTATTTTCAGCAAAAGAACTGCATGTAAACGTGTTTGTTCAAAAGCAGCAGGAACGTCCATCATGGTAAACATGTCTCCTGGCTTTCAGGGGTTTATGCCTTTGTGGTGCTAAAAAAGGGCGAGGAGGTTCAGGGGGCCGACCTTTGTCAGCAGCTGAGGAACATGGTCTCTGAAAAGATCGCCAAGTACGCCTGTCCAGACTTCATCCAGGTAACGCTGCCTCACCGCCTTGGAATCCACGTTCGATACCAACTTGTACTCAAGTCCCGTCATTCTCTCAGATCGTCCAGCGGCTGCCAAAGACGCGCTCGGGTAAGATAATGCGCCGGGTGCTGCGGAAGGTGGTGGAGCGCGACTTGGACGGGATGGGCGACCTCAGCACGCTGGAGGACCCTGCAGCAGTTAACGAGATCATCCAAGGTCACCTCGAGCTCTGTGGTGAACCACAACAACTGTGAGGTGGTTTCTGAAACGTGGAAGTTGTGCTCGCACGTTACCCACTATTTCAATTAACTAGTGCAAATGTATCAAACTATTTAAAATAATCCTTTGTTTTTATTGTACATAACATTTGTATGAAATCAGATACATAAAAACTATGTATAACCCACAGATGTACTCACTTGTGAGTAAATCAATGATTGTAAACAATAAACAAATGTAATAAGTACGATAGTTAAGGTTCAAAAGTGTTGATTGGTTTTCACGAGGGATTTTTCTCTGATCATTTCAGAGCCGTCCAAACCATTGGATTGGCAAAGTCTTTGGGTCCAGAACGTTTAGGTCGAGCTCTGCCTCCGTGATGTGAATACAATCAAATTGTAGGAGTGCGGGTTTTAAAGCAGCACTTGCGTGTTACGAACGGAGGAATTTGGGAGCGTTTTATCTCCTCGTCTCCCACATCGAAGCTTCCTTCATGTCAAGAGACAGTCACAGCGCTTCTTCTCCGAGGCTCCTGCTGCTTCCTTTTAACTTGGTCAACTCCCACAGGCCTCCTCCACACAGTTTCAACTGGACGTCATGGTACTGCGACAAAAGGAAAGGATGAAATTTAATAGTTAGGGGGAGAATGTGATACATTATTCCACGAAGGCAATTGCTTTAGCATCTAGTTGCATAATCATTTTGCAGAATCGTGTGCGGAGACACAATTCTGATACGGAGAATACAATTTTGAACAAATTTAAATTAACAATCCAATAAAATGATTCCTCCAACAGTAATCTGGGCTCATTTTTCCCACTTTCTCCATGTGCGTAAAACAAAGCCCTCCTTGTGGTTTCATACTGGACGTGGGACTCCGTACCTTCACCAGGCTGCTGCGGTGTCCCAGGCTGACCAACGTCATGCCCAGCTGTTTACAGGTCGAGTACAGCTGTGCTTCTGCCTCCTCCGTCAGAGCGCTGGTGGCCTCATCCAACACTGCACACAGAAATCAATACCAAGACTTTTTTTTTAATTGGTTCACCTCTAGTATAGACAGGAAACGTGCAAACGAGAAGAAGTAAGCGACGACGAGTTGGAGGCCAGCTCCGCTGAATCTGATAACACACCTGCGTATTTGGGCTGCAGGTAGAAGAGACGAGCGAAGCAGAGACGCTGCATTTCACCTGGAGACAGAACATCATACCTGCAGAGAAGAAAACGGGTTCAGATTCCGCATCATTTTTTGGCACAATTGTAGAACATTGTTTTTCTTCTTACCAGTTCCAGTCCACCGTTTCATCCAGACCGCCTGTCCGCTCGAGGAGACTGGCCTGGAGCACGGATACAAGTTTGATCGAGAATCGGCATTCAAATTCAAAATAGTAGAGAAATGTTCAATTTTACTTAGCTAAATAGTTTGTTCTCCTTGATTTAAATTCAAGGGAATATAATGTGGAATAAAGTCACTCACCACTCCGGCTAATTCCAGGAATTGTATAATTCTGTCATCGTCCACCGACCCTGAAAAAAAGCAAACTCACCTTATGAATAATTACTCAGATGACAAATTAAATCCATCATTTCCAATACTGTATTAGTATAAACTTACACACATGCATCTTTTGTTTAGTATTAAATTAGCTGCTTCAAGCGAACAACATATTGATGCCAGATGACAAATTAAATCCATCATTTCCAATACTGTATTAGTATAAACTTACACACATGCATCTTTTGTTTAGTATTAAATTAGCTGCTTCAAGCGAACAACATATTGATGCCAGAAAAAACAACACGTGCAACTTAAGTGCTTTGTGTCTATATTTAATGTAACCGAACAAATGCAGCCGGTGTGGCACCGTTTAATATTAAGTTCAGTTGGAGTGAAATCTGATACCTGATGCAGGGTAAATATCCTTCAACGGGTAGATCACCTTAAGGGAAGAGAGTTCCATTTTATTTAGTTGATTCTGGTCAACCAGATCATTCATTCATTATTCAACAAGTTACAGGCTACAAACAGAAGACCGCTACCTGTTCCCGCAGTGTGCCGTCCGTCAGGTAAGGTTTCTGGGGCAGGAAGAGGGTTCCTCTGGGCCCGAAACATGTGGTCATTTGGACAAAACCTGGAGGACACGGGCGCGGTTATCGCCAGGCTAATAATGCTGCGTCTGTCGCTCACATTACAAATCAAACGCCGCCCTTTCTCACCGCTGTGTGCCTCCCAGAGTCGGTTGAGGACCCTCAGCAGCGACGTCTTGCCGGTGCCCGTGTTGCCCACCACCAGAAGATGTGTTCCCTGGCTGATCTTCACACTCAGATCCTCCACCAGCAACTTGTCCGAGTAAGGAGATTTGTACGAAAGATGGTCCAGGATGAAGGCGGTGTCCGTGGGGCCCGCGTGGATGTTGAAGTCACTGCGTGGAGAAATCAAATAATTAAAAAAATAAACACGTGGAAGATAAAAAGCTTTGTGACAAGCATTTGTCCTGTTCTTTTAATACAACTATATTAAGTGTGCTCACACAAACCTGTCAAAGTCGTAGCTTTCGCCCGATGCCGGGTCATAATCGCACTGCTTGTGTAGGATGTCATCCATCACCTCCCTCAGCTCCCCGATCCTGAGCGTAATACACACACACACCTCAGTGATAGAAAGGTGGATGGCATGCATGTGTGCTGCCGTCATCATCCTGCCTCCCGGAAGTCATTTTCGGGACGCAGTGTGTGTACCTGTGTGTGTATCCGGCCACGTCGGACAGGGTGCTGGACAGGTCTATGAGCTGCGTGAAGCCATTTATCAAGTAGATGCACACAAAGGCGTTCTGAGTATGAACAAGAAGAGGGGGAACCAGCGCAGTGAGTAAATAAAAAGACAAGATGAGGAACCAGGACATTTCTTAAATATGCTTCCAAACGAGCCTTGGAGACTCTTCTGCAGTTATACTTATTTCATTTAGATTTCTAAAAGAGGTATTCAGCTCAGCATGAATGAATAAGAAGAAGAGAAAGCTTTTGCTGCCACCTATTGGTTACATTAGCAACACGTTTATATTCAGCCAATCTGTCATGGCAAACACTTCATAATCTCGGCCATCTCTCAACTAAACTATGGGAACAATGGGTGAAAGGAGAGCACACATATATAAATATATATGTGTGTATAGAGAGAGACAGAGTCCCACTTGTACTAACTCATTACAGTTTCTTATTCCTCAAGGGAGGAAATATGCATTTCTTTATGAAAGAAAAAGTTACAATTAGTAGGAAGGGCAAAAATAAATAAAGAACTCTTACCTTACTGATGAGCGCACTGAGCTCCCCGGGAGTGAGTCCATCATAGATACCAGTGAAGATGGGAATGGCGATGATAATGTAGCTGAGATAACCTCCGAGGTAGTCGAACGTGTTTACCCCGACTGAGCGAGAGAAGTCAGAGGTCAACCGGTGTAATCAAAGCGAGTAGGGGGTGTGTGTGTGTGTGTGTACGATGTTCTTACTATAAAGCCAGAGCTCTTTGTTGATGAGACTCTTCTGAGTTTGTAACAGAGTCTGCAGCCTACGGTCGGTCCTCATGTGCTCCACTTTACCGGCTCTGTAAACACAGCGGCAGTTTTGCCGACTTATACAACTTTCTCTCCAGGATCGGTGTGATTTGGTGTTTCAGAGCGATTCAAAGTTACCAATGGATACAACACAATACTTTGCCTGAAAGTTATAGTGTTCAAGTGTTTGCAGGCCAGATTCATGCACAAGACAAAGCGCCTCACCTATAAAAAGCCGCAGACTCTGCATTGACACGGATCTGCATGTGCTTGAACCTGGAGAAAACATTTTATTTTTGAGGCACAACACAATTTAGTATAAATTTAGTTCCCTGTCGCAACAAAATCAAATTGTTTTAACTTGTGACGATCAGATTACATTCCTCTTTCAAGGCTGACACATATCCTGTGTTGTTATTGTGAGGCAAAAGGCACTAGGCCAAAGTGCACGCACACACACACACACACACACACACACACACACACACACACACACACACACACACACACACACACACACACACACACACACACACACACACACACTTCCTTCTGCTTGACAAAATTACATTTACTTAAAAGAACAAACCGAAAGAGGATTTGCGTTATGTAAATCTGGCAGACACCCTCCCAACCTGCTGAAGTTCAGGGAAAACTATTTCAAGTCAATCCCGCTCTACCGGTCGGTCTGTCTGTACTGTCGGCACATTTAGTGACTTATGTGACTGAACTCACCTGAAGTCTCCCTCCAGTTTTTCTTGCTCAAACAGAGTGGACACAATCGGGCCCATAAGGATTTTATTGGCGATGGTGCCAATCACAAAGTAGCCAAAGATACTCACAGGGCCGATCCAGCCGGTGCTACAAAGAGAAGCAGCTTTATTCATACATCAAACAGAGGCATTCCATTAAGTAACGTTGCTGCAGTTGGTTCTAAAAGAAAAAAAGAGAGTTTTACAAACTTTTAAATACATTTAGAGTAGCAGAAGACTGCTGGATCAGACACAGGAATTGTGTCTGACGTTGGTAAGAGGCACTGACAACAGGGAGCCTTTTTTGTTTCTTAAACCACATAGGACGGCGAAAAATAATACATCAAATGCATTCCTTTTTATTGCAAATGTGGCTGAAATATGATGACTTTTAAACAGAGCGCAGTGGATTTCTCTGACGATGCTTCAACTTCAGAGGATGTTAAATGTGTTGAAGAGGGTGACGTACGACAGTTGTCACGGTGCTCTACGGACTTACCTATAAAAGCAGTGGTAGGAGTAGTAAGCCAGCGTGAACGGTGATACAATCAAGCGACTGGCCATGGTGCTCATCTGCTTACACAACCTCTCTGCATCCTGACTGATGCGCTGGTCTCTGAGAGTCACAAAGACAAAACCAATCACACGATTCCTCCTTGGGATGCCGTTAAATGTTCTGATGTTAAAAATATGCTTTATAGTCTGATCTCACACAAAGAATACTCTCAGTTGATAAGATTTGTTCGTGATTGGTTAATTAATCGAAATTGTTTTTATCATCTTGAAACAAGCCTTCGATTGGACCACAAAGAGGAAAACCATTCAAGCTTACGGATTGTCTATATCCTCTCTGAGCACATTGAGCGTGTAATAGACTCGGCCCTGGAAGTAGGACGTGTGGAGGCTCTCAGTTAGCGTCCTCCTCCAGCTAACATACATCTGATTGCAAATGTACTGGTCCATACTTTTCAACTGGGAGAAGGAGAGAGGGGCACAGAGAAAGAGAGAGGTTGTCTATCAGAGTAGAGCATCACAGAGACAATAAAGGCTGACTTTATGATGATCTCTGTGAGGGTTAACCACTAAAGGTCCCGTCATTCCTTTTATTTCAGAAGAGTCCAGCTGCTGCTGTTCAGTAAAAATACCAATGTGGTGGAATAATGTTTAATATCAGTTTCCTAAGTTAGGCGTTTGCAATTTCTCGGGTTCAAAATCCAAGTATCACGCGTGTGTGTCGGCTGTAAAACGAACGTGTCAGGCTGACCTGACCTTGTAAAGTTTCCATGGTCTATTATAAGAGCAATTTGAAATAAGATTCTATACAGTAAAATACAAGAAACAATATACTTGAACATCAGTTTCAACAATATTGGGAAGATTGGATTTCCTATTTCTATATCAGGAATGTTAAACTTTAATCAACTTAAATAAATGATTTGTTACTTCACCCACAAAATCGTCATTGGTATCGCTAAAGCTCACACCGTGTAACCTTGACTTCTTGGAGAAAACTGGGCCAATGAAGTAGTTGATATACAAATGTTCCTTCCTATTTGGGTGGAGTATTCCTTCCAGTGATGGTAAGATAAAGTATTGTAGTACTGTTACCACGAACTTCCCTGGATGTCGTTAAATATCTTGTTGATGAGTAAATCCTTGGTGAGATTTTAGAAATAAGGGACATACAGCATCCGAAACAGGTCAAACGAGCTTCTACATTAAATTGAGAATTTTAAAGGTGGCTTGGCAAAGAATAAACCCTTTTATAAATATGCAAAAACATCTAGGTAAGAGTAACTTTCCCTAAATCTGCAGACCAAACTCTGTGTACAGCATAAGTGAAAGGATGACCCACCAAAATGGTGGATCTCTTTTGGTACATTTGGGCTGCTGCAATCAGTGGGTAGGTCAACGGCCTCTCGCGGCTCCTTGGACCTACCGTGGAGTTGAGTAAGATGAGCACCATGGCCGTGCCCACCAGACTCTGGAAGCCCGGGTAATCTTTGTCTGCCAGCACGCTGTAGAAGTGACTGGGGAGGACACCCACTTGGTAAATGATTAGCTGCTCTGGAGACAGAAGGAGAGGAAGCTGTGCGTCAGCGCGTTGCTGGGACAACAAAGACAACAATGTAAAGAAATAAGGCAACCTTTGACCTCCAGGTGATGAGGGGGGGGCGGGGGGGGGGGGGGGGGGGGGGGGGGAATTTTTCTCCGATGAGGGTTTATGCCAAAAAAAATTTATTTTCCCCTTTATCCTTTCCCACCCCCTTTGCTGAACCCTGAAGAACCCCCGTTTACCGTTGGAGAAAACCCCAGAGCGTCCCCAAAATCAGAGACCCTTGATGGGCCCATTATGGGAAAAGGACTCTCGGGTGCTGCGAACCCCTAATGACGGCCCTCCCGGTATGGCTGCGCCACTCCACAGAGCACCATTTTGATAGAAAAATTGGCAATTGGATCGCATTCATTTTACAGGCTGGGTCACGTGACGAAGTGGCGGTCTGGTTTGACTCAAGTTACACAATTTCCCCTTACACCAGCTTTGGAAGTCATAACCGGCGCTGTACATGGTGTCTTTTCACAGTTTTTCTCCGGGTCGGCATTCAACATCACCTTGCAGCTCCATTCTTACCTTTTCTTCCTCCTGCCATTTGACTTTTCCAAACGAGGCATCTGCTCTCTGGCAGAGAGGTTTTAGTCTCTGTGGCGAATAGACTCACTTTGGACTAACGGTTAAAGGTGTTAGCGGTAGCTAACAGCGGTAGCAGTCAAACTTGAGTAGCAGCTAACGTTAGCTAACCGTGTGCCATGTATTACTTGTCACGACTGCGGTAATTCAATTAGATATTGTTTAACTTTGGCATTGTCTTAGCGACAGCTAGCTTTCTGCGCCACTGTGCGATGAGTTATGGGCGGATGTTTGGTGGGAGAAAGTAAAAGTCCGGACTTCCGGTACAATGCATTTGTTTTTTCAGAATAAAAGGTTAGACAGTGTTTTAAAAGCTTTTTTCAAACCCCTTGGTGGCCTACAGTTGGTAAGTCACATTTAATTAAATTCAACATTGCTTTATTGGTATGAGAGTAAAAAACACAAGGTTGCCAATGCTTAAAATTGAAGTACACGATTATATTATTAACGCAGATAAATATCTCTTAAAACAAAGAAATTACTCTTTGCCAGTTCAGACAAAAACATTGAAGGCTTGAATATAGTAACTAATCGTAAAACTATGGCAAAAGAAAATGCACATTTGTGTTCAATACAAGTTACGTAAAATACTGATGTCGTTAGCTGTTAAATAATAGTACAAGATTGCAGTCGGCCATGTGCTTACCGCTGTATAAGTTCAGAGAAGCCCACTGATTGTGATGGATGTATGCAGGGATTACAAACCAGATAGATACCTAATACCTTATCTGTCTGGTCAAAGGTTAAGCATGAACCCAATCTGCTATTTTTGCACTTTGAGTAAAACAAATATTACCACACTGCATGCCTTCCCTCGCTATTGACAAAACAAAAATGCAGTTATTCTGGATTTGTGGCAGCGACTCACTTCTTCTCTGAACTTCAGATTACTTGCAAGGAAAATATAATGCATTGAAATGGGGTTTTTTGGAAGATTTTATTCTTGTTTCCATATTTTTTTCACAAGGTTACAAGCCTTGCATAACAGAAAAAAGATATGGAAATGGTCGGTAACACTAGACCGGTACATACTGATGAGTACTTAGTATAAATGTTCAGGCAATACAATTCTGACATAAATATTAAAGCAAATCATTTGGATATCACAACAGTAAATAACATGAAATTAAAACCTTCAGGCTAGGGTCAATATTTTATATACTGTAGTTTAAGGAAGGCCAACTGAAAAGCCACCTAAATAGGATTCTTGAAATCAAGAAAGAATATAGATTGATTTTTATTCTTTAGCAACAAGTCAGCAAATTAGGTATGATGGCAAAATACTTTATCAAAAATAGGCTATATTAATTTTAAGCTTTCAAATTACACTTGACCCAAAATAAAAATGGATTTTTGAAACGAGCACAAAACACGTACAAAAACGAGGTAATGATATAGATAATGCTGGCTATTATAATGCAGAAAAAGTATTTATTATACAACACACAGGTTTCTCCAGTTTTTTTTTAAAGAAATGACAATTGTGCAGCTAACGCAAACACATGTGAATGTGCGCCTGGTTGATTTTATTCAACAATGGCGACAACTGATGTCAACTTAATAAATGAAATATCCATGGTTAGGTTTTTGTCAGGGCATGACATTCTCAAATCTTATTCCAATTAATGATGAAAATCAACAATATATTCCTTATTTTAGAATGCAAGCATCATCAGTACATTTGATAGACTTCCTATTTGCAAAGTTCCAATGAACACTGAATATTAAATCATATATTAAGGGATAAGGCTGATAATGTTCCATATTATCACTGTCAACCAATGAAAAGGGTCAAAACCAAAATTGCTTTGATGCACCAAAACTTTTCTTCTTCTAGTCTGTGTGGGATCAACTCAGCATAAACTACTGAGGCCATGTCAGCCTGAGCAACAGTGTGCCTCATTGGAACAACAATGGAACTCACTGGCAAAGAGGATTAATGACAATATAAAAGAAAAAACATGTCACCAAAAGAATTCATTAAATTAGTTTCTGTCGTGCAGAAACATCGATTTATCATGTGTCGAAAGCAGAAGCGTGTTTCCAAGTGCCCTTCGCTTTCACCATAAGGTCAACACGTCAGCAGAAAATTACAGTTTGCACACACACGCAAAACACTCAGGCAAGGTTTAAGATCCTGAAAATGAGAGGCACCACACAGACACAACTGAAGCCAACAACACTGTAGACGATGTAACGGTACGGCAGCTCTACTTTCATGTGCTGCCTCGCTTGTCTTACGTCATCTGAAGGCAGCCCAAACAGGCGACACAAGAACGGAATAGTCACTGCTTTCATAACCATCCTTGTGATAAGGATGACGGCGACTCCTGTGAAGAAGCGCAGCAGAGCGAGCGCCACCAAACCCGCGGTCACTGGCGGCAGAGTTAGAGGAAGTGAGGCCAGCGGCGGATCCAGCAGCAGCCCCAGCTGGTGGTTAACGTGTGTGCCGATGGCAGCGCCTACCCCGGTGCCCAGGGCCTGAGCCGTGTCCCCCCGAGAGGTGCTCCAGGAATCCAGAGAGAAAGCCACTAGTCCGAGGCTCACGTGGGACACGATAATCACGAGAGGAGCGAAGGGGTCCGTCATGTAGAAGCTGTCGATCTTGCCCAAAATTGGCTGGAAAACGGCTAAGATAAGGAGGCTGTAGAGGAAGCCTGTTATTACCTCCTGCAACACAGGGACACAAATCAGGGTAAACCACGCACATATGCCAAGAAAGACGTTAGGTTTCACTCACATTTGCACAGAAATGCTTCATACAAAGTCATTAAGCCATTTTATGATTCATTGCGTTTTCGTTGCAGACTTAATACAGGACGTTAAACTGGAAATGTATTATCAGTTGTAATGCAGAACATAAACAACGTCCGCTAAATATGTTCGCCTGGCAACCAAATCTAATCTGGCCGTGATTTGTTTATTGGCTCTGGCAAAAATTTCCTCTGATAATTAGGTTTACGTTCCTGAGAAAGTTGTAATTACAACACATGGGGCACGAGTGGCTGTCATGCATATTAACGTTTTGCAATGGTCATGTTTGACCAAGCCAGTGTTACGGTTTTAGGTGGAACAGCGTCTCTTTTTATTCTTGAGGTATTCATGTTGTTTCAGTGAGAAGCATTCTTCATTTCATGTGGTTTATTTAATATACTTACCAGAACGGAATGCATCCCCATGTAGATTCTGCTGACACACACCAGGATACTCCAGCTGAGAGCCACACAAAAGCCAAAGAGGAAGGAATACTGGAAGCAAGGACATGAAATAATATTAATATAGCAGGTGGGTGAAGATAAGCACCTGTGATGCTTTGAGCTAAATGCTACAGTGAGCATGCTAATGTCAACACAACGGCTGGGAAAACATGCTGATGTCAAGTTTTACCATGTGGACTCTTAAAAAAAAAAAAAGTGCAGCTGAAACCTCTTGGAATGTTATTAGTTTAACAGGCGTTTGGTTAAAAAATAAAGTTTGACCCAATGATGGTGCTAGACAGGAAGGTACAGGATAAGTAAAGTTAAAACAGTTCCACTCCAGGGGAGCGTGAATATGTGCCACAATCTATGGTAATGTCCATACTTTCCCTAAATCAAATCCACTAGTCCCTCCTTGCTCGGTCTAGGTTTTACAATGTAGAAGAGCGAGTCTTTGTTCATCGAAAGATCTGAACTACGTTTCCCCTGCTCGTGTGCTATTGACACACCCTGTCCTGTTCGAAATCTCTGCTTGAACAGGAATGTTTTTGGGCCACAAGCTCACACAAGATGACAATAACAATTAACAATGGTCCAAAGGCAGGATGTTCTTTTCATTTCTTTGGCTGTAAACAGACCTTCAGACCCTCATAGTCGGCACCGGGGAACTGTGGAGCAAAAGGTCACGAGGAGCTCTTTACATGTTATTAGGTTCAGATGCCTTGTGCATTTCCTGAACTATTGTCTTTTCTTATCGAGATCTAGTTCAGCTGAACCTTAAAACTGTGGCTCCCAAAACCCTGTGAGACTGTGGGTCTGTGCACCTTCCCCATCAAAACATGTTCACGTCATAGCTACAACACCCGATTGTAATGCAGCGTGAAGCACAACATCACTGACGTAGCTGTGAGAAAACTTGATTTAGATGTGCGAGTTTACAACATAGTTGTCTGTAATAATATCGCAGTTCAGTTCCACGCTGTGGAGAGAGGGGGGGGGGGGGTCTTCAAACCATTGTTCCTCTCACTCTCCGTGTAGAATGTATCCTGTTGTGTTTATTAGCCATTAGATCAGCATGAATACTACCCTGGTGTGTGCCGTGTCTCGGGTAGTCTGTGCAATTAAACAGAAATGTGCACCATGTGAGCATAATATCAGCTGACCTTCTCTTTCAACACAGCAGATACTTTATCGCGTTAGTTCAAGGTTCCCTAACTGGCATGGAGATAATTACCCAATTTCAAAACACTGATCTTCAGGAGAAAAGCACACAAAAGGAAAGTTATTTGACATGCGTGCCGTGGTTTAGTGCAGTCGTATTTGATAGCATACTAGATGGAGAAAGATGTGAGTGTCCCAGAGGGAGATGCTATCTTATTTTAGGTTTCAGTACTTTAATATTAGCAGAGGAAACTAAGTGCAGCTTCTGGTTATTTGCAAGAACACTAGTTTTTTTAATTATGTGTTCAATGTTTTGTTGTTGTACCAGGAGAACATTTTCTTAAGTATGATTCATAGTAGACCACGAAGAACACAAAAATGAGTTACCGATTTTCCCAAAACGTTTATGCAAATCCACTAACAAACTATGTGATATCAGCTCTGACTTTCACACTTTCTCACTTTCAAACTCAAATAATACACTGTGAACGTGCTGACTTTGGGGCCCCTGAAGCAGTTGACCCCTTTGCCCTGCTGGTGACCCCCCCTCTCTGCATTCAAGCTGTACACCCCCGACCACGACCACCCTAGATGTGACACTCTTGGGATGGGGGGGTTTGAAAAGGTCTCTCACCTGCCACCGCCCGTAGGTCAGCATGAAGAGACAGAAGGGAATCGCTGTCCCCGTCATCGCGTGGGTGGACGGCATGCTGTACTCGGAGTTGTAGAAGACCTCCACCTTCACGACGGGGGGAGAGGCCGGCCGGGACCAGCGGACCATGTCCTTGGTGGACTGTCCCACAAACAGGTTCCAGGCCCAGACCACGATGAGCCGCCGGCTGACCAGGGCGTCGATGTTCCAGAAGAGGAAGGGGAAGAAGACGATGAAGAACATCTCGTTGCCCAGCTCGGTCCCGAACGTGAACAGGTAGAACAGAAACTTGTTTTGGATGAGGAACTCTTGACCCACGTCTCCGGTCAGGGAGTTCCTGCGGAGAGGCTTCGCTCTGGTGGTGTCCCGCTCGACGCCCGCGGCCGCTGCCGAGGAACCGTCGAGCCCGACGGTAACGTCCCCTTGCCTTCCGTTAACCTGCGGGGGGGTCGCGTCCCCGCTCGCCCCGTTCCCCGCGGTGACGTCCGAGTCCGGTCCCCCCTGTTGGACCCTCTTCCGCAGCCCGGGACGCTCCGTCCCCGAGTCTGCGCCGTCCGACTCGGTCGGTTTAACCGGAAATGTCCCTTTGACGCCGCAGACGTGCTGGAACTTGGCGACATGGCGCGGGTCTTGAAGATGATTACACAGCCGGACAAACTTCTCAACAAAGTCGTTCGCCATGACTTTAAATGAATGTAAAAAAAATCCCAAAACAAATAAATGTTAAAACGCACAACGCTGCGCAGTCGTAAAAGCAGAGTTCATGTTCATCGGAGTGGGTTTAAGGAGAAGCGGAGCTCGGTGGCCGTTGCATTGCTCTTAACAAAATAAAAAAACACGGGGAGGCGGGTTAGCTTGCTAGCTAAGGGCAGTTGCACCTCACTACTGCCTGGAATCCGCATTCAAGTCGCAGACCGTGTACGTCGGCGTTGACGGCAGCATCCAAAGTCCGTTGAAGCGGTGACGGTTAACCATTACGTCACGGTTTGCCTTAATTCACGGCGGACGCCTGCGAAACTGCGTCAAACCGTTATTCCCGTGACCGCTCTGCGTCCTCTTCTTCTGTGGCTGCTTTTCCTTCTTCTTCGTTGGACTTAATGTCAGTGGGTTCATAGGCAAATAAAGAGCTCTCCCTGCTGGAGTTATGCTCAATTACACATGGTAAAATAATTATCAAATGTCACATAAATAAATGGTCATATATGTCGACATATATATATATATATATATATAGATACATATGTTAGTAAAATAAAATGTTAACAGAAATATAATATGAATCTCGGGGCAGTGCACGTGTACAGGTCTGAAAAGCCAAATGATCCACCAACCAACTACGGGATATTATTGCACAATTACCTCCAAAATAAAAGCTTCAAATAAACGCCTCTAATTTAATTTTTTTTTTGCCGTGCCGATGTGATTTTGAAGTATATTTACACACGGTGTATTCGAATTCGAAGACTGAACTTCATTCAGCAGACAAAGCTCCTTCCAGATGATGTATTGAACAAGCCTCTCCTGATATGCGCGTGTGAACATCACAGTTGTAGATGACAGGAAATCATAATTCCCACGTGAAATATTCTTTTTTTTGTTCACGGCGAATAATGCCACAATTGTTGATGATGTTTTATTTTTATTTAAAAAACCGCAGTCCGGAAGTACCTCATGAGATCTTCACGCTTGTGGTCCACGCTTCGGTCGGGCAGACAGCTGAGGGGGGGGGGGGGGGGGGTGGATAGAAAAGGGGGTGGGGGGTTTTTTACAAGAGGCCAAAAACACCGGCACTCTTTGAGCGGGGGATCGGACACCTCACAAACATTGGGGCCGAGAGAGGCCTGGGGGGGTCCCCAAAAAACTTTTCTCGGAAAATATTGCCCGGCGCTCGAGTGGTGAGTTTTAATTTTAATTAAGGTAGAAACATTTACATTTTTATTATTGGATGTTGATCTGGCACGTCACTCACGGTACAACACGAGGCTGCATGCGATGCTGAAGTAAACATTCAATGTTATTTATATGTAATGGAAAGACGCAGAAATGAAGACTTCACTATCGTACTTTTTACTTTTTTTGTTGCAACAACACAACGAAGTATGATTAATGCAAAAAGCCTCATGTGCAAATTCCCTGGGTTGATTTCAGTAGTCCATACACACGATACCTTTAAGACATGTATCAATATCCTATAATAGCTACAATACTGCTCTTCAGAAGGCCATTTGATGTTTTATTGCTAATTATACGATGATTTAAGGGCTGTTTTTTTCCTGATAAGTTCTGGATTCCTACAAAAGCCTTTTAAATTTTCTTTTAGGGGATGTGTGATTTGTGTTTCGTGGCTTTGTCTTGCATTTTGAACAAATATATGTGTGTTGTTATGCAGTTATATTTATCAGTATTTGTCCTTTATATTTTAGAAAGGTAATATTATCATTGAAAAATAAATATAATGCAATATGAATGCCATGTCTCGCCTCTGTAGTATAATTTAGGTCAATTTAGTTTGTTAAAACATCAGAAATTCAGACATTATTGTCTGAATATTTCCGAATCTGAAACACAGCTGCAGGGAGAATGCATTGATTACAACATAAAAACGTCAAGATACACTCGCATTGAGGTTGACAGCTTCAATACTGACTGTAAAGTGGAGGAAATGTCCTCAGGAATTTCTATTGAGGCAGCAGTTTTGTCCAAACTGCTGTGAAGCTGGCAAACTTTCCAGCTGCTCATCAATATTTAATCTACATTAAGGGTGGAACATAAACATTTTATCAACAACTATTTCTGCTGAGGCACTCGTCTAATTGCCATTGTTTACTGCTTTAAATAGTAATAAGCTTGTTTCCATTATACATGATTATTACCATAGTGGAAGAGTTTGGTTTATAGTGATTTGAATGATGGCTTTATTTTAGATTCACATACACTGTAAATGTTGACGTTTGTCAGCAACAGGATTTATTAAAACATTTTTTTATGGAAATGTACATCATAGTTAACACATTGTTAAAATATTTTACAGTTGCATAATTCCAGTTGCAATAATCTTACGGCATTGACTGAAAAAATAAACCTAAGAAAGCTTGGTCAACAAGTGCACTCAAGTCTGCAGGTTTGTTGATTTTTGACTAGTTTTGTTTCAGACTGCTGTATTTTTTTAATGTATTTTCTTGCAGAAACCAGTTTCCTTCTGGGAAATGCACAGATCGTGCAGTGGCCAGTCGTTTACAGCAACGATGGATTCTGCAAGCTGTCTGGATACCACAGAGCTGAAGTCATGCACAGAAGCAGCTCGTGCAAGTAAGATGCCTTTTGTTGTAATATGATCTAACCCATGACTATACAGATGAAGAAGAAACAGCTTTCGATCTAAATTAGAGACGTCTGCTTTATTTTTCTTCTGACAACAACAACTTCTGCTTTTTGGTATCTGTCTCGCCCTTGTTTTGCAGTTTCATGTACGGCGACCTTACTGATAAGAAGACTATAGACAACATTAGACAGACCTTTGATAACTATGAGTCCCAATTCTATGAGGTGCTGCTGTACACAAAAAATAGTAAGTTTCACTATATATTTACTATATATTTTTTTAACTAAAAATCATTAAATGTGTTATGAGATTTACTTATTTCTAACACCTCCATTTGTACTCTTTCACACATCTTTAAACTGTTTTGCACAGGAACACCGATATGGCTCTACATGCAGGTAGCTCCAATCAGAAACGAGGACAACAAGGTGGTGCTTTTCCTCTGCACCTTTAGAGACATCACGGTGTTCAAACAGCCGATCGAAGATGAAACAAATAAAGGTGAGACAGTTCATATTTGTGCATCTGGTTACAATGGTTTCAACCAGACGGCATTCAGTGTTTAAGTGTAATCATGAAAAACCATTTGTGTTCATCCACTTCTGGCATTTGTATGTCTTATTCCACACACCCAAGGGTTACAACGCAGATTTACTAGGTAAATATCTCACTAAGGCCCTGCCGAAGCTCACTTTTATCCACACTACACTCTGCACTCTGCAGTGCAGATGAATCTCTCGAGCGTACGAGTGGCTGTGACTTAAAAAAAACGTTTGTTTCTGGTATGTAACATGCAACTGTCCAGGTGTCGCGTGTGCGGGTCAGTGAGCGCTGGTCTCTGAGGGTGCCATGTCCCAGGGGATTAAGTCTGCCTCTGAGACTTTTACATACATCCAGTAGGAGCAAAAGACACGCAGTCCACATGGGGACGGTGAATGTATGGCACACACTGACTGTAAATAAAATAATCCTGATTTGAATGGCTTTACAATGAATTTTTGAAACACCATCAAGTCCTGTCCCAGGATGATGCATTCATGTACAGTCATGTGGATTTGAAAAATGATCTTTCTAAACAGAATGTAACCTGCCAGCATGGTTGTTGTTGCTGAGTAGAAGAAATAATTTCCCTGGGAAACTGCCATTGCAGTTACGTTGTCTCAAAGGATTTTCCTCCACAAATAAAATAAGCATTATAAAAGGGACATTGCATGATTGTTTGTAAAATGAAAATCTCTGCATAAAACTTTCTTTTTGTTGTCTCCAAGCGGGATGGACCAAATTTGCCAGACTGGCGCGGGCACTGTCCAACAATCGCAACCTTGTGCAGCAGTTAGCCGATCTGAGCACTGAGGTCAGCCACAAGCCCTCCAGACTTGCCGAGGTGAGGAGGTGCCCAATTCTAATACAAGAAAAGTGCATTGAAGATACGATCCAGATTCTGAGATTAGGATACTTCATTAAATTAAATTAAAACCTAGAAGGATCTCTGAGGAGATCGCCGTTCCTTGTGTGTTAAACCGTGTTAAATATCCCCTCTCGATAAAGGCTCTTCAGCTGGGATCAGACATCCTCCCTCAGTACAAACAAGAGGCTCCAAAGACCCCTCCACACATCATCCTCCACTACTGCACCTTCAAGACCACCTGGGACTGGGTCATCCTCATCCTCACCTTCTACACCGCCATCATGGTGCCCTACAACGTCTCCTTTAAGACCAAGCAAAACAATTTGGCTTGGCTGGTGCTGGACAGCGTGGTGGACATTGTCTTCCTGATTGACATTGTGCTCAACTTCCACACCACCTTTGTGGGTCCCAATGGGGAGATCGTCTCAGACGCGAGGCTCATTCGAATGAACTACCTGAAGACGTGGTTCGTCATCGACCTGCTGTCCTGTTTGCCCTACGACATCATCAACGCCTTTGAACACGTAAATGACGTGAGTGAATTTATGTGAATGCATTGTTAAAATGGCCTATGAGTAGATACTTTACACTGCAGGTGGCTGATTGACTGTTTGTATTTAAGGATTTCGCGCCGTCTTTATCTCAAGCAAGTCATCTTCGCGAGTCTTCAGTTTTCCACAGGAATACGACGCGAACAGAGGACTCTCTGCTCCCAGTAGGAAATACATGAGTTATACATTACATATTTGACCAATAGTAGTACGCATACATGGCCAATTCTAAATCGTTGAAAATATTCATCCCAAGTGGATTATTGTGGTTTAGATGATCCTTTGAAAAATGTGGCCGACTCATTTATCATTGTAGGGTCTCAGCAGTCTGTTCAGCTCCCTTAAGGTGATCCGCCTGCTCCGGTTGGGCCGGGTGGCCCGTAAACTGGACCACTACCTGGAGTATGGAGCAGCCGTCCTGGTTCTGCTGGTGTGCGTCTTTGGCCTGGTGGCCCACTGGCTGGCCTGCATCTGGTACAGCATCGGGGACTACGAAGTCATCGACGTGGCCACCAACACCATCAAGACGGACAGCTGGCTCTACCAGTTGGCCCTGAGCATCGGGACTCCTTACCGCTACAACGCCAGCGGGACGGGACAGTGGGAGGGCGGTCCCAACAAGGACACGCTGTACATCTCTTCTCTCTACTTCACCATGACGAGTCTCACCACCATCGGCTTCGGCAACATCGCTCCGGCCACGGATGGAGAGAAAATTTTCTCCGTGGCCATGATGATGGTGGGCTGTAAGTACTCAATCTCTACTAAGCACTGTTGGATATCCATTCTATGACATATCATGGAATCTCAGGGAATATTTCTTAATTTAAATACATTAAGACCTTCTCAAAATCACAGGTCTTATCTGATCTTGCATAACAAATAGTATCATTGCTGTTGCTTGTGAGACTGGTGGTTAATGGAGCAGTTAATGGAGTCACACAGTCGTCTAATACGGATACAAGCTCTTGCTATCACATGAATAGGCACATTACGATTACCGCGAGGCCTCCAATCGTTGCTGGGTTCATCCAAGGCTCTCACAAACACCACAAATCCTAAATGTATCAATTGCCAGTGGACAGTTTGTCAAGTGGAATTCAAGCGAACCCTTTTCAGAGGAGCCTAAATCAAAGTGACTGCTGTTTTTCTACTTCGATGGATGCAGAGGAAAACCTTGACAGTCCGAATAAAGCTGAATAAAGGACAAACGAACAGCAGCTACGCTGTTACAGTATGAAGACGATGTCCGCTGAAGCACACTGAATTAGAAAAGGTTGCATCTGTTATGATTTGTGGTTTCTATCCTCTCCAGAGAAGTTGTGCGTTTTACCTCAGGGACATTAATTCATTCCGACTGGCACCCTGACACTAAAAAGCAAAAGCAAATGACTAATTTATGACAATAGGATAATTAACACAAATACAAGTGAGTGCAAGACTTTTATGGTTTTATCTTTTTAACCAATGTAAGCCCAGCAGACTAGCTATAGCTATAACTATACACTTTAACAAGTGGCAGAGGTCCCTGCCACTTGTTAAAGTGATATAAGCTTCCGGTTTATGTCTGCAGCAGCAGGTGTGAAGTGATTATGCCGGTACAACAACAGCTGCAGAGCACGAGCCACTTCTCCATCACTCCTTAGCGTACGATGTGTTCATCCTTTGATGCTGCTTCCATCCCGTTAATGCGTTCATCCGTTTCTAATGTGCTAGTACAACCTTAGAGGAGCCAATCTGGGTGCATGTACCGGCATGCTAGTCACAGTAATGAGCTCCACAGTCCGGCTGGTTGTGAGCCAGCTGCCAGTGAAGCAGCATATGGTGTTTATACACAGATGCAAAGTCAAATTCCAGCTCTGACTCTTCGACTTATAGCTGGTTCTTACTGAAAAACATTTGGTGTAGCAGAGATCAGAATTGCTCATTTAAATATTTTATATCTTGATTTGATTTAGTTTGCATGCTTTCATCACGATAAATGAAAGGCAATAACACAAAGAACACAGGGATACATGCATACGCTGCCACATGTTAATCATTTCAGGTACATGAATAATTCTTTACAGTATTCAGTGATTCGGAGGCTCTCTTGACTCTAGTCGTGTCATTCGCATTAAACTGCAGCCCCGTTGTTTGAACCACTGGGGAGAGATCAGGACTTTGTCCATAATAAAAAGTGACATGTTCAGCATCCGTCACAACCTGCTCTGTGGAGCTGTCTGAAGGTTGGTCATTGTTACTATTCTATCTGAATAGCATTGTCTTTGAGTTAATTCACTCGTGCTGAATTATCTACATTCTCTGCTTCAGATTGGTTTTAAACTCCAGGAATAAACATGTTTCTGCTTGGTCAGAGATGCATAATGAAACATGTCAACAACAATTATTATGTGTAGCAAACTGATGTTGACAGACCACGATACAGCAACAAAAATACAGTTCATGTTTTACATTCTGTAACTGTTGGTCGGTTGGATTTGATTCAGATCCATTGACGTTTTCGTGGAACTGTTTTATCACATCAAGCTTATTAAGTCGAGGTCCTGTGCAATCTCAAGTGATGCAGAGCTAAAGACCGTAGCTGGTTGTATAACACTGCTGGCCTTCAAACCGTCTACTACTCCCGCAGTGTCATCATTCTAATTTACAACACGTAATTTAAGCAGCAGTGAACATAACCCTCTCCTAATCTAATCTGTCCCACTTTCCTCGAAAGCTGTTTCGATTGTGCCAAGTCATTACATCTGAGACAATAAGTGAAAACTAGCCTCATTTAAGTAACGTCGAACCTCTTAAAATAGAAATCTATTTATATGCACGTGTCTGTTTTATTTCCATCACGCACAGTTACAGTAATAGCTTCACCTTCAGTGGCACCGCTTCCACTTCCAGCCTTTGCTTACAGTTCCTCCGTCACGACTCGCCTTCCTCCACCAACCTTTGGCCCTCTGAAACAGCATGTAAAGTGATGCAATAAAAACCGTGAGGGAAACACAAACTGACGGCCGCGCTTCAAGGTCTGCACTTCCAAAAGCAAACACCCATTCTTCTTGTGGTGTTTCAATCACGAAGACCATTCAGTCACACTGAAGTGTCAGGTTCAATCATGGCCGATGAGTCTCCTGCTACAGATACAGGAATTATGCGCTAGGAAAAGAAGAAAGGGGGGAGTGTGCCTGCAGGCTCGAGTGTATTAAAAGGACAATGAGCCTTCACGTTAGATATGTATCCTGACCTCTGTGATCCTGCTGTGGCGACTGGAGACAACTCTTTCCTCTTGAGCGGCTAAAACCTCACGATGAGAGATACTGACTGACTCTTTGAGGTCACTGCTGCACAGAACTCTTGGTGAGGACTTGTGCTCCGTGAAGAACATTTGTAAACGCTCAATCCACCACTTAGATTATTTGCATAAGAGGAGTAAAAAAAAACCCTGATTGTTTAAAAAAACACATCTTATACCATTCTTTAATTTACAAGACTTTTATTTTCAACTCAGGAGGAAACAGTAATCTGAAGGAATGGAAGGATTAGTGGACTGTTTAATATCAGGTATTATAGTAATGGAATAGGCAAAGATCTAATGTGATACAGTATGTGATATTTTTAATGGACCATGTAGGTTTAATGTACATATTTTGAGCAGTAAAATCTCCTTAAAGTTGATTAGATCAAGAAAACAAGCCCCTATCATGTGACAATCATAAGTTTGCATGCAAATCCTTCAAGGTACCTTCATTTGCTACATTTGCTCCCTAAGTTGCAACATGTAAAACAATAATGAAAATGTAAAGATACAGGTTAATTCAAATGTTCAAACCCCTAACTTAAAATACAAAAGATTAAATTATTCAAATCCTAATGATGATAATAATAATAATGAACGTAATTCTTTTACTTGAAAACATTCAGACCTCCACGTGAACCAAACTCCTAATGATCCGACACGGTTCCCTAAAATAAACCACACCGCTCCTTCGCATGTTGTTGAATAACTCAGCCGGCTGCCTTGTGCCTGACTTTTCCCTGTTTTTTTTTTATTTTATTTTTTTAAGCGCTGCTATATGCCACCATCTTCGGAAATGTCACCACTATCTTCCAGCAGATGTACACCAACACAAACCGCTACCACGAGATGCTGAACAACGTGCGTGACTTCCTGAAGCTTTATCAGGTTCCCAAAGGCCTGAGTGAGAGGGTCATGGACTTCATCGTCTCCACCTGGGCAATGTCTAAAGGCATCGACACAGATAAGGTATTAGTAGTATTATTATTATTATTGGTACCAGTAGGAGTTCGTAAATGTAGTAACAAACTCTAAGATATTCATACTAATATATAATGTGATTAAAATGTTGGTCAATGACCAACGTTAAACGTATGCACATCCGCGGCTACCAGAGATAAGGCTGCTCTCATTTTAAACAGTATCATAAAAGATGAACAGGAGATTTGACAGGTGAACAATAAATAGCCTCAAAGGTCACAGATCACTGAGTGCACTCTGGGTTCATTGAACTAATCATACAGTGTTAGAAAGGGAGGTTTGTGCTGCGTAACAGCAGGTTGATTTACTTAAAAGGGGAAAGGAGTGTGTGTGTTGGTTATAACGAAGGAGCCCTATCTATGAAACGCTCTTAATCCTCCCTTATTTCCCCCCTCCAACAGCACCGAATGCTCCCGTTCTCATACTTTGTTGCCCTTTGACCCACAAACGCGTCTTCTTAAAATAACACGCTTGTGTTTATTTACACGTATGGTCCTTTTCACCAAATGTTGACTACTAATGACAAAAATAACGTGCGATACAACTAAACTGCACCGATATCTCTGATGTCTCTCGCAGGTCCTCTCAATCTGTCCCAAAGACATGCGGGCGGACATCTGCGTCCACCTCAACCGGCAGGTGTTCAACGATCACCCGGCCTTCCGCTTGGCGAGCGACGGCTGCCTGCGCTCTCTGGCCGTGGAGTTCCAGACCACCCACTGTGCACCCGGTGACCTCATCTTTCACGTGGGCGAGAGCGTGGACACCCTCTGCTTTGTAGTCTCCGGCTCACTAGAGGTCATCCAGGACGATGAGGTCATCGCAATACTCGGTAACATTACGACACGGACCGGAGGCTCGGGTTTTATCTGTGCGTGTTGAGATTAAACTAAGCGCAAAGGTCTTTCCAGGAGGACTCTCAGGAATCACGTGTGATGTTTTCTTTTGCAATACTAAGAAAGCAATGTTTATTAAGTCAGTTCTGGTATTTCCTTACACATAAAACAATGATCTATTTCACTGCAGGGAGGCGTGCGGGTTGTTGGTTAAAGAACAGGTATCGGTTCGGTCATCTGACCGGGCGACACGCGATGCCCAGTTCTTACTACGTCCCGTTAAACGCACCGCCCACTTGCGTCTCCATCCAGGTAAAGGTGACGTGTTTGGAGACGTGTTCTGGAAAGAGACCACGCAGGCCCGGGCTTGCGCCAACGTCCGAGCTTTGACCTACTGCGACCTGCACGTCATCAGGAGGGACGCTCTGATGAGGGTGCTGGAGTTTTACACGGCGTTCGCCAACACGTTCTCCCGCAACCTCATCCTCACCTGCAACCTACGGAAACGGGTATAACATTTGACCGGACACCATAGCTGTGGGTTTTTTCTTTCCATTTGGTTGTAGTTAAATGATGGCGACTCATACCGTCAGTGTGAGGCAGAGTTTTTCCATCATCTGTCCAAATTGTAAATCGACGTCCTTTAAACAAATCTGAACATAAGATTTGAGAGCTTTTTTGGCGAGAGAGCCTCACAAACCGTTGTGAATTGAACAATTATTTAACTTTTATAACATAATTAAACAGACTTCGAGAAAAGATGAATACATTCAAGCCACAACAGAAACATGGAGGTGTATCAATATTTGATGTTTTGATTAGCTTTGAACTTAAAATGTCCTTACTTTTACAGTTTCTCCATTGTAAAAGGGTCTTATGTAATAAAAAATACTGAAATCTGTCAGTGAAGCAGTGAAGCAGTTCTAAATCTAAACAATGTCAAGGCAAATAATGGCGACATGTTTAAAGATTGATGTATTTTTCTCCAAATGTAACCAGTGAAAAACGCAGCAATCTATTATTGATATGAGGAGATTGAGGAGGAGTTTGTGGTGAATAGGTTTTAGATCTCTTTAAACCTCTTTAAGGTTTTGTACTCAGTTAACTTGCGTATGCCTCTTATGTTATTCAGGAACATTTTGAACAGTTCTGTCAATGGAAATTCCTCCAGTTCTATGAACATAAGTCTTGTAAATGTTCAACACGGGGGATTCAAAGCATTGGTATTTGGTAAGGAATCTAGCAGCGCTTTGTAAGTCGGTTATTCAGATGTGGAAATATTTAGATGCTGCTCATGAACACGAGGATAAGGTTATCTTATCATAGTTCCCTCAGAAGATATATGAAAAGATGCATTGCTGTTTTCAGTTCTTTAATATTTCAAGTCTACATGCTGGGCTTTCAAGCATTATATGGGTATTATATGTATATACTCCCACCAGCACGACAGCATACCAGGATATCATTTTATATTAAATACATTTTTTAATTTTTTTCAGGCAAATCATTTCCAAGTACATACAAAACCCTAACCCTTTACCCGAAATGTGCACTTTATCATTTTATTTTGTACCGGCTTTTTTGGCAATGTTGTTTTTTTGGAAAAAAACAAATGAAAAGACATTTAGAATAGATAAAAATATGCGATTAATTTGCCTTAACTATGACATATATGCAATTAATTGTGATTCAATATTTAATTGTTTGACAGCACTAATATATGTATATATATATATATATATTTCACTCAGCTACTTCTGGAATGTAAATGTGGCCTCAGTGTGAATATCCCACATGGTTTTCCTCATGCACTCTTTCCCCCTCATGCAGATAATCTTCAGAAAGATTGCTGATGTGAAGAGGGAGCAGGAGCGGCGAAAAAACGAGGTGACCCTCTCCATCCCCGATGACCACCCGGTCCGCAAGCTGTTCCAGAGGTTCAGGCAGCAGAGGGACGCTCCGCCACCGGGAGAGTCTCACTCCTACTTTGATCACAACTGCGTGCAGGTGGAGCCGCAGCACCACCGTCACCGCGAATCAAACTCCTACACACTGTGTCAGTCTGCATCTTCTCAGCAGCAGGAGTACGGCGCCCCGGCGCAGAATAACCCGCCCTGCTCAGGAGCGGGGAAAGTGGGCGGCGGGGGCAGCCCGGCTGCGGCGGCACCGAGGTTTGACCCCGGTGAGAAGTCGGAGCAAGGCTGCACACAAGAGGCCGAGGCGTCTACAGCGAGGCCCACTGCGGAGAGTCTGCGTTGTCAGAGGGTCGACAGCCCTGCGAAGCGCGGTGGTGCAGCCGGAGAGGGAGCGGCAGGTGGCGTTACCGGCCGCCCCGGAGGCCGAGGCTGGTCGAAGTTCAGAAACGCCGCTTCAGCTGCACCACCGCCTCCTGCCGTGGAGCTGGAGAAGAAGAAGCCAGAGAAAGCAGAGGAGTGGCAGAAAGCGCCCGGGTCCTCAGAACGTTTAGCTGTCGTCAACAAGAACCCGGATTTGGGTGAAAGTGCAGAGGCGGGGAGCGTAGAGATGGGCAACAGTGCGGGAGAGGCAGCGGAAGAAATAAGCGCCCTGCACAAAACCGACTCCTGCGACAGTGGCATCACCAAGAGCGACCTTCGCATCGACCGAGCGGGATACTCGAGAAGCTCCTTCGAGAGGAGCCCGATGGAAAGGAGCCCCCTGGAGAGAAACCCGTTTGAGCACGGCCTCGGGGTCGACCCACTCAAACACTCCTCGGCTCAGCCGCCGTCCGAACAAGCGCTCCTCCAGGCGACCCTGCAGGAGGCCAAGCTGGAGCTGAAGGGAGACATCCAGAAGCTGAGCGGCCGCCTGTCGGTGCTCGAGTCTCAGGTGAGCGAGATCCTCAGACTGCTGTCGATGAGAAGAAGACTCTCGCTGCCGCCGAGCTCGTCCCCGAAGGCCCGAGTGAAATATCAGGACTCGGCCGCTGCCTCCAAGCCGGTCGCACCAAAGGCCGACGACGGGCCTTTTTGAAGTGTCTGATTTGAAAAGCCAGAAACTGGATATATCTTAAAAACTGATGTATAAAAAGTTTGCATGTCCTGCTGGACTCTCTCCCATTAAACACCACCACTGCATGCAGACCTTTTTAGATGTTGCCCTAAGAAAAAAAACAGGGATTTTGCTAACAACCGGTCTTTGACTTTATGGTTGTGTGTATATTGAAGAATGCCAAAAAGAACCACGAACAATAACTCACCAAACACTTATTGCTGGGAAATGCAAGAAGCATAATAAAAAACAATGCATAGCTCTATATATCTAACGATTGATGCTCTGATGAAGGCTTTTGGTGAAACTTCTGCCTGAAACGAGCTGATGTCACAATCTTCAAACACATTTTGGGCTTAAGGCTTTTTATGAAGCTGTCATTTTCATGGTGTTCCTTAACTTTTATTTTATCTTTAATTTATAGTTTTTGGCAGAATATCAGAGAAGAGGTTAAGCAAGATGGTTCACCTGCAATGACTGTCATTGATCATGTAAACAGAGCTGGCAGTGGTGGAGAAAGCAAACTGGAGCTCAATCAGCGTTTGCACATGTGGTACGGTATTAATTGTCAGGTAATGATATGTGCCTTACAATAATAAAGCCTCATCCAGGGTTGTATTGGTCGTGGTCAACTCTTATTTTTTGAGCGTATGTTATAGTAGAAATGTTTATCCTGTTTTTAGTTTCTATATTTTGGGGGGATATTCTCATTTGAATCTGTCACCGCACTTTGCATTTATTTTATGTATGGTTGAGAAAGTCCTTATATTGTGTCTGAGCTTCATTCCCACGCATGTGAAATAGGAAGAGGTGCTTTAATAGAGTTGTATCGTTAAATATCGTTATCTCTATTTTTGTGAAAGACTTCTGTTCTTTTGGTAAAATGAGAATAATTTGACACGTAAGAGCAAACTTACTGTGCATCCCATCATGTAACTATACCTCTTGCTCAGGTATATTTGCTCTATTGTTGAATTCAGTATGAATGATTTTATCTTTGAGTAACTATAAGCTGCAATTAATAATTTTAGAACATTAAGGACACGCTGCTATGCAAGTCTAAATGAACTGACACTGCTATTTGTGATGCAAACATTTGTTACGGTTGTATAAAGACCATTCCAATAACGTACACGACCACACGGCACGGTTACGGTTTTAGTTTGAGATGTTTTTTAAAATGTTTGTGTGGCTGAATCATCTCAGTATGAGTTTGAAAGCATGTGTCTGTCCAATGCATCTATTTTATATAACGTGTATAAAGGCCGTTGCATGCATTCAGGGAAACCTGTAAACAGTGAAATGAATAATGAAAAAGTGATGCCTGCTCACCATCTGTTGTTTATTTTTCTCTGTTATGCAACTAAAGTCAGTCTCTATGTAAATCCAATGCAGTGAATTCTGCAAGATGCATAGAGTTTTTTTTCTTTTCTTGTCTTTTACAGTTTTATTTTGTTCATCAAAGTGAGTCAAATCTGTGTCAATTAACTTATTTTCTACAGACTGTTTTGATTCAATAGATGACAAAGGTTACAGTAAAGGGACATTTAGGGAGATGTAACAGGGAACAACAAAAGGTGTCCAACTTTCAAGTAATCATCACCTTTGGACTGCAGTCAAGCAAGCCTCCATATTAGGCATTAGAGGAACATCAAAAAGAGCTCAAGTGAAGGTTTTAGGAATATCACATTCATTTGATAAGTATATTATAGATTCATTAGTTTCTACATAAAAAAACATAGATAATAATAAATTAAATGAATGAATGAAAAAATTGCATTTTATAAATAACTTTAAAAACGCAATAATAATAATAATAATAATAATAACAACTGCATGTAAACTGTGTAAGGAAGGTATGAATTCCAATTTTATGAATACATACATATAAATAAGCAGATAACCGGTAGGGAAATAGCAAACAACGGCACAGTGCAGCACAAGGGACATTGTGATGTATTTTAAATTCAAAGCCTTTTAAAATATCATTCACTTTCCTCTTTTATTTTAGATTATATTTAAAAGGAAATGGACTAAATTTATGTAGGACATGTAGGTGAGGGTTTTCAATGTAATTTCAATGTAATTCCATATTCAATAAAAGATTACTTATTTTCACATCTGACTGAATGTATTTTGTTTCAGGACCAGGCTGTATGACTATGTGTGTGTGTGTGTGTGTGTGTGTGTGTGTGTGTGTGTGTGTGTGTGTGTGTGTGTGTGTGTTTATAAAGTAAATTATTTGCAAAAATAATCTGTACTTATTGAAGATTTTTAGAATAATTGTAAATTGAACAAAATATAAAGTAATATTGGTACAAAACGTACACTGGAATAAACAACACACAAAATAATACGTTTTTAATTATGAGACTCATTGATGGTTCACAAGAAAAATACTTTTTGAAGTAGAATGTGTTGTCCCGTGTTGCATATTGGAGCTATATATATATTTTAATTATTTTAAGACGTCTACAGTTAACGGTGTCTCGTGTCCTTCAGAACACGTGGTGGCGGTAATGTCTTACTTCTCCAGTTAGCGAACTGAAGCGCGCATGCGCAGAACGCCACAAACCACGGGTCGTCCTGTTTGTGTGTCGGAGAGAAGGAAAGTATTATTTCGGGAGTTGTTCACTTTTAATTAGTGGATCTTGCATTTGCAGCATTCACCGGAAAGTGTGGTCGTTTTTCGTTGATACATTTCTTCGCTTGTGAAACCGAATCCATTCCGTCTGCAGGACTTAAAGCAAGACCCCATTGTGGGAAAACGTCGTGTCGTCATAAAACGGTTCGTATGATAATTACTTTACACACAAAGTTTTTCAAAATAAAATCCCGTCTTTACAAAAAACAATTTAATTAGGTTTGGATAACAAACTGTTATCCTAGTATCCTAGTTTCAGTCGCACACAAAACGAAAACAAGTAAGGAAACCAACATGGCAAAAAAAAGTAAAAAAATAAAAGAAAGGAAAACCTTGGTACATGAACTGTAATCGTTTTCTCTTGTCACATATTTACCCTTAGCCTGGAAAAAAAGCTTTCCCTCTACAGAGATCATTCAAGCATTATCCAGTTTAACAAGAAACTGTTAAAGAATACAAACTGAACGGAGCAGCAAGTGTCAAAGAACCGGCTGGAAAAGAGGAACCTACTTGGACTTCATAGTGGAGGAGGTGTGCAGATCCAAGGAGCAGGTGGCTTCAGAAGGATCTGGTTCAGCTGCAGCTTGGACCGACCTGGTCCACAAGCCACTAGTGTTACTGTGGATATTTAGGAGTAAAAACGATGGCACAAGGTGTCGTTGGTGCAGTCTCATTCAGAGTGGATGCACAAAGACAGACCGCTTAAGAATGAAGGAGTAATTGACAACCATCTAAATCGGATTGTGTGTAGGACAGATTTTGCCAGGTGGTAAATTCGGGGTCGAATGAATGTGAAGGAAACTGAGGGGAAAAAAACCTTCACCATGTGACCCTAACTGGCATCTAAAATATGAAATGGTCTTATTTTCTTCTATCAGCATTGAGATGGAAACGGAGCTGCCACCTCACGCGGGAGACGCGCTCTCGGTGGTCGACATGCACACGGGCGGCGAGCCTTTGCGGATCATCCGCGGCGGCTACCCGGAGGTCAAAGGTGACGGCGTGCTGTCCAAGCGCCGTTATGTCCGGGAGCACCTGGACCACCTCAGGAAGGTGCTGATGTACGAGCCGCGGGGACACTACGACATGTACGGGGCCCTGGTGGTGGACAGCGAGCTGCCCGAGGCCGACCTGGGGGTGCTGTTCATGCACAACGAGGGGTACAGCACCATGTGCGGGCACGCCGTCATCGCGCTGGGCCGCTACGCTGTGGACTACAAGCTGGTGAAGGAGCCGCGGTCACCGGAGACGCAGGTGAACATCCACTGTCCCTGCGGCCTGGTGAGGGCCTTCGTGGAGTACTCCCACGGTAGAACGGGAGCGGTGAGGTTTCTCAGCGTGCCGGCGTTTGCATTCGCAACAGGTAGGACACCTACCGCGAAGAAGACGGGACATTTCTTCTCATGCCCCTGGTGTCACTAAAACGCTTTCCATCCAGGTGTGACGGTGACGGTGGAAGGGTTCGGCGAAGTGACCGTTGACATCAGCTACGGAGGAGCCTTCTACGCCTTTGTGGACGCCCAGAGGTTCGGCCTCGACGTGACCGCGTCCAGGTCTCGAGACCTGGTGGACGCCGCCACGGCGGTGACCAGCGCGGTGAAATCTCAGGTACGAAGTTCACGGGGGGTCGTCAGACAAGAGTATCTATCTGAATGTACAGGGTTCGTCCACGAAGCCCTCATTTTCGTCTTGACATTTTGGTGGTGTTCTCTCCCAGGTGAAGTTACACCACCCAACCTCTGACGATCTGGCCTTCCTCTACGGCACCATCCTCACCGACGGCAAAGACGATTATTCATCTGAGCCCACCGCCAATATCTGCGTGTTCGCTGAGGCTCAGGTACTTTAAGGACCCGTGGTCGAGACCCCCGGAGGGAGAGCTGTCTGAAACACGGTCTTCTCGACTGGGTTAAATGTGTTCGCAGGTGGACCGGAGCCCCACCGGTTCTGGTGTTACGGCCCGCGTGGCTCTGCAGTATCACAAAGGCCTCATCCAGCTGAACCAGAGAAGGACGTTCCAGAGCGGAGCCACTGGATCCCGGTTCACAGGGAAAGCTGTTGAGGTGGGAAGTTCCGTCTCCTCCCGGTGAAATGTGAAATGCATTAAAATGCTTTTATGACACTAATCAGCCTATCAAGACCTAAGATGATCAACTCTGTTATCGCTCTTGCACTGAAATGTTACTTTCATGGCCTTTTGTCAATCTTGTAAAAATGCGAATTTGAAGCCTGTGTTTTTCTGTTCAGGAGGTCGAGTGCGGAGACTTTAAGGCTGTAGTGGTGGAAGTTGCCGGCAGAGCTTTTTACACCGGAGTCTCGTGCTTCGTGCAGGAGCCGGACGACGAGCTGACGCATGGTTTTCTACTGAAGTGAGCCTCGATGGCAGGCTGCCATCAAACATGACTCTACATTAAGTGCTTCGTAGTTGAGCAAACAATATTAAATCTTCTGACACAAAGACTGATGTGGTCGAATTTATTAAACTTAGAGTCTGACACTAAGGTGGCTTTCTGCTCAGTAACATTTACTGACCACTACATGGCGCCGTGAGTCTGGTCGCGATCGTGGACTGCATAGGAAGTGAAGTGCATGAGCTTAGTTACTAAATACAAAAACTGTTTCACCCATTTATTATCATCAGGTCATTGTACAATAGAAAGCAATATTTAAATTATAAAAATCCAATGGAGGTGTTTGACACCGGATGGATTCACACAGCAGTGATCGAAGCTTTCACGTCCACATGTGACGTTTTCTGCCACGATGAAAACATCACACAGTTTGAAATCGAGGTGTTTGTATTTTTGCAGAGTGAATCCAGCCAGTGCACAGGAGACATATTCCATCAGGTCAACAAAAACATAAAGGAGGGCACTCCCTTGGGAGGGGGGAAACAGGTGTATTGCATTGACTGGGTTTTGTTTTAATAGCATTTAGCATAGTAATTGTGAATTTATATGTGCATGTGTAACACGCACGTAACCGTATACATATATATATATATATATATATATATATGTAATCTATGACATAAGTGTCCACACTTGTAGAGAAACGGCAGATTAGACCCCGGCCTTTTGAGAGTACCCACTCAACACATAACAACGGAGTTAAGGCCAGCTCTTAACAGGAAACAACGTCAAATAAAACATACAGTGATCCGATATATATATATAAATGCTGCATGTCAATAACGATGAATAGAAAAACTTCTCAGCCGCGTCACTTGCAGTCAAAACCACGTCTGTCTAACATCAAGTCTCAGTCCTGTGATGGTTTCTGACTGCAAGAGGACAGCGGGGGGGTCAAGAGGAAGTTCAGCTTCAGTCTTCTCCAAATGATCTCTCGGAAAACAGCCTCCTCAATCTATGAAATCAGTCCGTACAAAATGGCCCCTTATGTGTGTGTTTTTTTTAAAAGGAATCGTCTTCCCGTTTGGATCGAGCATCAAGCCCTGAAGGAGTCTGCTAACTGCACTTTTCACTCTGTGCATAGATTCAGACGTACAAAACCAAGCATGAGCATCTCTTGCACCTGGAAGCAAAGTTGTTTTTTTTCTTTTTCTCCCCGCGGGGAGAACATCGAGTTCCTACGCAACAGCGTAAAAACATTTCATTTGACCAAACCGATCCTTCGGCGGGAATTATCACATTTGGTCGTCAACAAGTTTTGGCTTCTTCTCCGTTTTTTTTTCAGCACTGAAACCTCCGAGGATGAAAAGTCTGATGTTGGTCGTGCTGTGTGTGTGTGTGTGTGTGTGTGTGTGTGTGTGTGTGTGTGGTGCCGCCGGCGCCGCGATGATGCAAGGCCGAGCTGGGTGGGAGCAGACGAGGGAGCGGAGGAATGCCGATGTCAGCTCGACCCCAGAGGGAAACTTAACGAGGAGCAGGGTGGCCGAGCGATACGAGGAAGAGGATCTCAACCCTCTTAGAAGTTGAGCTTTGTGACCGGTCGCTCTCTGCTGGCGTCCGTCGTCTGGCTGTTGATGCGCTTGCGGTTGCGCTTCATCTTCGATAAATCCTTGTCAAAGACCTCGCCGGACCGCAGCGCCGACACCAGGTCGTCGAACTCCCCGCCGTCGTCCTCGCCGTTTGCCTTTGCTTTCCGAGCCTTCCGCTCCTTCTCCCGCTGCTCCTTCAGCTGGTGACACAGAAATAAAAATGCATTTAGCGCCTTGCGGGTGTGTGTAACGTTATGCCTGTGAGGGCACGTTGACCTTTGACCAGCACACTTTAATCGCTTCATAACTGTGGACTAAGAGTTCGGAAAGATTGGTACTCATATCTCTTACCTGTGTTAAATATGAAGCCAGCAGCAGCTGGTTAGCTTAGCATAAAGTATGAAAGCAGGCGCTAACGGAGCCTGGCTAGCTGTTCAACACCTCAAGCCATTTCTTGGCCGTCCTGGCGGGTGCAGTTTGTTCTGTTCAGGCAGAGCCAGACTTGCCTTTTCTGCTCGTTTCCAGTCTGTGTGCTGAGCTAGCCGGCGGCCGTCTTTACCTTTATATAAAGCTAATGTATTTCCCAAAATGTTGAACTATTCCTTTCAAACAACGCAGTAGCTGTAGTGTAAAGCCTCACTTAATTAATCGCTGAATTAATGCCGGAGTTTACACAATATGTCAGTTTATCAGTATTTAGTAACTGTGGCTCAGGTGTGTGATGTTTACAGCAGTGATTCTCAGCTGGTGGGTCGTGGACACGTTTTTAAGGCCTTTGCCTGGGAAAATAAAAATTAGAATTAACAGCTGGCTGTTTTGTTTTTTCATTAAACTTGTTTTTGTGTTGGCATACGTATTCTGTCTCCATACTATCTCAGGTTCAAACTGCACCATATTTTCATTAAATAAGTTTGAGAAGTTGAGAATGTTCCTCATTAAGGGGTGATGGTGGGTCCCGGAGCCAGACCAGTTGCGAACCACTGGTTTACAGCAAACATCACACACCTGAGCTTCCATTTTGGCCCTGCGCTCCTCCTCCTCTTTGCGTTTTCGCATGTTCTCGTTCTCCTGTTGAGCCTCAGCGAACGACTGCAGGAACTGGTCAAAGATGCCGAAGAACTCATCTGGCTGCATCTTGCCGGCATCCTCGCCAAAGTGCTTTACTGCCTTCAGGAACTGCGGGAGCAAAGACAAGGGGGGGGGGGATTAAATTTCCAGCGGGACACAGCAGAACCATGTTTTACTCCGTCTGACTGTTTTACAGGTGACTCGTTAGGTCTCCGTTCCTTTGAAATAAGAGCAGGGTACCAGTAGTTGGGCTTTGAAGCCCACGTTAACTCAAATGTGACCAGTTACTGGTTGCAGCTGGAGCCAGAGACACAATTAAGGCAACGTGTACGTTGAGTGTTTTTCACAGTAAGTTAAAAAAGAAAAAAAAATAGGATGTCCAGATGTGAGGTCGTGCTGAGAACATAGAACAACATTCTAAAGATGGGAAGCGATCTCTGCATGACACAAAAACATCAGGTGGAGCAATGATGCAATAAACACACTATCATTTCTGGCAAATTAATAGTTGTTTAGTGTGCGACGCATTCATGCATTCCACATTTTCTCTTATCTTTATTGTTTAGTAAGGTCAATATGTTCTGATTGCCACTCGAGAGCATCGCTGTAGACAAATTTCACTATGGGACAAAGTAAAAGGTTTCCAGATACGAGCGGCTGCAACGTGACAAGCTGAGATAAAACCCCTTCAACAATACATGTGGGCGGAATTTAACTTCGGGGTGTCAAGCTTTTCCCAGAGAGGTGAACACGCTCGGGTTTCTGGTAGTAAAAACACTATTTCTCATAAAATGTCTGCCGGGTTCACCTTTTTCCTTTTTGCACTACAAATTAGCCCCGAGTGAAACCGCAATCTGTTGGCCTCCAATATCCACAACGAACACCCACAACGCAACGGCTGCAGTTTGTAAAAGCTTTCGTTAAACAACGCAAGGCCGAACGCAATGGTGCAAAGCTCTGTGCGTCCCATCTGTGTGCCTGCCTCTCTCTGCACACACAAAGTGGCAGGAAGCTGGAACACTTGACTCGCCAGACGAGGTCGACGAGGTCGCTAGAACGAGCGACGTCCGAGAGGAAAGGGAGTGACAGCGGTGCGGTCTGGTCCGTTCTCGGGCCACGTACCAGCTCCTTGGCCTCCACGAGCGAGTCCTCCACGTCGGAGAAGCTGAAGCTGGCCACGGTGATGAACTGGCTCACCACCGACACAAACTTGTCGCCCGGCTCCTGCGGCCTCTTCTTCTGATATTCCAGCTCCTGCGAGGTGAAGGTTAATCAAACGTTCAGATGTTGTACAAGCGCATGAACAATGAGCGAACGCGCGCCACGTCTCTGCGACTCACACTCTCCACGCCTTTCAAGCCGCTGCGCATGTTGCCGATATCTTTTTCCAGCTCGGTCATGCTGCGAAAAAAGCAGAGCGGTGGTTGAATTCAGAGGGAGAAGCCAGCTGTAAGACGGGCAGCAGCTTCCTTGCAGCTCCACCTACTTGACTTTGGCGGCATCAGAGAGACTCTGCAGGTCATCCTGGAACATCAGGACTTTGGGGTATTTCTTCTCCAGGATGGTGATCAGGTAGTGCAGGAGGGTTATGTTCCTGCAAGACGTAGAGACACGGTGAGGTGGAGACACCTTCAAGGCAGCGGACGTATCAAATGTGCAATATTTATATATAAACGGTTGCTGTGTCCTTTGGTCGTGTGGACGTATTTTGTATCCAATTCCTCAAACCTCAGTCTTTGGTAAAAGTGCCTTTCAAGTGTTGGAGCCCTTATCTTTGTTACAGAGTTCCTTTAAACTATCCATTTTGAAAGCAATTGACATTACACTGACTACTTGTCATCGTTTGCTTTTATTTTATTAGAAGGTGAAATCAAATAGTTCTTACTTGTCGATACTGGACTTCGTATCGGCGATCTTGTTGAGTGAAGACACCTTGAAGCCGTAGGCGTTCCCCCTCTGACCCTTGTTCATGAAGTTTCCAAAGGCCAGCACCACCTCCAACAGCTGCTTCAGGTTTCTGCTGTGTAGAATCTCCTTAGACGCCCTGCTGAGAGCTGAGACAGGAACACAAATGTATGTTTTGGGGTGATAAAGGTGTCTGGATGATTTATTTTTAGAATAAGGGAGCTTGGCAAACATAAAAAATAAAACTGACCACAGAAACGCTTCAAAGGGGAATAATTACTTAAGAGTTATAGCACTAATGTTTGATTTTACCTTCGACTTTGGGTTTGATCTCTGCTATCCTTTCTGCAAACTTCTTCTTGAAGTATAAAGACTGCAGCCTCTGCTGGTAGTGGTTTATTCTGGACAGGGGGCAGAAAATGTGCATCAGATGGGACAAAAATAGTCAGAAATAACATTATAAACGGGGAAAGCCACCAAGTTGACAAAAGCCACAAACACGGACATAAAATAAAGCAAAACGCCTGCATGCTCACTCCATTGCCCACATATAGTTGTGGAAACAAAGCTTATTTTTGGCAGTGTTGTTCATTATAACCCACTGACTCGGCAGATATGAACACCAATGTGACTTTAATACTCTTGAGTAAACTTCAACGACAAAAAAATCCCGAACTGCGGTGAATTATTCAAAAGAAAGAATGTGTTTTTCTATTGTCACTGTTCTGTGGGAACGCTAGTTACTAGTTTCAGATTTTGATGTATGTGTGCAAGTAGTGGCCAAGTTTTGACACGTTTGCTTTGTTCCTCATTAAATTACTGTTATTATGTTACAGACTTGATTTAATCCCCAACAGAATTAAGATGATTCACACATTCAGCCATTGTTCCTGCCTACATGGAAACCCATGAGTCATTACTCTTATCTGGCCCGACTGAGAGGAAACAATGGCTACAGTTTGTCAGCAGTTCTGATTTGCGGAGCGCTGCAGCGACATGGAGCAGGCAGGTCTGATGACAATATGCCTTTAATACAGAATAAAAAGGTAAAAGAAAGGAGAAAAAAAACAAAAGAAAGTACGGCTAAAATACCTGCTCATCTCGTAGAAGAAGCGGTCGGCCTTTGCCATTCGGTCCAGCTCGTGTTTGTGCTCCTCTAGAAGATCCACATCGCTCTTCTCTGGGACAAACTTCAGCAGCTGATGACCAAAAAAACAACAACAAACATCTTTAATCCCCAAACATTCAGCTGTACTCATTCGGGTTAGAGACAGAGGAGAGGTTTATCATGCCGTGTGTTGAAGTAATTAAACATATAAAAGGGGTTCATCTCTGCTGTCATGCTATTTGCATCTCACCGTCAAAAAACAACAACAAAGTACCCTGTTGTAGTGGAGCAATTCATGTAATGGCTCCGGAAGTAAGAGAGCACGTGGCTGAACGCTGAAGGTCGGGCCGACAGGCATTAATACACTCGGCTGCTATTTTTAGTGAGCAGTCAAAGTGCACTCACTAAATGAGTGCGTTGGAATCATCCATCAGCGCTCGCTGCTTGCAGTGAAGCGGGAGTGCGGGGGGGCGTACCTGCTCCAGCATGTCTTTGGGAAGGTCCTCCTGCTCGTCCATGGTCAGAATGGCTCTCTTCATCTCCTCGTTGGAGAGTTTAAGCCTGCAGCGCAGAGAGATGCATTACTTTCTATGGTTTTTAGTTCATATCGCATAGAAAACACCCTTTTTATACGCTTACTTCCCAAAGCACGATAGATGAGTGATGAGTGATTTGGTTTTTTTATTCATCTCTTATTCAACTTTTTGAAAAAGCAATTACTGAAATTGAATTTTTTGAAGAACAAGATGTTTGTTGAACAACATTTTACATCCACAGGAAAATATCCATCACAACCTCTGCAGTGTCGTTTATGCCTCACAAGTGTTTTTTCCTGCCGATACAAACTTACCGCGAGAGAAGGATGTTGCAGTTCTGAGCTCGGCGGCCGTCGATGACCGACAGCTCCTTGACCTTTTTAGAGGTCAGCGCGTCGTCTTCTGCCTCTTTCTGTGAGCAAAGTCAGGAAGATGTTAGAGGGCCACAGGATACTCACACCTGGACCAATCATCATTTTATTAACGGTCACCAACACACACACACACACACACACACGCGACAGGAAAGAAGACGCGAGCCCTAAAATCCAAAACAAAATCTCAACTGCAGTAAACAGACGTTGAAATCGTTACATGCAAACACGACAGATAAATAAAAAGCAGCTGACTCGACAGTGTCATGTATATTCATTGCACACATTAGAGAACAAGAAGACAGGACGTACAACATGTAAACAGACCTAAGTACGTCTACTGTACTGTAAGAGCACTCACCTGTTTGCTGTTATTGATCATAAAGAAGTCCTAAAATGCAGGCAAGAAGCAGGGAAGATGTAAGCACTGATTAGAATAAGTAAAGCAGTTACGTGATTGCAGCCCATAAAAACAAACATCTATTGAATCAAAGCTCATTCTGTGCTGACGGATCCTCGGTAATGGGGGTGGGAGCGGCAGCGAGACACGAGTGGGGGGGGGGGGGCTCGGTTGCTTACAGTTCACATGCTGTGCACAAAATCAAAAAAAGAAGAAATCTAAATTTTGCACATTTTGCCGCTTTGCGAACAGAGAAGCTCTCAGTTAAGTCATTTTGAAAGCCCTTATTTTGAATGTTGGACATGCATATTGAACTCTGATAAGACATGCTCATTCTCTTCAACAACCAACAACCGCACTACTGATTAACCGAAGAAACTGATTGTGAGCAACTCACTCATGCATTTGCAACCGCATGTGTCAAAATGATAAAAAGCAAAAAGCAGCATTCTGTTCATGTACAAGATGAGTTATGAACAAACTTATCATGCATTACAATCTTCTTATAGCAGTTTGTAATTATAACATGTTACAAAGCATATTTAAGATCATAATATATAAAATGCTTTGTAAATTGTTTGATCATTTTTATAATGCAGTATGAAGGTTTATGTATGCTTATAACAAAAAATATAAGCGGATTATAGAGAGCTTATGATGCATTATAGACCTGGGCGTCAAAGTGCTACCGAACGTTTTGCATGTAGTAAAATCCCAAATATTTCTACCAACTTATTTGCCCTAATTTATTTGATCTTTCCATTCTCTCCAACTGTGAATCTGTGAAATCAGAAGTAGCAAAACAAGACCCCCGATGGACGGCCACATGTGAAGAGCTGGGGAGGTGAATTGCAGCGTCCTCAGTACCTGCTGCCTCTGATAGGCTGAGAAGGTCTTTTCAATGTCCTCCAGATCCAGGATTTTAAACACCTTGGCATCGTCCACCTCCATCCACACGGTTCCCTCCAGTTTATTCTGAGGACAAAAAGACATTCACATCTCGTATTCTAACACAAAGACGCGCCGGATTACTTTACGTCATATATTCAGGTATTTTTCTGTCTCACCTCAGACAACTTGGCCCAGTTAAAGGACTTGAGTGCGTTGGACGGCTGGGGAATGTTCTTCCTCTTCAGGGACGGCCCGAGCGGGGCTCCCGGCGGGGGAGGGATGCCCCCGATGGGCGGGCACCCAGGAGGAGGTGGGGGTCCACCCGGTGGAGGCGGTGGGGGAGGTGGAGGAGGCATCATGCCTCCAGGGGGCGGCGGGGGAGGAGGGCACATCCCCCCGAAAGCTGGCACGGGTGGAGGAGGCAGAGGACCTCCGGGGGGTCCGGGGCCAACGGGAGGGCCTCCAGGAACAACAGCTGCCCGTCTCTGCAGGGACAGCGTTACACAATCTTAACAATGGACAGGAAAACACTTACAGGATGCTGCCGGACCATCATTGCAACTTTACAATAATAAAACACTGAACGTTTCCCTTCAAATCCCCATTGAATGCTTTATGTCCTGGTGGTCTCAAGCCCTGAGGGTCAGAGGGTGATTAAAGACACATGAACTGGGAGGGAAATTCCTCTGATCATTCACAATGTAATCATGTTAACGTCCGTTTGAACATGCCGAATCCTGCACATTGTAAGGATTTTGAAGGGAGGACTCTTGGCCTTACTGCCTTTTAAGCAACAAGAAGGGGGACGACAGAGCCGAGGTACACAGACAGGGAACAGCTTCCCTTCGGGGGGGGGGGGGGGGCATTTCAACCCAACCCCATATCTCTGTACTAGGCAAAGGACGACGTACGGTGCTGAGCTCGTGCAGTTGGCCGGTGAGCTCGGCCACTTGCTGCTTGACGTTCTTGTGCTCGGTGCTCTCCTTCTCCAGCTTCTCTTTCATCTTGTTGAGCGTCTGCATCATGTCCTCTTTCTCCTGCGTCTTTGCGTCACACTCGCGCTCCTTCTTCTCAAACCTCTGCTGCAGCTCGTGGTGCTCTGAAACGGGAATGGCCGCGGCGGGTTAACTACAAAGCGTGCTTTTAATCAAATTGATCATTGATCACTGATAGTCTTACTAACCCTTTCGCATTTTCTCTGCCTGCTCTTTCCACTGTTTGACCTCATTTTCATTGACCAGCCTGCAGGGAGGAACACACACGTAGTAAACACCAGTGTACGACTCCAGTCTTAAAACTTAAAAGTGAAGCTACTCGTGACCACCAGCACGAGGTTTTTTAATTTCTCCTCAAACACAACAGTGCTCGACATTCTTCCTAACTGGCGGCCGAGTAATCCGTTCCATGCCGTCATTCCGTCTGCCTTGGAGGGGAAAAAATGAAGACTCACATCCGGACGACGTTCTTCACGTTAAAGTTCTCCAGTGGCGTGACATCGGGGTCGTGACCTTTGTCGTTCTGCAAGACCATCTGCTGGACGATGCGATCCAGCAGCAGCCAGTACTGCACCGTGTTGCCGCTTCTCTTGTCTGAGGGGAGAGGGCAGTAATTAGTATGGATTTCTGCATTAGTGTCAGCACAGGAACAGCTGCGTCCACAAGCGGCTGCTTTATTATGATGAATTGAAATTAGCTAATGAATACTCATAACTGAGGAGATGAGGAGAAGCACTTTGAAGTCGTTACTCATTGGTGAGGGTTCATCCATCGTGAGGGACGACGTGTTCACTGTTGTGTTGTTATTTAGCTTGAAAACCATTTACCACACACAAGTATTCAATTCATCACTTCACATTCAGTGATGTTTTCCGGATTCCTTATTTAAGTACCATAACAAGCTGGCTTTTTATTAACTCTTGGGTGTGACCGCGGCACAGTATTTGTGGCTCAAGTGTTAATCACACGCTCAGCGCCTCAGGAAAGTAACCGGGGGGGAGTCTCATTAAAAAAAGTCACTCGTAAGGGAAGGAGAGAGTCAAAGGAAAACGCAGCCGCTTAGTGGCTCTTTGTTTTCAAGTCAAGTGACGTGAGAAAGCTGGCTGAAACTCAAGTTGGATGGGAATGCGCTTATTCAATATCTGAAGTGACTAATCTGCACAAAGTCAACATTATTATCTTTCTGGCCAGAGACCAGAAGGTCCTGATGCAGTTCACTTTGCGGGAGTCACACGGCTGCCTCATTACGTTTCATTTCTAAACTCAGCAGCCTTTGATCCCATTTCACAGCAGATTCACAAACAGATTATGAATTGTGTTCCATTGCGACAGTAATTGTCCCAACTTGTCAACAGTCTGCAGTCCACTATTACACATCGTGAAGACACACTCACGTGGCATGAGGAGACAGTGATGCAGGACGGACATAAAGTGCGGGTGTGCATCAGTGTGGTTTATCTTCTTCCGGATGAGATCAAAAACCTGGTTAGCACTTTTGGTGTCTATATGTACCTGGAGGAGAAGGAGCGAAACAACAGCCCTGTGAATCATTTTATACTAAATATTTTACGGACACAAATTTGTGTGTTTTTTTTTTTTTCCTGCTTACCGACTCAAAACGTTTCGACAAAGCCAGCTCATCCTCGTTCCGCAGCATCTCAAAGTAGTCTAAATGCCTGAGAGTGGGCGTGGAGAAACTAGATAAGACAGGCAGCTTGCAATTGTGGAGCACTTGTTTAATCCACGCTCTGCTTTGCTAGAAGGCAGCGGTGAAATATCTAATATTAATATAATAATCAGGAGCGACTAGAATGCAACGTTGTCTATGAAGCTATACATTGATTTCCTGTTGTTCAGGTCCTGATCATTTTTTCACAGCTCCAGACTTCACTTTATTTTCTGCTCCGTCTCACCTGTCCAAGGTGGAGTTTTCGTGAGACCGTAGCTTATCGATCACCGGTTGGATCCCCAACATGAGGAACTCATATCTTAAGTGGATACGGAATTCCAAACTTGTCTGTATTTAAATAAAAAAAGAAGAAGAATAAATGAGTCTCTTATTGAGGAACATGATGACCTTCCAGTGTGGGAATGAATCATAAAATCTGTCTCACCTCTCCAGCACCTTGACTCAGGACAGCATTTATAAAGGACATGATGGCCGTCTTCAGGTTGACCTCGTCCCTGTATCGCCCTGTGCTCCGGTCCAGATCGTTTATAAGTGTCTGCGGGATGACAGGTCATTACGGGAGCTGGACATCTTCACACACACCGTTTGCTTTTAAATGACTTTGTCCGCCGACGGCTCCCGCCCACCTGAAACCTCGTCCTCTCGCAGGCGAAGCGCTGGTAGTGCATCATGGCCTCCAGGATCTTCTTGTGGCCGCCGGGCACCAGGCACACGGCGCCCATGATCTCCAGCACGGCCACTTTGGTCTTGATGTTCTCCGTGGCCAGGCTCTGCGCGATGATGTTGATGCTCTCGGAGTGGGAGAGGACGTGGGCGCGGCCCTGCGAGTTGTTCATCAGAGCTTTGATGCAGCCGATCAGGGACGTGTGGATCTGCGATTCGGTCGTCTCGTAGTCCATGCTCTTCAGGAAGTTCAGGATACACGTCAGGCCGTCCAGGTCGATGAAGCGGGTGACGAACCTGAGAGGAGAGCGGGAAATCCAGTTTTGTTTTTCGGGAGAGTAGTTCTAATGGCAAATACTTTAATGCACAAATGTCCCATAGTAAAGCCGAATCGTCACAAGCCAAAAAGCTGAATGTGTGCGTCTGTGTGTCCGTTAATCCGCCGTCTCCCTCCTCTCTATATTTGGTGCAGTGAAGAGCTTGCGGTCCGTGAAATGGAAACGATTTAATGCACATTCTCGTCAATGGCAAATCGTTAAGCAACACTGCGGTGACCTTCAGGGGTGTTCACTTCTTAAAAGTACTCATTGACATCCCGAGGTGAGGAGCCAAAAATAGACGAGATGAGAGCAGGTTAGACGAAAGAAGATGTTTTTTTATGGAGATTTAGGAGTGTTTGCCCACCTCATGGGTTGTGTCCTCAGAGCCGTCTTCAAGCTCTCGATGGTTTTGTTCCTCTCCTCCTCGTCTTCTTTCTCCAGAGCGAGGAGCGTCGTTCTCTGTCCAACAAAAGATTAAACGTTGTCTGAAGTCGGGACGGGCCCAATAAAGCTTTACTGGTTTCTGCAGGTGTACAGGTCACATGGGAAACGTTTTCCCAGCTAATTTTAGTATTAAAAAAGGTTCCCTACGAACAGAGGCAGGGGTCATTCTTGCAGGCAGAACCATTTTGAGATATTTCTTTATCCAAAGAGAGAAATAAATGTCATTACTTACAGCTGCCATTGAATTGAGCTGATCAATGTAGTATTCTGGCCAACTAGTTGCACTTTTGTTTTCTTCTTGTTCCTGAAAAACAGAATAAAAGTGAATAATGCTGACTGGCATTGTTTTTAAAAGAATGTCACACAGTAGTTAAATATTAGAAAAATATGTTTTGTTGTTACATAAAAGTCAAAAGCGGATCATTTGTTTGTCGGTTCATGTCACACATTTTAATAATTCAAATTCAAACTGCGGACCAGATGGAGAACTTTATTTCATAATTATCAATTGTTTTTTGAAATACGTGAAACAAATACTAAAATACACACACAGGGAACGGAAGGTTCAGGGAATAAAAATACAAAGGCCAAAAATGGAGCAGGAACTCAAAGTAGGGCGCCACAGACATCCAGCCCATTTTATCATCCAGCGCTTCACTGAGTTTCAGGAGGTGGTCAGAAGTGCGGAGCGCAGCTGCTTGAGAAAATCTTGAGATTAGCAAATGAATGTCAGAACGGTGGATTAAGACCGCGTCCTGATTCATGCTGCGATTAACCTCCTGACAGGCACGTTTGTATCTACAGCAACAAAAAATAAATAAATAGTAACTCCAAGACATTGGCTTTCGATGATTTGATTTTCTGAACTCAAGGGGAAAACACTAAGGAGAGAACGACTTGGGCGTTTACTTGGCTTGTACATAAAAGGGCCCCCAGCTTTTCATTTTAACTCCGGCTCCATTAAGCACAAGCGAGCTGTGACCAGCAGAAACTAATTGGGCGACAGTTAATAAAGCGGCCTGCAGAGACTTGGCCGCCGCGACTCAATCTGCAGGCTTTGGCTGGTCTGCGGGGACGGGAAGGTCCGATCCGGCTGTTCCACCCACGTCCGGTGCCAGCTCGACCCGGCGGGCGCCTGGACGGAGTTCAGTCCATTACTGGAGCAGACGCGGGAGGCGGGACCACTCCCTTCTGCATCTCAAAGAGCTCATCTTTCAACTCGGAAATCCGCACTCTCTAAAACAGTGACAAGTCTCCGGTTTATTTAGGGTCACGATGAGAGAGAAAAAGCGGGGAGGCTATTTCCCCCCCCCAACACACTTTTGAGAAAGCGAAGATCAATCTCAGTCGTTTTGAGTCTGCTTGAAGAGAAGTTAAGTTCCAGCTCTGCCCGCTCACAACAAACAAGGAGTACTGTAAAATCCCTGCTAACAAACGGATCAGTAAATCTGCCTCCTGGCAGATGACGTAGCCTAACAGAGAGCTGACGGAGGAGGAGGAGGAAGACTGATTCTGTGCAGCACGATTTTGTCGGCTCAACTTGGCCAAGCCAAACAGCTGAAGCTTTGCTGCTTCGACTGACTTATCTCCTCCGGGCCGAACCCGAGCGGCTGGCGAAAAAGAGAGGCCTTAATCGCTCAAAGCGCCCTCTTAATGACCCCCCCCTCCCTGCCAGACACACTAAAGCTGCACCTGTGGAAGTGAACCCTTCCTGTTTGTCTTGGACAAGCGGCCGTGTCTTCTGCCTCTTTTCTCCACACACACAAACTCATCTAAGCTCAGTGTGTGTATCTCTCTGGGTCGAGTCCAGAGCCCGCTGCAGACTCAGCAATATTGATGTAATCTCCCCCCCCCCCGGCCCCCCTCTCCCTGTAGGTTGATGCGGCTCGTAAAGATTTGTTTCCACCTTCACGCCGACACTGAAACAAGAGTGCGTGATCTCTAAAATGGCGAACGGAGGCAATGCGGCACATTGGGTTCTGTTATCAAAGCGGGCCTCGAGACTCTTCCTAATGAGGCCACTAATCGGGACGCGGTAGAAACGGGGGCAAACACCATGCAGTCCTCGTTTCCACTGCCTCCTCCCGCCTTGTAGCTGCGTTCAGCCAAAGTCACTGTGGCATCTACTCAAAGAAAAAGGGATAATTGATCATGGCTTGTGATGCAGGTTTTATACGGATTCATTGAGTCAAAACGTGGTGTTTCTGCATTACGCGTTGTTGACATAAATACACATTATTGGCACGTATGCATCTTTAAAAAGAGCAGCCTTGCATTTCAAGAAACGTGTTTGTTGCATCCTGAGAGTTATCTGACGCCTTTTATACCACTCTCAGATGCGTATGCTACGCTAGTTAGCCTAGCGTAGCATACGCATCTGCAAGAAGAGGCTAAACAGCCACTAAACTAAATCTGCCTACCAACACCTCACTTATTACTTTAAAAAAACAAGGTCTGTAATATTAATATAGCAAAACTGGGATGAGGTCAGCAGCGATGGAGGAGGGGACTTTTTCTTCCTTCATATCTAATCCCAACACAAAAAGGGACAAGCATGAAAAGTGCAGAATATTCCATACGCTGTCAAAAATTGATTTACCCCTTATTTGTAGTTGTAGTAGTTTGTAATACTTTGTAAACAGGAAGGCTTTCTGCAGCTATGCTTTTTCGAGGAGGACTCTTCATTCATCACACTAAACCCAAACTTTCCTCACCTCCAGTTTGTAACCGGACGAAGGAAGAGAGCACGTCCTTTCTGCATATCAGTCAGGACAGGATATCCTACACGCTCATACCTGTGGCCTCCAGAAACATGGCTGTAAAAGTGTGAGGGCGGCTTCAAAGCTCAACCCCAGTTGATCTAAACTAGACCAGACGCCTGTGTTTTCCTGCATGCAGGACAGAAATGAATATGAAGGGAAAGGAGGAACAGCTGACAGTCCTTTTATCATGAAGCCGAGACATAATAAAATATGGCACTGGCACATAGTGGTAGACTGTGTTATGGCTACACACATGCTTTGATGAGACAGGTGGATTATCTAAAAAGGAGAAACCGAATGATTAAAAATCCTTCCCTTGAATCAGGGAGGACAGTCGAACAATGAGACCACAGCAACGAAGGAAACCAGAAACCTGATGCTGCAATACATTTCAGTACTTTATGACGCCGCCTTCCCTGTTAGTGGATTAATGGAAAAGGCTCAATATAGCCTTTCTGCTACTCCCACTAGATATCACTATTTTTATATCCACCTTGTGTAACATCCACTTAGGTGAGCTATTCATGGTGGAGCTTTTGAGAGGCAGCGCTGACTTATTATATAGTGATGAAATGTATTTTATGTTTAATAACAACATATAGGCACTTTAGGTTGTTATATAAAAGATGTTTGATAGAACATCGGGGAGGAATTTGGGCGTTGTAGCAGCTGGTCAGCAGCTCGATATGTGTATTTTTGTATCTTATGTGCTGCTGTATACACCTCATGCCTGTTGTGAGCAGAGGAATACCGGGATACGAGCTTTTGTGATACCTAAGAGCTTCAACAGATCAATGAGATTACAAATGCGATTACACAAACTTGGCAGGATATTTGCAGATATCATTCAGCCAAAAGCCGCCAGCCAGCAGCAAGCTTGTGGAGGCCGATGGAGTTTGACATAATGCACAGTGAAAGTCTTTTACCTTCTTTTTGCTGCAGTAAATTTGCCATTTCTTCTCTGCGGGCAGAGCGAACATGGCTTCTCTGTGCTTCTCTGACAGATCGAGTTCATCCTGCAAAGTGGGGACAAAGATGCAGATAAGGTTAAGAAAAATGTGAGATATTATGTTTTCACAATCCGTCACCAATGCCAGTCTGGAGAAGATAATATTCAAAGCTTAGAAAGAGAGCGGCATTCTAAGACGCCAGCTCAGAGAGTGCGGACAAGCTGTCACATCGCCATGCTGCTGGCTTAAAAATGTCCACAATAATCAATTCTGTTGATCCCCTAAAATAACAACAAAAAACAAAAAAAGGTGCCAGCCGGGAGTAGATTGCATCGGAGCCACGGCCCCCTTGTTTGGGTCCGTGTGATCGGTTGGATAGCACCCGCCGCTCCCATCGTCAAATCCAACACGGCTGGATCAAATCACATGTCCTGCGGGCGTCAGTCGCGTGAGTAACGGGGGGGAAAGGAAAGGCGTGGTCCGCCTGCTCGACATGTGGCAACAAACATCTGGAGACAACATGCGTCACAGCGTCTTAACCGATGTTTCACGGAGGCACGCGGAGGGGGGTGCCGCTGGGAGGACTGCATACCAGAGAGCATTGGAACACTAAACGTGTGGTGCAATTAAAAAAAGAAGAGAACATCAGACAAGTTGTGTTTCGCGCATACGGCATGCGGCCGGTTGGCGGTCGGATATATCAGCATGTCGATGCCTTTTGTTGATGCTGAAAGAGATCAGTTTTCTCTCTTGAGTCAAATTTAAGACGTTTCTTGTTGCGGCTTTGCGTTTTCATGTTAGTATTTGCCGTTGACGTTCTGTTTGTGGGTGCAGGATGGAAAAAGAAGCTTCACCTAGAGCCGCAGGTTTGTGGAAAAAAAGAATCTGAAGTTTTAATTGATTATAAAAAGAGCAGATGGATTCACCGCAACGTGAGGCTATTTTACCCGCCCCCCCCCCTGGCAAGTTTGTTTGGATTATACACGCACACGGTGGCTCGAACCGGGCAAAGAGAGAAGCACGTGGCTGTTTTCTCTCGGTAAACACGGCGACTGAAAAGCCCTCCTTGTCGTCATACTCAAACTCCCTCAATTATATCTTCATAAAGGGTGGGAGACAAAAGCGACCAATTAGCAGACGGGGGAGGCCCGGGACATTAAGAGCTCATGAATGAGGTCTATTGATGTGCAAAAATGTCGTGCTTAGATTACTGCGGGAGAGCAAAATGGGGCACGAGAGAGAGGAGAGCACAACAAATTAGAAGTGACAATAATACAAGAGCCCCCGTTACTCACAAGTCAGCGTGAATTGGGAGGAAGTGACCGTTTATTTGGGAATGTCCAATATAACACGCAGTGTAAACAACGAGGTGTGTTAATATTGGGAAAAAAAAAGAGTTGAACAAAACACTAAACTGTCTGTTATGCTCAAAGTTAAACAGGAATTGTGTAAACCTAAATAAATAAGTTCTTGTAAATCGACATCCGAACCTTTTAGGATGAACCGCATCATTTCCGAGAACAGCTGTGCACTGTAGTTGTTGGCGAAAGCACCCAAACAAGAGCAAATAGTACTTTTTGGGGGGGGGCTATTTTCAGCTGCGTATTCAGAAACATTTGGTGCAATAGTCAGTGTTCACAGTAACACAATGGTACTCACAATAAAGTATAGTGGTCAATTTCAATGCTCAATTTCTGCATTTTGTACAGTGTTTTGGAGCACTTTAGAGGCACACGCAATGTATGTAGAACTTGACCCACATAGGCAGAGGGGATTTGCCGATATCAGGAGCAGATATAGAAACGCCAGACTTTTATATATATTTTAAATGTAAATGTCAAAGAAACAGCAGAATGACTTCTTACCACCAACTCGGAGAACATTCCATCCAGCTCGTCGTATCCGGGCATCGGCAGGGCCGGCTCCATGGCCTGCAGGGCGAAGTCCTCCCTGAGCCTGTAGGTGATCTCCGGGTGATCGTTGCCGTTAAAACAGCAGAAGATGTAGGACAGGCCACCGCGGTTGCCGCCGCCGCCGCCACGTTTCCGAGGAGCCATGGCTGCCCCGACGCGTCCGGCTGCTCAGGTAGGGAGCGTTGGAGGCTCCTTCTGGGCCTCTTTACGGCCTCCTCCACCTCAGGGTCCAGCCTCCGTCAGAGAGCGCTGTGGGTGGGGGGAGGAGAAGGGACGCTTTAAAGTTGTGTCCCAGAACATCTGAAGAGCAGTTCTCTCAGAGGCAAAAGGAGCAATAGAAGATAAAAACGGCAGACAAACACTAACTGGACCAAATACACGACATCTCTGAAGGCCTTGAGTATTCACCGTTAGTCGTTATGGATGAAGGTTCAACGCGCCTTATCAGTGAGGGCCAGCCCTGAAAGATTTCATTATATCGTTTACACAAAAGGGCCCCGGGAGAGTTTGATGAAATGGAGACTATAATTCGCCAGGATTAGTTTATTCCAGGCTGTTTCATCTTTCACCTTCCTTCAGCATCGTCTTTCCTCTAAAGACCCAACGAGGGCCGATTAGAGGGGCGTGTTTATAACGGCCGCGGCAGGAGGTGTGCGAAGCCTTTTGTGGTTTCAAAAGACGCGGTTTCGTCATTGTGGGTTAAGAGCAAACCGATACGATACGATGTGTAAGCCTGAGCAGCATGTTGCTCAAAGGACGAGTGAGATTTACAACACGAGGGGTCCCCGTCAAACTTAGACATTCACTGCCTCAATCACCCTGATAACCATCACGACTTTCCCCTCCTGGCCCTCCCGACTTCATGAGGACACGCGGGGTTTGTGAAAGTGTGTGAAATCCCGTTGGACTATTGATCGATGAGGAGGGATGAGCGCATAACAGAACAACTATGCGAAGGGGAGTTTTGGCATTTTGTGGCATTTTAGACATTGGACCTGCTAAACATCTGTTAGCATTGTGACCGCAAAGCCTCACAGCTGCTTTTGTCTTTTCTCTACACGGTATTCAGACCTGGGATCAGATGAGCTGCATGTGGAGCAGTTGGCTCTTCTTGTTACGGCTATTCCATCATCACGACTTTACTCTGTTGCTAAAAGAAATCGCGTTGAGACAAGACAGACCTCGATCCTCAGTATGGAAAACGTAAACAAGTTTGATTTGTAACTAACTACTAATTTGGTAAAAAAGCATCCGAGGAGGAGAGGAGACAGCTGCAGCTGCAGCAGCAGCGAGCTCTCAGGCCCGCTGGCTCGAATCCAAGCACGAATACTGGAATAAAGTGCACAAGACCTCTGGACTGTCTGGCAAATAAAGATGCGGCGTCCAGATATCCGCGAGGAAACCGCCGTCGCCGCCTCACCAAACCGGCTCCACGGTCTCCCTCCCCCGCTGTGCCGAGCGGCCCGATGCCAAGTGGCGCCGACCGTTGCCACGCTCACTTGACCTTTCTTAGCGTTTTTTTTTACTAAGAGGCGGTTTCACCCAGACAGTGTGCACAGTGTGCTTCGTTTGAGTGTCGCTGTGCTCATTGGGCCGGCAGAGAGCTCAAGTTATCTCTTCCAAAAGGGAAAAGTGAGGACATTTTCTGTGAGCAGTCACAAAAAAAAAAAAAAGAAAAATCCATTTTGTGGTCCACCTAAATAAAGCCTGATGCCATCACTGTCTCATTTTAGTCCCTTTTTTGGTTCATATGCTGTGCAGCAGCAGCAGCGGTGCTTTTCAAATATGGAACAGCCGCTAAAGCTGCCTGAGGCTTTTTCCACCCACTAGAAAATCTTGTTTTATTTTCATATTTCACCCTGAAATGTGTTTTATATATTTATATACGTCTCCTTTAATATGCTGACGCAGACAAAAGCAAAACAACCGAACCCCACAAAAGAATTCAAAACCCTTAAAAGCACAAAGACACCATTACACAATTGGACCAGTCTTGGTCCAAAGTAAACTTTGTTACCACTCGTATCTAGTCATGAACGGCAAACTGTAAAACAAAACTAACAATAGCCAACTTTCCATCACTACAACAGAAATACCAAATGGCCACACGCGAGATGAAGTACACAGCAGCTTACCTTTACGAACACTGTGTATTTATTTTGACACATCCTTGACTTTTTCAAACAGACTACCAGAAGGCTCAGCGGCGGCAGCAGCTGCTTGGCTTCACGCTCGCCGTCTATTCTAGCATGAAGGGAAGGAGACATTCGCAGCCTCCTTTGACCATATTAGTCCACAAAACTGTCCATCTTTTCCATTAGCTAAAGCGAACTATAAACTTTGTATAAACCCCGTGAGCCAGAGCGGGACAGCGCTGGTCCCCGTCCAACTGCAGGAACCCGACGACCGGCACCGGCAATTGAACGCTTTCATTTGGTAAATAAACTTTCCAGCACGGACACTTGAACAGATCTTATTTTCGAATTAGCATTTCCTCAAGACTCGTAGTAAACACTAAAAGCCGAGCTTCCTCCCTCCGTTCATGAGCTTGGGACAGACGCCGAACCGGGAGCCGGGGGGGGTTAAAAGGAAAAGCTGAAGCGCCGGCGCTGCGTCCTCACTGGATGCGGACGATCACTGGAAGCTGCCGCTATCTGCATCTTTATTCAGCACTCGGAAGTCAACCTTCCTCCGCTTCACGCACCAGCGAGCACTCCTCCCGGGGGGGGGGGAGGGGGGGCCCGCCTGCAGCCGCTTCTGGTCGTGCAGCTGCGGTCGGCACACGCAGACGGTGACTTTGTGTGTTTTGCGCCGTAATTGTTAACCTGCGAGCGCGGAGTGCTGTGCCAGCAGGTTGTCTGTCAGACGGTCAAGGTTTCACAACAAAACAAGAGGCCTGTCGGAACAAGAAGACATTCCTCTCGTTGCCAGGTGAGCTCTGTGACCCTGAACAACACACACACACACACCTTCTGCCATCACCTGCTCACACAGAGAAGAAACACACACACACACACACGACTTCCCAAAACAAGCAGGAAGAACGCACGCAGTCGGCCTGACCCTCAGCTGTCCCAGCAGCAGACGTTAGCGGGATTGATGCTCGTTTCCAGGAAGGATCCTCGCAGCAGGCACGTTGTGAGATGTTAACAGTCTGCGAGTTGATGATAATGCCATGGAACAGCTGCGCTTTCTATGTAATCAAGAATAATGATGTTTACGCTGGCATGAATCCACTCCCGGAGCGAACTGGAGAAACACCAGGCCTTCTGCAGGCCTTCTGCAGGCCTTCTTTTTTGCGCTCCTTCATTCATACACATCCAATAATTAAAACCCGCCCACCCGCATGTACAGCAACACTTCTCCCTTTGTCTGTCGGGCATCTCTACCCTCGGGTAGCCTTGCTGTTTTCGTGACCATGTGGTTTGGCGGGTGACCTGGCGCCGGTCCCGGCGGTGAAAAGAGTCCCAGTGTTTGTAAAGTGGAAGGGAGCGTGTGCACAAGGGAGAGGGACGGGGGGGTGGAGGGCTGCACAAGACCTCTCCGCTGGAGAAAAGGCAGAAGCCGATGGAGGAGCATCTTAAGCTAAACAGAGAGACACCTCAGTTCCTAAACACGTGTGCGAAGGAAGAGAGAGCGAGAGTTTTCCTCCAGCTGGCTTCCTTCCTTCTTGCTTCTTGTCCGTGCGCCTGCTCACCTGTTTAAGCTTACTTTAACATCCATACCCGTGGCCAAATGGCATCAACATTGATGTGGCGAAGATAATGTATTTGATACATTCGCGTACCGTACATGACATTAATTGCCCCGAGATTTACCGTTTACCGACTGAAGTGCGTGGTGGACTTTGGAACTTTTCACTAGAAGAAAAACGTCACAATCCTGAATACTGCCAAACATATCAGACGAAAAGACACATGGTCTCATCTTTACTAAGTAGTCCGTCATCAAATAGCTGCCGTCACAAAAGAGCGAGCTCTGTGTCTATAATCTCTGAACACTAACAGGTCCACTTAAAGCCGGAGCGGGAGTCCAACCTTGGAGAGACGGAGAAGGAGACAGAGCAGTGGACAGTAGTGTATTGAAAGCAGATGTGTGAAATACCTTCTTTTGCACCAGCTGGCATCCATCAGCTCTCTCTAGCACGCCGAGGTGTGCTTTTAATTTTTAATATGTGCAGCTGCCTGAATCAGCAGCGGCACCCGGGGTTTGTGCTGGAAACAAATTGGAAGAAGGAGAATGGGAGTATTGGAGTAGTAATAATAATCAATGGGGTTGCTTCTCCGATTCTGATGCCTCTCTTGAGTGAATCGGGAATGATCCCGCTCTGTGAAAAGTCCTTGAGTAAGACTCCCTTCCCGCTTTAGGGACCTCGGCTGATCCGACCCTGACCTTTGACCTTTCTGTGCCGGCAAGCAAACAACCAGAAATTGTCCCGGATAACAGAATCAATTAAGGGTCACGCTGCAGTTATTACCATCCTGACTTTATGCCGTTCGTCAAACCCGAGAGAAGGCGGAGTCACAAAAACAAATCATTTCATGCCTTGTTTTGGATTTAGCTGTAATGAGGGGGGGGGAAATAAAACCACGTGGACGCTGATGACCAACCGAGTGTGGCTGCAGCTGCTTTATAGGCGGGCCAGGAAGGCATTTGGTGCGCAGAAGTTTAATCTTCTTTTCTGATTTAGGATTTGGGATGGATCAGACTTGCAATTTGGTGATCATCCCACCACAGGATTTTCAAAGCAAGGCAGCTCGACATTGTCGGTTGTATCCCGCTGCGTTACGGTGTTTTCCCCCCACTGACCAATTCAGAATGTACTTATATTAAGAAAAGAGCCACTGGAGACACGGTTCATAATTTAGGGATTTGCCGTGAGCTTTACTCACAAGGTTTCGGGTATTTTTTGGAAAACCCCCTTGACTGTTGTGCACGACATTTGTTCATTTATATTGGATCAATTTTGGACAGCTGCGAACAAAAGGCTCAGGAGTCACACGGGGAAGGCGGCTGGCGGTCCTTTCAGCTCGGCGCTGCCCTGCTGAAAATCAATCAGCGACCCGGTATTTGGACACGGAGCGCTTGCTTAACCTGCGAAAATCAAAACGCTGTTGACCCAAGTCGACCGCGAAATGCTCGATAGAAACAACAGTCAGAAGTAACCAAACAGTCTCCATTTCTCACTGCAGCTGCACGTAACGAAAACAGAAAAGTCTCTTTTCCTCTGAGCCAACGTTAATAACGGCCAGCCGACAGTGAACTGACCCGTGTTGTTTCTAAAAAGGCGGCGGCTCTTTTCATGTTGGGAGTGATGCTTCGCGTTGTCTGGTCTTCTTCGGATTCAGCCACACTGGTGTCCAATTGTCCCGCGCAGCTGGACAGCATGCGTCAACGCTTGTTCCGCCAATTACTTAAATATCGGCCCCCAGTACACGGCGAAGAGAAAAAGAAAGAAGAAAAAAAAAACGACCACTTGGACTTGAACACACATTAGAGAAACGTCAGGGGTCGAGACAGAAACGCTGATTTGCAGGTTTGGAGGAGATTAAAATCCACCCGTCAGTCAAAATGCCGTGCTAGCGCCGCGGCGCCTCGTGGTGCGTTTGCACGGCGGGAGTATGCGTCTATGTGGGACAAAAAAGGCCCCGCCTGAGGGAGCAGCGCTGAATCGGATTACAAGGGTGAGGAGCCAAGAGACAGAGAGGGACGAAGAGCCCAGAGGACAGAAATCGGAAGAGATTCTCCCACCAGCTGACAGGTTTGACTCTAAGTGTCTCTCGTCTACAGTTCAAGAACTTGGCATCTTGAAGCCCTTTGAAGTAGCGGTGGCGGCGGATCGGGACGCCGTCGTGCGAAACTGCTGCGCAGAGCGAGGCGGTTCTTTTTTTAGTGCGGTAGTTGTTCCAGTTTTCATGACAACGTTGGCCTGCGTGCGCACCGATTTGGAGCCAACAATAACAAATGAGCTACAAGGCTTGAATGAGACCCAACCTAGCAGAACCAACTAGGAGCTGATTCATCAGACGCCATCCAAGTCTGTTTCGCACCTTTGGGGTTTCTAAACGTAACATTTAGAGCCGCGTTGTGTTCTGTGCTCCGTTACGCTGCAGTATCCTTTGTGACTGAAAACAGGGCCCCTCTATCAGCCAACTCGCATTAAGGTAATCTAATCATTAGCCACATCCTTCCTCATTTAAACGGACCCGTGGTCTTCACACGTTTTACCCGGAGACGTTCACTCACAATCAGCGCGTGACGACTCCGATGAGCTCAAGACCAGGACGATCGCTGAGCCGGCGAGATAAGGGCCGTGATCAGAGGAGGCCGACTGACTTGCCGTGTTCCTCCGTCACGCCCGAGCCCGCAGGCTTCATTATGTGAACAGAGGTCTGTGCAGGCGGCAAAATGTTTGTCAACCAAGTGGTTTCGTTGCCTGGGAGGGATTCGGGCTCTTATTTTGCGGTCACCTAACTGCCTTTGGGGACGGATTAGACAAACAAATTAACTTTTTCTGTAAGCGATTATCTGTTATGTTATCGAAAACTGTTCACGGTTCCACTCCTTAAAAAGGCATCGGGTGGCATTTCTCTTTAACTCTTACGTGCATGCATGAATTGGAGAGTGTGCGGCTGAGATGCACAGAGATTAAAAAGCAGGTTGAAGGCGGCTCTTTCTGCAGGCAATGTTGTCAAACCCGTTCTGCAGACCGATTCTACAACCCCCCACCCATAACATGTTAGCATTCTTCCTTGGGTCAACCCTTCGAGTGCAGGTTACACTCGGGGCAAAGAAGGAAACTTCTCAAACAGGCGACAATTTTCCTGCCTGTTGGCTTTGATCCGAACTCCGAATCCGAAGAGTAGTTTGGTTTAAAAATAGCACGACCAGCCCAAATTTTGCTGTTACAATATTTTGAAAAAAAGGAGGAAAAAAAACATGTGTTCTGAGGAAACGGCAGCCATACGTTTATCACCTGTATTTCTCATTATCATATTAAATGAGAATAGATTAGTAGAGACGTGTCAGTCAGACTATTTGCAGTACACTCCTCACGTTGTCACCACAGCAGCATGTTCTGAGTGTTCTGAGAGTGTTCGCAGCTTACGGCGAGTGTACAATGCGCTGTGCTTTTCCATTCTTCCGTCGGCTCAGAGCACTTTAACGCGTCATCATTCAGCCATTCACACCCATTCATACGCCGATGACAGGAGCTACCGCACAGGGCACACCTGCCCATCAGCAGCGTACATCACAGTCACAGCTTCAGGAGCAATCGGTGGGTTTAGTGTCTTCCCGCGAGGACACGTCCACGTGGGCGCCAGCGGAGCCGGGGGGGGAGGGGTCGAACCGCCGATCAGAAGGACGACCGTCCTCTCCGGTGAGCCGCGCTCGGCCACAGCGCAGATTCAGTAGGAGGGGCAATTGTAAGCTAGTGTTACTTACGCATCAGAAGGTACTTCGCCACTTGCCATGTGTTGCATGGAAAGATTGCGGAGTAAAGTAATTAGAATAAATGGCAAACTATTTGATTTTAAAAAAAAAGCATTTACAGGGCAAATGGTGAAACGTTTGCATTGAGAGCGTATGGAAACTAGTTAGCAAGCACAGATGTTACAGGTCATTTTAGCTGACGCTTTTTATCCAAAGCGACTTACATTACACTTTAAACCCATGGCTTTTTTTAAAAACATTTTGCCCAGGGAGCAATCAGGGGTTAGGTGTCTTGCTCAGGGACACTTTGACTTGAGACATGGGGGCAGCCGGGACTTGAACCACCAACCTTGTGGTTCCCAGCGCACCCACTCTACCCCTTGCGCCACAACGACCTTGTGTTCTGTAAAAATCTTAATCTTGTATTCCGATGGTCATTTTTAAATCTCCATTACAATATATAGCATATGGCAGGAAAAATCCAGAATATTTCCACCTATGAACCTACTGATTGACATACATCCAAACAAATACGGGGTACCATATCCACTAATCTCATCAATTCAGATTTTCTGAAAGGGGGATGTTAAAACATGGTTGTTATTAACAATTTAGAAGAATGTAATTGGGTATATTGATATATTATGTCATTAATATATAATTACATCAAAAGTAAATTAACATATTGAATTATCACTATATAGATATAACGGTAAAATGATAATTAACGAAAAGAAGAGAAAAGTATGGACCTGATATTCAAAGTCCACAGTTTACACCTCAACTCATGAGTGAAAACACGAAGAGCCCCAGCAGCCGTGCCCATGATCCCTCTATCTGAGCGAGAAGGAACAGTAAACACGGAGATAAGCGCCTCAGTGGAGCACAGTCCAAGAATACAGTCAAAAATCTATTTCTGATTAGTGAAACAGATCATCAATGAACCGGCCGTGGAGAGGTCACAATCTCTGCTAGGACACCCGGCGCTGCAGCCTGTCCTAAAAATCGCAACCTCTTTCTCAGTTGCCACGGTAACCTGAGCGCAGGGTAACCGGTGCGAGCGTTTGAATGTAAGCCCCCCCCTTACACCGCACAATATCCTCGCTTTTAATCTGCTCTGGATGTTTATAGGGGGGAAAATAGGATTGTCTCTCTAATTCAGGGGAGAAGAAAATGCAAACAACGCAACCATTAAGGAATTCCCACTAAAGATGGAGCTCGCCGCCACTCGGCAGCACCGTGAAATCCGACAGCGCCACGCGAAGCGACCGGCCAGCCGGTCCTCTGTAATACGTCAGACGGTATCGTGTTTTATCAATGTAGAGAAGAGGAAGAGAGAGAGTGGAACCTGAGAAGGATGGGCAGCGACAGGAAACGAGCAGACCCCCCCCCTCCCCTCGGCTCAAGGTGACTTTCCTTTGGGTTGACCTGATTATCTGCACTTTGCCTCCCCTCCTCCTGGAAAAAAAGTGTGCCATCCCTCACACACACACACACACACACACACACACACACACACACTGATAATGAGGCTGAGAGGAGCTGGTGGGAGGCAGCAAGCCTGTGGCATATTTCTACCACCACCTCGCCCCGTCTCCACACCAGCCTTGTCATTACGGGGCATTCCCCGCATAGACGGGACAACTCTCCCACCAAGAACTCAGCCCTGAGGGGGTGGGTGACTGGGGTGGGGCAGATGGGAGCAGCCAGCCTGCCCCCCCCTGGTTACTAGGGCAACACAGTTTTTCCGCACTGACACCTCCTAATGAGACAGACGTGACGAAAAAGGAATCCAGTGTGATAGAGCAACCCCCCCCCCCCCCCTCATCCCACAACAAAGAGGGAAACTGGTAGGCTCGGAATATTTTCTAGGTCACAAGGAGGACACACACACACGCACACACACACACACCCACACACACACACACACACACACACACACACACACACACACACACATTTCACTCAACAGCCGGGTCGGGGGCTCCCTGCACTCGTTTGATTCCCGGTTGCGACGGGCAGATCCAGCGGGCTCGTCTTACCCTTTGCGGGGGAGTCCCAGCCTCCGTTGGCATTCCCTTATTCCCTTTTTCGTTTAAATCGCACAGCTCACTGCGGTATCCGGCGTCCTGCGCTGTCGACAGAAAAAAAAAATAACAACGCGCAGCTGGGCATTTCCTACGCGAGGGGGTGTCATCCGCAACTCCCTGCGGACATACAGGGCGGGTTGGGGGGTGTCAGCCGTGCAGCGTGAGGCGTTGTTGGTTGATCTTGCAAACGGTCAGCCGGCCGACTACTCGTGTCCTAGTGTCCTAGGATCCACGCCTTCCCTCGCCTCCTCCTCCTCGCTGCCTTCCTCCGCGGAGGGAGCACGCACAGATGTTTCGGGCTCCAGGCCACACCCCTTTTCAACACTCCCAGCCCCAAATACGACGCTCCCGCGACCCCCCCCCCCTCCCTACCCCCTCTCCCTCCCGCGCGCTGGCTTTGGGCAACTTGTTTAGGGTTTGTTTGGAGAGCTGCATGCGGGGGGGGGAGAGATACAGAGCTAATGTGTAAAATGTGTGCGGTGTGAACGTGGGCTAGAGACGGCGGAACGATCGATCCTCTGCACTAAAAAAAAAAGACGCAGGTGCAATAGAACCACATTCAGCACGCGCGGCTTTAAAACATGGCGCGCGCTCCGTCCGAAACACGCTTGCGACGATCTGGCTTTAATTTGACTTGAAGCTAAACAATCCCAGACGCTCCCATATGACTTACAGCACAAACACGTATGCACGTATCAGCTGCGTTATCACGCTCACACCCATATATGTCCCAACAATACCGAACAATGTTTTTTTCTGGGGGAGGGCACGGATGTTCAACGTGTCAGCCACCTACTTAAATCAACATGTATGTTGATGCCGGAGCTGTCAAACAGCCAACATTAAAAGCCCTCAGGTTCAGGATGTCCACTCTGTTATGAAGAAGTTGATGACGTCACGGTATTGTTGAGACTATAGAGTGCCGGCGATTACACTCTGAGGTCATTCGTGAGCCAAAAACGCCCAAACCGATTACGACATTGTCCTCGTTAATGCGGTACATGTCAAAAATCAAACAAGTTCCCATGAGAGAACAGAAGTCGTCCCCCCTGAGGTGTGTGCGCGGGTGTTGACAGAGTAAGTGTCACCTCTACGTCACGTACTTCCTGTTCCTTGAGAAGTGAGTCAAGCGTAACCCAAGGCGACCACAGAGGGCCTTTGTTGTGCATTTGTGTCCCACAACAGAGCATCGTCCAATCAGCACTATCAAGTAATGTGGCGGGACCACAGCGGGGTATCGAATGCCTTGTAACTGAACCGATGGATGGGGTATGGACTCCTTCCCTGCCCGAAGGAAGTCACGAATCGAACCCAAATGCAAAAGCCGGCCTTGTTCCTGAAGAAGTGAAGATATGCAGCCCTTTTTCATCCTTTTACCACAAAGTAGCACAAACACACCACTTTCCATTTAGGGTTATGGACCATTATGGTCATTTTACGTGATTTTGGGGCTATTAAAACTTCCAAGTTTTCCCACAGCTGCCGGCGGCTTACAGATTTATGAACCCCTTCCAAGTCACGTGTCATGCACCTCGAAGGCATTGATACTTTCCCTTTTTTTTAACCGCCACCAACCGCCAACAGAGGCCGCGCCGTTGTTTCAAAATCAAGGCACGGGGGGGGGGGGCGCGGTGCGGTCGACCGACGCGGTGCACTGACGGGTGGATAACAAGTGGAGGCTGTGATGACACCGCGAGGGGCCTGTTCCCCTTTAAAGGATAAGAAGAGGCGCCACAACATCCGCTTCCACTACTCAAACAGGGAGGGAGAAACGTGTCCGTGTGAACCTTCTCTCTCTTCACGCAGTTAATTATTAAGCTACTAGGAGATAAAACTCAACTTGACCCTTTTCCCTTTGGGTTTTCAACAGACCCCAATGACAGATGCGACCCCTCCGGTGGGACATCGTAGTGGACGGCATGAAGTAAAGCGCGGGTATCGGTTTGTACGGTGGGAGAATGAGACACGAAACATGACAGAGGTTTAGGTTTTACCCGTAAACACAGAAGAAATGAAGCTCAGCTACATGCTAACGATAAGTATATCCTCAGCAGAATAAAATAATAAAACCAAAAGACTTTCTCTGACAGCGGCCAAGGGTTGTGTGAAGGGGTAACGCCGTATTATGGCCCGTGTCATGTGGTGGAGGGAGCAATGTTATTTTGGGTGGGGCGATAGCCATAAATTCCACCCATGCGGCCCTTCCCTAGCAGGAGACCCCAACATTGACAAATTAAACGCCGGGATTGAAAAGGAAAAAATAAACGGCCGTGCTGGTCGAGACCCACCCTCTGAAAAGCTTGTAATTTACGCCCTGGAATAGAAACGTCCGTCCCAGAAGGCGACGTTCTGCGTCGGCTAATCTTTAGAACGCAGCTATGGAACTGCAGAAACATGAAAAAGGAAGCCCGGACAAGCGCGCAACACTTTATGGCTCAGACAATTACATGTGAGATGAAAAGATTAACAGTCACCTAAGGGAGGGGCTTTTGCTAGAGAGCTCACATTGTGTTTATGATTATGATCTATTTCCTGTAATCAGCGGTGTGTTTTTTTGACTCCAAGAAGATTAGTAGATGCACTCAAAAACAAATTAGGATTCATTACATTTCCTTTTTACAGTTAAAAAGGTATTCTGTTGAATATTAACTGGGTGCAGACGTCGACCCATCAGTGCGCCGGACAGACTTTAACGGATCTACCCGCCTGTAGTCCAATTAAAGCATAGAATAAATAAAATAATGTCCAATAGTGAAGTCTCCCTTCACATTTCATTCAATACATGTTTATAAACAGTTGTCATACATCTGATTATTGAGAGGAAAAGTCTGGTATTCTCATTGATAAAAAAACAATTAGCTTTATCTGGAACAACTCATCTCATGGGCTTTCTCATACAGCGTGGTTACATGGATTCGAATAACCGGCTTAGTCGGACTGAAATCGAATTATCCGTTTCATGTAAACGCCTTTGTCCGACTATGTGCGGTCCGACTCCGATCCGACTAACACCCCTGATAACTCGATCCGATCCAGTTGATGGTTTGACTATTGCGGCATGTAACGGTGAATCGGATAAGGAACTGGACTTTACGTCTTTGCGCATGCTTGAGATCACGACGGCGTCTTCTCTCCGTTATCAAATCGCCATCTTTCTCGTAATGTTGATGTTGTTGTTGTTGGTTGTTGTTGTTGGTAGTGGTGAAGCGGTCAAGCGGTAATGGCTGCATCACAACTAGCTGTAATGAAAACAGCGCCACCTATCGTATCGGATATGACACGCTTTCGCCCAATGATTTGATTTATTCACTGCCATGTATATTGGGATAATAGCACCTCCCCCCGAAAGAGAGCATAGTCCGACTAAGCAAAGATTCCAATTATACCATCATGTAAACACACTGATTGATGATTTTGTTTGTTTATTTCTGAGCCTTATCCAATGCTGAAATGTAAGTGGTTTATTTGCCAGTTGTTTAGTTGATCATCCTTCTCAGAGCCCATAGTTTCACATGTAGATTGGATGAATAAGAAATAAACGTACAATATATTATGTAAAAGAATGCATTATGTGTAGAATGTGCAACTACTTCTCCTTTTTAGTTAACTCTGAATTTCCATCTCCGTCATCCACCGTCACATTTGAAATCAAATTAAGTACACGAGGAGAAAATGTGTTCTCGGTGGCAGCGGAAGGCACCGCTGCAAAATGACTGTGGAGTGAATGGCTGCAGCTGCGGCGTGCTGGAAACGGATTGGCACAACGTGAGGGTTAAAAGGCTGTGGCTTAACTTGTTGATCCCTCCAGATGTAGGCCAAGCTCACCGCGCCAGGGAACCAGCGGTTAACGATTTCACCCGAGAGATAAGAAGAAAAAAAAGAGAGGAGGCAGCATAAAGCAGCCCAGCATTACAGCAGAGGAAAAACATATCCACAGACAAACAGATCAAATAGAGTCAACGTTAATCCCACGTAAGCCAATCAGCGGCCGGTCTGCCTCGGGAGGGGGGGGGGGGCAGCTTCAAAACATCGCACGGCTATTAGCTAATGTCACACATGGATGCTCTGTGAATTAGCTCACCAAACTAAATCCGTGTGAAAAAAGAAGGGCCCCCGGTCTGCGCCTCATGTGTGAGGGTCCGGCCCGGGCGGTCGGCTGACGCCGAGTCAGAAAGTACGAGACCGAGCCGGGGGAACCCGCCCGCGGCGGCCATCTTGCACGACTGGATTGGCTGAGCTGAAAGCTGCTTATCTGGAAGTGTGTTATAATCTCGACAGAGAGGGAAAAACAACCCGAGGCCAGACGGGACGGAGCTAAATATCAAAAGCTGTAGGGGGAAACCTGCCGGGGGGAGGCCGAAAGCCCAGAGCCCGGACAGTGCGGTGAAAAAACGAAAGCTAAAAAAAACATCAAATGGCAGAACAAAAAGTAAAAATAAAGGGGGGATTGTTTGGGGACACTGACCCGGCCACCTGCTGTCTAACGGGATCGACCCAGCGGCCTCTCGGCTATCGACGGCTGCCACGCAAACAACCCTGGACTCAGGGTCACTCACTCACCAACTCACTCTCCTGAAAGCAGACTGATGGGACACTTTACTCTCGGGGTCAGAGAACGGACGGGATGAACTGATCGTCCGTCTCCCCCCCCCCCAAAAAAAAGGGATTACCTCAAAATAACGACGCCGTTCAGTCCCAGAACAGTGGGAAAGAAAGGGAGAAATATGGACGTGTACAATGGTTTGCCACTAAAAGCATGAAACACAATCGCTCCCGGAGAACATCCAGCTGTTGACGCAGCTGGTTTTGTCCGACTGTTTTGACGGCTTTTCTACAGTAATGTTATCACACAGATATGTTATACTGTGGGAACCTGGTCGCGCTGAGAAACCGGGACACCTCGGTAGTGTGGCGGTAGGCTACCTGCCGATCGGCCGCACCGGTGAACAGTGGTGAAGAACAGCGCTTTTATAAAAGCGGGTCCGGGCCGCGTCACTTTCACGGGAGTCATTTGGAAGAAGCCACGGACAGCCTTTCGAAATAAGAAAAAAGAATAACAAACAGGCGCTTTCAGAAACTATCCCCAATTCTACAAAATTCAGTAAAAATGTGCATGACCGACATCACCGGCACCAGAGAGACGGCAACTCAGCGAACGGGTAATAACGTTACTACGGTCAGAATACCAACAACATCTCCGCTTAAGAGGCCTACATAGACAACACACACAATCTAATAAACCAAGGGCTGCATTTATTCCCATGATGTGTGCAGAGG